TCATACTGCAGCCCAGTGGCTACCTGAAGATTGGTTGCAAGTTGCATTGTTTTCTTGGGGTCATTTGGAATAGAGTTCAAGATTCTGTCTTTAATTTCAGGTGATATAGCACCAACAATACTGTCTTTGGCAAGAAACTGACACTTCTCTCCTTTTGACTGGAGGAAAACTTTCTCATTGTGTGAGTCAACCTTTGCATTTGAAAGAAAAAGATATGGAACATCTGTAGGACATTCAGCATCGTTTGTAACAAGTCTAGTTTTGAACAGATTTATATCATCTTTGGTATGCTGTCCCACTCTTAAGCGATTAAGTGATTCAGCAAACTTTGTATCTTGTTGGCGAATGACTTCTGTCAGTTCCATCAGTTTGAATTTTTCCCAATAGTTCTTTGCAAGAACTGCATATCCACTTTTTGCTGATTCAAATATGTATTTATCGAAAACTGGTTGCAACTGACCAAAATCTCCAACAGTGAGTACCGATACACCACCAAAATCTTTAGAACTACCTGTTATTTCCTGAAGTCTTGTTTGGACGTAATGAAACAGATTAGTTCCAACCATTGATATTTCATCAATAATCACTAGTTTCAGATCCTGTAACTTTACCTGTAAAGTATTTCTCTGGTCATTCGTAAGGTTTATATATCCCTGTTGATTGATAGGAATTTTAAAAGCAGTATGGAGTGTGTTACCCTCAATCAGGAATGCTGCTTTTCCAGTTGGTGCTGCGAGTAAAACATACAATGATTCAGGGTTTTGAGTCAATCTCTTGTTGAAAAATTTCAGAAGAGTTTGAAAAACTGCTTTAGTGACCAAGGTTTTCCCAACTCCCGCTCCTCCACTAAGGAATCTGTAGATTGGTTCGTCAGTTGTCTTGATATGGTTGACGATTTCATTCAGGTATTCCATCTGTCTTTGTGTCAATGAACGCATTAGCATTCTATAATCTTCATCTTGCATCTCCTTTGAGAGTTTCAGTTGTTCTTCGATGTTAGGAGCATCTGTGAAATTATATTCAAATTGAGGGATATCATCCTGAAGTTTTTCAAGGATTTCTTTTTCTTTTTGAGCATCATTCAAACTCTCTGCTTGAGTAGATGGGGAAAAATCATTATATTCAGTTTGAATATTATCATTTTGTGCAGCATCAATGGCTTCATCAAGCAAGTCTGTATATGGTTCAAATTTTGCTTTTTCCAAGAGAACAGATTCTTTGACCTGATCAAATCTTTCTTGAAATGTCTTACAATGCCCAATTAAAGAAGCTTCATTTCTCCAAGCTGTATATAACATTATCATCTCTCTAAAGTGATTCTCTGGGTCATTGTCTCTGTTAAAATGCACTGTTCTCAATATGTATGGAGTTTTTCTCCTTAGAACATCTTTAGTGACAGCATCTGCTACATTGTCATCCAAATCAGGTTCATCATCATTTTTCTCTTCCATTTTCATTGATGATCTGATGTCATAGTAAGCATTGAACTCTGCGAAAGAAGTGTGCTCAAGGGACTTTGGACGTTCAGTGTACTTTGTAACTTGATCTTTAATGTTAACATCTTCATCATCATCTTCCATCTTCTCTAACATGTGTGTAGGTTTAAGAAGAACAACTCTCTTTTCAGATTCACTTGTATTCACAAATTTCACTTGTCTGGATGCTCTTTTCAAAGGTAATTGTAGTGCTAAGTAACAAGCTTCTTGTGCACATATTTCTACTGTGTTCACAAATTTACTTCCAATTATTCTCAACTGCTCTTTCAAGGACTTAGAACCCTGAATTATCTCATCGCAGCAGGATTTCAGTATTTCACTCATGCCTTTTTGGTCTTTGAGGATATAAGATGATATGTACATAGCTATCGCGTAAGGGTCAAGGCAAAACTTAGCATCCGAATTTGCTCTCCACAATTTAGTTAGGAATGGAATGTATGCATTTATTCGAATTTCATTAGGGGACCGTTTCAGAAATATGTCTTTTCTCTTTAAGTTTGACCTAACAGCGAGGATGTAGTTTGTCTCAGTCATATCAATCTTCTTGAGAAATTCATCAAAACTGATATCTTCTCCATATTTCATGTCCACTAATATTTTATGAATTGACTTCCAGTTTGTTTTGTGTTTTTCCAAATCAGGTTCATCTTCATCTAGTGGTTCTAATAGCTGAATTGTGCGCATTGGAGGAAGGGGATATCCAAAACGACATTCAGCTCTACCACCTTTTCTGCATGTGTGTGAGTGGCGATGCAACTGGAGTTTAACCAAATCTGCAAGCTCATGGTCCTCTTCCTCGCTGGGCATACTACATGTTATGTTGGCATCTACATATTGTAAAATTTCAGCAATGTCTTCAGCAACAGGGTTCAGTGGCAGCTTTGGGGCATCTCTGAACCACATTAAACCATGACTATGGACTGATCCACGTTGCTGGAATTCATTTCGCCAAAAGTAGTCAGAAAGGACTCCAAGAGGACATGCACTAGATTTTAGTACATCATTGATGAGTACTGTAAATTGATAATCAAAGTGTCGAGAACAAGTGACCGGGTCACTCTGAATCAAACGGCACTTCTCATTCCAAGTTAGGTTGTCAATGTATTCATCAGACACATCTTCTTTGTCAACAGTTTTCTTCAGAATTTTCAGAAGATGGTTCCAACGTGTTTCTGCAGCAGAGAGTGTGACAAATAAGGTTGGTGGCCCAAGATATCGTAGCATAGCTAACAAATCCTTATGTGCTTTTTGAAAGTATGGTGGAGAGCCTCGTATTGTTGAGAGCACTTTGTAGCCTTTATCTTGACTTACAAAATTTTTCATTTGTTCTGGATCTTTTGCCCTTCCAGCTGTGATGGTTCCTTTCTTGAATTTCCTGACTGCAATATTAGTTTTGTCAATCAACTGCTTCATTTGGAGTTTCTTTACCTTGAAAAATATATTTTCAACATTGCTGGCAGCTCTTCTGTCAACATTACGAAGCTCTGATTTCACTATGTCACTATAATGAACGTTGACCTTCCTTTCTGAAGGTCTAGCATTTCCAATAAATATATCAGGAAATGCTAGTTCCTCAGAATAAATGTCCTGAAATATGCTTACAGGAGTACTATGCTGGCCAGGTGCTATGTTGTACACATAATCTCTTTCAGTTGGTTCTATGAAGTCAGGTGCTGTCAACATTGTGTCTTCTGACCCTTGACTTGTGTTAGTACATTCTTCCTCCCAAACATCTTCATCAGTGTTTTCCTTTTGAAGGTTGTTGTTTGGATCATTGTCACTTGGAATAATTTCAGAGGAGCCACTTATATCAGTTTTATTTTGATCACTGCTGCTTATGATATGTTTAGATGACCTTATTTCAGTTTCATTTTCATCTGTTTCATTCGCAGCAGATTCATCGTGAGGGTCTTGGTATGACCATGCAGCATCTACCTTGACACCAAGAGAATTATATAGAGGTGCTTTTGTCAGGATAGATGCACAATGTCTTACTTTTTCTGGTCTTACATTTTCAGAGCTAACGAAACTTTTATATTTAAGGTTCCTTTTCAACCTCAAATGTATTGTTTGTGTATCAGTATGTAATCTTGGAAGAGAAGCTACGGTGTCTGCCACATCACAGGGAATATTAACAACATTACCTAACAACTTTTTTTGGCCACCACTTGGTCCTGCTCGCAGTTTCATAAAAGCCAGCCTAGGTGACAGAAGTCTCCACTCAAGAGGTGTTAAATCTTTGACAGGTTCAGGAACATGGGGAAATCCCATCCCATTATTGATGGAGCACGGTGGAATTTTACCTTTCTTCAAATATGCATTACATGTATTACAAACCCAGTTGTTCTCAGAGTCAGTCCTATTTGTTACTACCGAATGTCGGTAGAAAAGTTGATTGCAACTGTAACATACATATTCAGGACCATGAGAAATCTTTTTCTGAAAGTCCTTGATGATCTGGTGGATATCTTTAGCCTGCATACGTTTTTTTCGAGCCTGTTGTTGTTCTGTTCTATATTCTTCATTTTCTCTCTTCTTTTTCTTGAACGTTTTCTCATTTTGACGCTCCTTTGTTCTATACTCTTCATTCTCTCTCTTTCTTTTGTTAAACTTCTTTTGAGTTTCTCGTTCACTTGTTCTATACTCTTCATTTTCTCTCTTCTTTTTCTTGAATGTCTTCTCATTTTGACGCTCCATTGTTCTATACTCTTCGTTCTCTCTCTTTCTTTTGTTAAACTTCTTTTGAGTTTCTCGTTCACTTGTTCTATACTCTTCATTTTCTCTCTTCTTTTTGATGATCTTCTTTTGAATTTTTCGCTCACTTGTTCTATACTCTTCATTTTCTCTCTTCTTTTTGATGATCTTCTTTTCAATTTCTCGCTCACTTGTTCTATACTCTTCATTTTCTCTCTTCTTTTTCTTGAATGTCTTTTCATTTTGACGCTCCATTGTTCTATACTCTTCGTTCTTTCTCTTTCTTTTGTTAAACTTCAATTGAGTTTCTCGTTCACTTGTTCTATACTCTTCATTTTCTCTCTTCTTTTTGATGATCTTCTTTTGAATTTCTCGCTCAATTGTTCTATACTCTTCATTTTCTCTCTTCTTTTTGATGATCTTCTTTTGAATTTCTCGCTCACTTGTTCTATACTCTTCATTTTCTCTCTTCTTTTTGATGATCTTCTTTTGAATTTCTCGTTCACTTGTTCTATACTCTTCATTTTCTCTCTTCTTTTTCTTGAATGTCTTCTCATTTTGACGCTCCATTGTTCTATACTCTTCGTTCTCTCTCTTTCTTTTGTTAAACTTCTTTTGAGTTTCTCGTTCACTTGTTCTATACTCTTCATTTTTTCTCTTCTTTTTGATGATCTTCTTTTGAGTTTCTCGTTCACTTGTTCTATACTCTTCATTTTCTCTCTTCTTTTTCTTCAATGTCTTCTCATTTTGACGCTCAACTGTTCTATACTCCTCATCTTTTCTTTTTTCCCTTTTAGACATTTTTTGTGCTCAATTCTCATTTTTCTTCAACAGTTCTGATTCCCTCCATATTCTTTTTCTTAATTTGTCCATTTTTCTGTTCTTCTCATTGCTAATATTTCTTTTACAAGCTGATGACTGAAGCTGAGATTTTTTTAATCTCGACTGTCTTAAAAATTCTTGCTTAATCTGTAAGGGGAAATGCGCAAACATTTGATTGCTACTGTCATCACAGTCATCACAGAGAATTGAACAATCAGACATTGTCTTGGCAGCTTCTATGACATTACCTACAGTGAGGCAAGATGTTGATTGAGGTCCTGGTGAGTTAACTGCAGAATAAGACTTGGCGAAAGTAGCCTCATTGGAGGGAACTTTCTTTGTAGTGAAGTGAGACTTAGATATAGTAGCTTCGCTAGGAACCTTAAGACTGGACTTTGATTGAGTTGCTTCTTGAGAAAGACTAGCATTGGAAATAGAATCAGACTTGGATGGATTCGCTTCTACAGGAGGTCTAGCTTCATCTTTCTGAAAAGCAACGATGGGTCACATCTAACATTAAAAATACTAATAGGCAATGACTTAATTATGTACTCATAAATTTTTAAAAAAATACTATAATAGGCAATGACTTAATTATGTACTCATAAATTAAAAAAGGTTCAGTAAAATGTATTTGAAAAATGATGTATGTGACTCAATGGAAAGTGTCAGACCTTTATCTTTTGATGTTTAGAGGTAAGGAAAATTTTTTAAAATATAATTAAATATAACATAAATGGTATGCCTCAATGTGAAAGCATCTGGTGTTGTTTTTTGATTTCTATGTTAGTTTTTCATTGGGAATCAGTAATTGTAATCTGCCTAAGGTGACTTGGTTTAAACAAACCTGAAATGTTAGGTAATATTATGAAGGTTTGTAGATCATATATGAATGGTTAAAATACATATTTTTCACCTTTGTAAAAAAAAAATGAAATCTAAAATATTCATAAACATACCTTTATCATTGAATTGTCTGGTTTTGTGGAAGAAGTAGAATCTGTATTCAAGGTAGGATAACTCGGGTCATTACTTCTCTTGTCACGTTTCTAAAATTAATATAGATCACGTATGAATAGTTGAAATACACATTTTTCACCTTTATAAAAAACAATAAAAGAAATCTAAGATATTCATAAACATACCTTTATCACTGAATTGTCTGGTTTTGTGGAAGAAGTAGAATCTGTATTCAAGGTAGGATTACTCAGGTCATTACTTCTCTTGTCACGTTTCTAAATTAAGTTTTAAAGAATTGAATCAAAAGAGAGCATTTAGAAAGAGCATCTGTATAGCATCTTGTCAATGATATACAATAAGGTATACATATACTTGAAATGATGGATTATCCAAAACATCATGTCTGCGGTTATTGTTACAACGGCTTAGTTTCTCTTAATCTACAATTAATCATTTAAGATGGACCTAAAATAAAGAATTTACCTTTTTCCTGTCTATAACTTGTCTTTGTTTATGTGATTTTGTTTTAGTCTTCATTTCTGCATCAATTCTTCAATTCATCTGAAATAAAAGTTCACAATTATGGATTGAATTTTGAGAAGTTTTAAAATCAATTGTACTTCATTTCTGAATCAAATTCACCAAATTAATTACTTTCATCATTATTTATGCATTTTCCTCGGAAATTGTTTATGTACTGCATAATGTTCAAGTGTCTATTGAATATCTAATAATATAGGATAATATAAAATTAAATACTATCGTTTGTCATACCTAAATTGCAGCAAATGTACTGTTCCAATAACTCTCTATAAACTTTTAAAGTAGACAAATTTGGTCACTGTAGTCCTTATGTAATATACTCATACTTTAGTACTTGTTTATTAAAGACCTTAAGATTGCACCAAATAGCAAAACCTGTAAGTGAAACATGGCAGGTACATGGATTCATATAAAAGTTTAAGCACATTTATTTGGTCTTTCAAGTTTTACAAGTGCCACTGATACACAGATGATTTAGGACATCTGACATGAGTGAAAAGAATTACATGTTGAAAATCGTAATCCTAAGTTTGCAAGATGTGTGAGTAATCTATCAGAATAAATGTGCATTTTTGTACAAGTATGAATGTATAACTTGTTAACTTTATGGATATCTTATTAATGCAGGGACATATTTCATGAACCTGCATGCTAATGAGAAAAACAGGTACATGGTTACGCCATGAATGTGTATCTTAAGGTCTCTGACATATTAGTAATAAACATTAACAAATTATTAATCATGAAAACAGATAACAAAAATCAAAGTATTGAAAATGTAAAAAAAAGAATGCAAGAACCTTAAAATATTTTGAACAAGGAACAGATTTATTCTTGAGGATAACATAAAAGTATGCAAAAACATTAAAAAGTTGGTATAAAAAAAGAATTTCTTAAAGTACTGATTTAGTATTTCTAATGCAGAACAATAATAAATCAATTAGATGTACAAGGAAGCATTTTGTGTTATCCTCTCAATTACATCAGTCTTAATCTATAGAATAGTTAAAGGTAGTTGTATACCATTTTTATGAATACATTTCAATGCTGTTCTATAATAATTACAAAAATATAGCAAAGCAATAAAAAAATTAATTGTGCAATGACCACAGGGCCATTCCACAATTAACATTTGGAATCCCTTCCTTTATTGCTTTGCCATATTTTTGAAACTGGAGTTGAATGTCTTTCCATTCTTCAGTTTTCTGAAAAATAAAATAAAAATAATATAAAACACAGAGTGATTAAGATTGCATTCATCACAAATATATCAACAATATATACTACATAACCATAAACTGTAAGGTCAGCCTTGAAAATTGTTTGCGAGCCCACAACATATAAAAAAAACAACATGGTGGCTCCAGGTGAGTCTACCAGTTCAGTCTATTTTTAAGAAATCAGGGGAGTTTTGTAAAGACAGAAAATCCAAAATGGCTGCCTTGACATTTACCAAGAATGCTGAAAACTAATCAGTACTAGATTTTCTTTCTAAGAATCGCCCTGAAACTTTGAAATCAATCCGTCAAATTGTTATCCTGAAAATGAGTAGACATGCCTTTACAGACATGAATTTAAGACAGAAAAGCCAGAATGGCCATCTTAAGAATTTATGCAGAATGCCGAAAAAATAAAAAAGTTCTATACTTTCATACTAAGAATCATCCCTGAAATTTTGAAATTGATCTACCAAACAGTTCACCTGGAAATGTGTAGACAAGACTTTACAGACGAGATTTTAGGACAGAAAATCCAAAATGGCTGCCTTGACATTTACCCAGAATGCCCAAAAACTAATCAGTTCTAGATTTTCATACTAAGAATCATCCCTGAAAATTTGAAATTGATCTACCAAACGGTTCACCTGAAAACGCGTAGACAAGACTTTACAGACAAGATTTTAGGACGGAAAAATCAAAAATGGCCGACAATAAAAAAGTGATTATGAGTTTTTGCTGAAATCTTTTTACAAAATTATCACATATAACTACTGTTAACAATAACATAGGCTTTTACAACAAAGTACACCTGAAATTATTTATAAAGCTACTAAAAAGTTAAAGTATGAAAACTGAAAAACACCATTCAATATGATACAAAGTATTATCGTGCGCTAACTTTTCTTAAAACATTCAAAATGGCTGACATGACTGAGCTAACAGGTCCAAAACCTAATCAGATCTAGAATGAAGTGAGCTGAACAAGATGTTAAAGTTTTAAAAGCAACTGTGAAGCCGTTTTTCTTAAAGTTTGCAGACAAGGATTTTAGCATTTGACTTCAAAATGGCCGACAGGAAGTAGGTATCGAGTTAATTTTTTTTCATCCACATCTGTATGCACTCATAAGTTAACCCTGAAAATTTGAAGGTGATATCTGTAGCGGTTTTGGAGAAAACTGCCGGACGTACGGACAGACAGACGGACAGACAGACAGACGGACAGACAGACAGACGGACAGACGGACGCGCCTAGGCCGACAATATGGCCCCACACTATGTGGTGGGGACATAATAAAAAGCCATGGCTAACTGAAGGTATAATTACATCAATTAAACAAAAAAAAACTCTATGTATGTAAAATCTATTAAGCATCCAACATCAGCAAAAATCAATGAATATAAAACTTTTAAACACATTTTAAGGCAAGTAATACGAAATTCGGAGATTTTACTATAAACGCAAGTTCAACAGTTGTTCGGGTAATCTAAAGGAAACATGGAAAAACATAAATGATATTCTTAATAGCGACAAACGTTCAAATCTGACAAACAAGGAATTTATTTATGATAATAAGCTGATTGAAGACCATAAACAAATTGCTTATCTTTTTAATGATTATTTTACTGAAGTAGGACCTAATCTTGCAAATAATATAACAAATGCTGATTTTTCCCTAAAAAATTACTTTTAAAAGCAAATTGACAGATTCATTCAATCAAAGTATATTGTTAAGACGTGTAACAGTTAAAGAAGTCAAAAAGATTCAGCAGCATGGTATGACGAAATTAAACCAATAACAGTTAAGAATTCAAATGACATATTCAATCCTCCTTTGCTCCATTTGACCAATTTATCTCTCTCGACTGGTGTCTTTCCAGATCAATTGAAAATAGCCAAAACTATTCCAATGTTCAAAAAGAATGATCAGAGGTACTTATAGGCCGATATCACTTTTATCAGTTTTTTCTAAAATTTTTGAGAAAATCATGTATAATAGAGTTGTTGAGTTCATTGAAAAATTCAAAATAATCTGTATCAATCAATTTGGATTTCGAAGGAATCGATCTACTTGCTTAGCTATTTTAACTTTCCTAGAAAACCTAAGGAAAGCTATAGAGAATAAACAGTACAGTTTAGGGATCTTTTTGGATTTAAGTAAAGCCTTTGATAGGTTAACCATGATATTTTACTTACTAAATTGAATTTTTAAGGCTTCCAGGGTAAATTCTTGGATTGGTTCAAAAGTTATCTTAGTAACATATAACTTTTGAACATGAATACTCGGGTATGAAGCAATACAATGTGGTGTCCCTCAGGGATCCATTTTAGGCCCCATACTTTTCATCCTTTACATAAATGACCTAATCTCTACTAGCAATTCATTCAAATATCTAATTTTTGCTGATGATACAAATATTCTTTGCTCTGGCAAAAATATTTATTCCTTAATCGATGTAGTGAATAATGAATTAAAAACTGTATATGATTAGTTCTGTGCTAATAAACTCTCATTGAACATTGATAAAAACAACTTTATGGTCTTTACAACTTCCCAAAATAGGGTACCAGATAATATTTCAATCAAAATTAGAGACTCTTACATTATTCGTGCTTTTTCAACAAATTTCCTTGGCTTATAATTGACCAAAATTCAAAAACCATAGGTACTATTTTTCGAATAAAACACAAACTCAGTGTTAAATCATTATTGAATATCTACTACTCACTTATTTATTCACACTTACAATATTGCATCCCAGCTTGGGATGGGACAGGAAAAACACATATTGATATCTTATCAAAGTTGCAGAAAAGATTTGCCCGGTTAGTTACTAATAGTGAATATAATAAAGCACCATCATCACCCTTATTTCAACAACTAAATATACTTAAAATAAATGATATTTAAAAACTCAATGTTCTTATCTTTACCTACAAATGCATCAAACTTCCATAAAATTTTCCAAATGACTTATTTTCCAATTATTTTCAGCAAATCAGTGCAGGTACACGACCACAATACAAGACAGACTGACAGTCTTCATATTTCCAAATTTAGAACCAACTATGGTAAACGAAGTATTAAAACTCAAGGGGGAATAATCTGGAATTCAACTCCGCAAACGAAGTATTAGAACTCAAGGGGGAATAATCTGGAATTCAACTCCAGATGTTATCAAAACTTCAAAAACCATTTTTATTTTTAAGTGAGCCTTTAAAAGACGTGTAATTAGTCTCTATGATTAGTACCCTGTACAAATTTTTAACGGATGCACCTTTTTCTACATCATTAAAATGTTTTTATGATGTCTTTTTTACATCATATTTATTTGTTTCCCAGTTTGGCTTACATAATTTATATTTTGAGATACTTTGTAACATCAATAATAAATGTAACTAACAATATGCCATTTTTCAAATATTTTAGCTTCTGATAAGACATACACGCTCTAGGGTGTCATTATCACTGATATGTATAAATGTTTATATGATTTTAATAAATAAATAAAAAAAATAGATGGTTCAGCATTGTCTATAACATCCTCCGATCACAGGGCTTCAAAATCCAGAATATCTTCTTTCGTTTTACCCCCTGCTATGAGCAGTTAGCATGGTTTCCACTTTTTAATAAAGGCAAAAACTGAACTATCAGTCATTTGAAAAGCTTTTATGACCCAATTTTAAGCACATCCTATAAGATATTAAACAAGGCATTAACAAACAAAATGTCACGATGTGCCATTTGTTACAGACTCCGAACGACGAACACCAACCAACGTCCATGAAAAATTGGAGACTTGAACAATATGTCAGCCCTTAAGGTGGTGACATAAAAGGTTTACTTGATACCAATCAATTTGGATACAAAATGTGGATCATGTTACCATATTCGATCTTACAAGGCAAATAATATATATAGGAAGTTTGGCCAAGTTAGTTTTAATCAAGATAGCTTGGCCCAAACCAACAAATAGCACATTAAGATAATTATTTTGAAACGCAGAGCCGAGCTTAAACGTATAATTCGGATAAAGAGGGGTCATATCAAACATTGACTTTCTATAACGTTCCAAGCTTATAAAAATATGTTACAAAATAACAATATAAATAGGGAAGTTTATTAGTTATTTTCAAATTGTTTAAGGACGATTCTCGGTTTGGAGAACAGTCTCCTGGGCTAATAATTTTTTTCATGAAAAATATAGAAATATTACCCAAATTAAATTATGAATATTCAAAAGAAGACATTTAAATCTACAAGATGTAAAAATAACAACTTGGTCTGAAGCAGGGATAACGCTCAATTAGACCGATTCAATAAAATACAAGTCTCGATTTGAGGAAAGAAGTTCATCAGTGTGCTGCGCTAATATTTTTTTTGCAAAAAATCTAGAAATATTACCCAAATTAAATTATGACTATTCAAAAGAAGACACTCAAATCTATGTTATGTAAAAAAAATCAAATTTGTCCGAAGCAGGGATAATGCTCATTTAGATTGATGAACTTCGTTCTCCAAACCGAGAATCGTCCTTTAAATAAAAAATGTTTGTGTACTTATGGCTCACTCTGAGGCACTTGCCACTTTGCAGCCACATATTTGAAAATATGCCATAAAAATACAGTAAAAAGTTTTCAGTAGTCATAGTATTAGTTTATTTTGGAAGTATACAAGTAGTGTACATTAAAGGGAGTAGAAGAGATAGAGTTGAAAGTATGTTTAGAAATCTTACAATATTTTTGGCTTACATCATTTAATGTCATACCCATTTCTAAAATTTCAACGGGTCAGACATTATTTCAAAACAATCTTATTCAAAAATCCTTCAATCTGATGAATTGGAAAATAAGATAGCTTCCAACTTCTACTCTTTATTCCTTCTACATTCCTTTAACAAGGCACCACATAAAAAAATTCAATTGTATATAATGTTCATAAAAATATGTCAAAAGGAAGACTTCTAGACATTTAAATTTATCAATTATGACCACTGTTCAATAGATGCTCCATCTATGTATAGGTTATAACAAGGCATATCACCTCATTGGCCATGACTAGAAGGATAGCACCTAATAGGACATGACTAGAAGGATATCTACTACAAAAGATTGCATGTCTACATTGTAAAACATTATGCATTGTAATCATGTGTCATGTCATGTATAAAAATTAGAAAAACAATAACTCACTGCAGTAGCAAATCTGGCCCATCAAACAAAACATAATTTATCAAATCACTCCATCGCTAGTACTTCTTTCAGAAGAACCTACACTGATGACATTAAGTGATGTGAAAACATTTTAGAAATTCCTTCTTCAAGAGAGGTCCTATGTCCATAAAGCATTAGCCTTTAAAAGGACAAAACCCAATAATACCTTTAAATAAATACCTGATAATTGCTCTCTTCAAAAGGTATAGTAAACTAAACCTCGTCATCAAATTAACATTAAATGTCAGCTATAACACCATCCCTAAACAGGGAGTAACAATGTTGGCATCTTGTGGAAATATTAAAGGAGTGGTATCGATATGGAGAACTTTTTGAACACACGTTTCTCTTACATCAGTCATAAAAAAATCTAAAAATTTAACACATCGTCAATTCAATGGTCATCTTTTGAATGGTAACAATATAATTTGAAATATATATATATACTTTCATCTATACGTATTGTTTTAGAAAACACATCAAACACTTGTTTTGTTCTTGGTATCATGTTTCCAGAGTGAAATGAAACAACTTTCCGAACCTCATTGGAACAAAACAAAGGAAATTTTAGTTGATTTTAAAAAATATCTTGTTAATGAAATTAAAGGTTTATCTTGATTTTTATCTATTTTGGGGGATTTTGTTTTAATTTTTTGAATACGTTTTTAAAATCAACCAAAAATTCCTTTGTGTAACTATACTATTGGGAGGTCTAAAAACATGTTGTATATGCTATTTTCTTCCAACAAGGTTCGGAAAGACAAATGTATTTCATTCTCAAGAATTGGTAGAAAGGAGCAAAAACAATTGCACTAAAAAAACAAAAAATGTTAACAAAATCAGTTATATAAATTATTTCTAAATAATTTTTGCATTAAATTGTTGTCAATCAGTCAACATTACATAAAATACCGTGTTTTAAAGAATGTTTTCAATGATTGGTTTAAGAGAAAAACATTGTTGGATTCAGTTCTCCATATCGATACCACTCCTTTAGAATGGTTTAAAATATGCTACAGGAGTTAGCGGGTTCTTGATTACAATATTGGCTCAGTGATTAGTGACTGGTGGAAACTGCACTCAATGAAGTGAGGAATTAATTCAGCTATCACTGCTTTAGAGTCAAATTGTCCTCAAATTAGCAACAATACCTCAATCAAGGCATTGTACTCTGTAGCATGTTTCACTCCATTATATAACAGCCTTTCCAAGTGATCCATTCTGTGGCATTCAGTTTGTTGACATTACTATGGGCTATAACTGATCGTTTCAGTAAAACTGGTGACCTCACCGTATAAAAATGGAGATGTTTCACAGCTACTTCAGCGTGTTATAGTTCAGCGAACAGTCTCAAGGGATTTAATTTTTATTATAATGTCAATAAACCCAGTGCATATAAATGGATCACTAGGAGAGGGTGATAATGAACTAAGAATATGCACATGTTGTTAAAACTACAATAAAATATTGAACATTATTTGAATATTATTCAAAGAATCTGTAAATAATACTTTTTGAAAATACTGAACACATACCCTTATTAGTTTAAAAGCATTCTCCAAGATATGCTTTTCAAATCAACAACTCGTTTAACTTTCGTGACAATTTTTTAAAATGGAAGCTCTTAGTTAATGATTTGACATCAGATTTCAATTTTGTGAAATCACTGATGCTTCTAACAATGATTCGATGATTTGATTCTTGTTGATTTTTGACATCATAAACTTGCCTAATTGCCTGACATCAAAATGGTAAATCTAAATTACACAAACTTAAGGCTTATTAAAAAGCATAAACAACCAAAATATTTATCATCCCATCATAAAAACACATTAAAGGCACACTATACTTAATTTAGAAGAAAAAAGTTATTGGTGTCAAATGAAAGATAAGGTTCTCTTATCAATACATTGGACATGCTATGAAATTTAAATGTAAGTTTTTATTTTGCCCAAAAATGTTGAAAATTCCCAAGGTGGGCCTTTAATTCTGATACTATGGCCAGATTCTGATTTACTCTCATCAGACATTATTCTTCAAAGTTACACATGTACTCGAGAACGGAAAAAACTAATATTAATTAGTAAAACAAAATCATGTGTTACAGTATTTGCACAACTTTGCTTCTCTCAGATTTTGCAAACTTTCCCGCTTCAACCATATTTGGTGCAGACCTATCCCATGTCCATTTATCATCAGGGAGCATCCAATTTGGTCCATAATCAGCCTCTATATAGGCCTGGGAGTCACATGGCACAAGATAGAGATCTTCAAATAGTTCAGCAGAGCATAATGTTATATTGGTGGGGTAAAGCCAGCGTAATTTTTCTAGTGACCAGCTACGTATTCCACCGACCCATGTGTAGTTTGACTCAATATAATGAAAGAATATGTCCATTTTGATACCAAAACCCTGAACTGCAAACTCTAGACCATCTTCAGGCTAAAATGATGAAAAATAATTCAATAAGTTTTCACTCGTTAATCATGTTGGCATTGTAAACTGAAAACTGTTTTTATGTATATTTCAAACAAATAAATTGAAAATAAACCTGAAATACAGAATTTGAAGCCTCCTTTCTAACACATTATTGTGTCTGCCATTCATTGTAATGATGAAATGCATACGTTTGTAGATGATATATATTGCTAAGCTCCACAACTTGGAGTGAGCAATCCCATAGGTGCACCTCATGAACCAATTAAAAGTGCCCAAACCCCCTTCTTGAGGCTCTATAGCAAATCTGGATAATTATGTTCAACCTGGGTGAGTAAGTTTACCTTGCCAAAATGGTACATCAGCCTGATGGGCTGTCCCTTGCGTTTGAGGAGTGTCTCCAGTTCTGGATTAAGATCTGCAATCCAGGCACCAACATCTACATCAGTAGTGTGAGCAATAAAACCACACTGTCTATACCAACCTATAAACCAATAAAACATTATGTCAATTCTGACAACCTGTATGACTCAGTCCCTCCCTGAGTTTCTTATCCCACATACCTTATCTTGATAGAACCCCATGTGTGAGAAAGAAAATGCTTTACCTAAAAGGGTACCTCCAACAAGCCAGTATTTCATTCCAACTTCATCAAACACAGCTTTAGTCGCCTGCAGAATCTGCTGTGCTTTCTTGGCAGTTGTGTCTGCATTATGTTTGCTTGTTTGCTTGCTATTGGCTGCATTGAATTCATCAGCCCGGGTCCTGTTGCACGGGATGAACTTGGAATGTTTTAAATTGGAGAGATATTTGGAGGGAGATGAAGGTACGTATAGTCCAGGAATATCACTGGTCGTAACATCAAAACTGAAAATATTAAGATAATTTTATGAAGAATCGGAACTACATGTATATTAAGATAAGATAACATTTTTTACATGTTAAAGTATGCTATTACACAAAGTTTTCGTCATCTATTGACAGTCCTGAATGCCATTGAAGCACCTTTCAACTGAACACTTTTTTCTTTCCCAAATTTGTTATCTTCCAATGACTCACTTATTTAGAAAGCCTACAAATGTGAACACCTGCTAATCTGAACATCTTTGACTCAGTCTCAGTGGCATCTGGATGAGCCAGGTTTTACTGCACTCTATTTATGCCCATGCATGCTTAAAGACCTTGTCAAATAATTAAGAGATGTTATGCTATATACTATTAATTATTGAAGGTCCTATACACAAGTAATTCTCCCCTACCTATCAAATGCTGCTGGAAAGCTAATGCTCTTTACTGGTGGATGTTTCTTGGCATGGTTTCCCTCTAGCAATGGCCCTATCCAATAATATTTGCCATGTCTATGGTGTATGATTGCTATGTGAATCCACTGCTTTATAGATGGTGCTGTTGTATTTGATACTTTAGTCTTTAGGAATACATGATAGAGATAATGTTCTCCTTTTTTATCGACACCTTTTAGTAGGGTAATGTTGTAGTTGTTTACAGCTAGAGCGTGGTACAATTTATCCTAAAATAGAAAAATATAGAATATTTTGTGGGTATGAGTGTATTGCTATGGATGCCATCGTTCAACTCATATCAGCAAAGTTACAATCTAAGAAAACATGACAAGATGTCAGCTCTGAATACATGTATAATGTATATACATATTCTCAATAAACAACTTGATAAATGCTGATTATGACACAAATGTAGATTCAGATTAAAGTTCATATAGTGTACATACAGACATATACATATGATTTTTGTGTTTTACCATACACGGGAAGACTGCCTCTCAAAAGTCATGTGGCCTAGTCCTCTGCATGGGTAGGAAAATTGAATACATGTCCTGCATGTATCTTAAGATGTTTAGCATATGTGGTTTCCTTGTACACATATGATTATCATGGAAGGATGAACCATGTTTAGCCATCTTCATACACTCGGCTTCTGTTGGTCCCAGGGAAGGCCGAGTGTGCAAAGATGATGTCGATCATGAGAGTCTTACCATTAAAGGTTGAGTCAAATCATCACTTTTGATGCCATATGACACTAGGGATGAGTTGAACAGGCCAAGCCTCAGATTGTATGAAGTCGTAACATTGTTCTGCACCAGGGCTGGGTCCAGCATGATTACAGGGACCTTGTTGATGTGGCATATGGATATAAATTCGAGATGGAAGTGAGCACTAGCATTGAATTTTGTAGTTGTGTTGGCATTGTATGATTCTGTCTTCAGCAGTAGCTGCAATCAAAATCATATCTAAATTAAAGCTTTTTTTAACATTTTGTAATTTCAGTGTATAATGATAAAATGTTTTGCTGGTTTATAGAATGACACAGCACTGACAATACAATTCCATTCATGAGTACATCCATGTTCATGCATATATCTCACCTTCACAAAATTCTATTAGATATGGTTTACATACACATGTTTTTTTGAGTTGCAGAAAGGGTAGAGAATGTAGCAATAAATATATGTATATACTCAACACTAAATTACGCCACTATTATTACATATTAAGCATTACCTGAAATAGGTCACTGAAAAATTTCATGCATTTAACAGCAAACGTGATACCTGTTCATCCCTAAAAATACTTGACTCCACATCTTGTAATAATTTTTGCCATGTATATTTTCTAAGAATACTTTTGATAGTATGGATAAATATTGGTTGGCAGGGAGGCAAGGCAGATTTCTTTCCAAATCTTTTCATGTAGACAGAGTTGCATGTCATAATAGTCATATTATTACTTGTAAAATGCCAAGAAATGGACTAAGGAATTGAGAATATACAGAGGAGTTCTAAACATGTAATGGTTCAGTTGCCTATATCCATATTGGACATAATCACATCTATAATTATGTTTTCATCTCCTCTTATATGGCACATGGAAGATTCCTTTTGATGTACAGTCAAACTTGTGCATGTGACTACCTCTATCAAGTAAACACTCATTTTCAGTCACATTTGTTAGATATTCCCTGAGAATCTCTTAATGAGAACACCTCTCCATAAACCTTTAGCTATATATTTACATCAGACATGTTAAACACTGCATTTGCTTGTTATAAACCTGATTAAAATAAAGAAATAAGGCCCTATTGGTTTGAAAATCAAAATAACATTTATTATAATTACCTTTCATTGCATGCATCTTTATTACAGCAAGCAGCACATTTGGCAATGGATCCAGCAATAATCATGCACCATGCAGCTAAATATTCGTTAAATAAATAAAGCAAAAGCATTCATAATAAACTTATCTATATTGGGACAATTTATCATCTTGACGTAGGCCTATCTTAAATAATCTTGATGTCGTATCTTAATTAATCTCGATGTCGAATCTTTAAGTTGCATTGATGGTTTAACTAGATGGTTCAGCATTGTCGATATAAGGACAACTTAGGATGTCTATGATTATTATTATTAGAAAATAGTGATCACTGGAGGACATTGACCACTGGAGGATATGTGCAATGTGGGACATTCTGCACTGGGGGCATAGATTACAACTGGAGTGTGTCAAGTTATATGGGGCATTCTGCACTGGGTTGGGGGTGAGGGGGGTATTGGTGACCACTGAAGGATTTCCAGCAATGTGAGACATTCTGCACAAAGAGACATTGATCACTAAAGGATATGAAGCGTTAATTAAATAATCATAACTGACTGATATCATTATTACCACATGTTTATCATTGTGCCAGTGTTGGGGCTGAAATATGCAACATTAATGAAACTATAGCAACAGAATTATAACTTGAACATGGTTACATAGTAACAAGATGTCACCACCTGGTTGCAACAGAATTAGAGACTCAAACCTTATGCAGGGGTTTCACTAGAATTTCTCACAACAGGCTAGATAAATGAAAACAACAGGCAAAATTAATGGAAATCATAAATTCAATCTGGAAAGTTTGAAAAGTTCCTGAAAAAAAACGGCGATTTTGTGAAAACAATCGGTGAAAATCGCCTGTTGCCTGCTGCTAATGAAACCCCTGCTTATGTATCTGAACACGTTTATGACATTGTCTCTACATTGACTATACAGGTCTAAAAATATGTAAGTATCATTCAATCGAAGCCACAATGATATATCACTAGGTGCGTGTTCGCTAGAAAATATTCCACCTATTGGTGATATGATATCATGATCATGTACAAGATATGTTAAGAGGTTTCCAGCGAACATGTTGTCATTTGATTGTAGTTTGAGATGGTTATCATGCAATAAACCTATTAAAGCAACAGAGTTCAGGATAACCTATTGGTATTATGAATGATACCCCTCATTTTCTGTCATTTAAAGATTATGTAAACAGTGCCTACCAAACTTCTCAGCAGTAGGCAATGAAATCTATTCAAATGCTAATTGGATAACCATTATTTCAGCTGACGGGTCGATATATGGGATATAACGAATGCACACTTGATAAGTTGCGGCCATAATAATATGTTACCTCATTAAGTTGAAGCCATAATGATATATCACTTCATTAAGTTAAGGCCATGATGATATATCACCTCAGGAAGCTGGTGTAGTATTGTATTGTATTGTATTGTATTTTGTTTACCACCAATGCAGGTGAGCAATACCGCTTTGGTATATCCTGTATATACAGTCGTAATTAACATAATTAGCCTGGGAGATAGACCCAACAATATGTCACCACTTTTTGAGTAGTGACATAAAACTGAATCAACAAAACAGCTAATACTGTCATTACAAAAACTTTAACTTGTGCTATAACTAATAAACAAACAGTGTCAACAATTTATTATTACACACATGCATAATCACATCTGGGTGGGGAGGTATCCAACAAAACTTGATCAATTTTTTGTTTCCGAAACATGGCCAATTTTAGGACACTTTAAGTGCAAATAAAGTGCAATCACTGGGTTAGAATCATACTTTGAAATATAAAATTTAATGGATGGGACCAAAATTAATTAGCAGGCATAATGGGGAACTCCAGTGGGGGGAGGAGGTACTATGTGCATATCTCTAAAACAATATATCTTCACTTACCTCTTCAGAATCTATATCTGTGGGAATTTCAAGTTTGGTGAAGATCTGAGTGAGAAAGTGCCCCACCTTGAACTGGAGGCATAGCGCTATGATCACCAGAAATAGCAGCGCTATGTTGATCTTATAAAGAAGTCGTGCCTGAAATGCAAAAACAGCAATTAGATTATATAGTAATGTCATTACTGGACTTACTGACCTCTCCAGGGTTTGATTAAAATTATGCCAAAAATGTATAGGCTAACCTACTACAGTATGCCAACTTATTATTTCACAACGCTTTTTTGGCACATTTTGAAGACAATTTTTGAAATATCCTTCAACTCAAGGAAAATGTAGTAAAATACATGCATTGCTTGGTCAAGAGTTAAATATGTTGTTCTTTACCCATAAGTAGAACCTGCAATATGCTTTTTGTGCACCTTTTGTATACAGACATTAGACATCAAGAGGAGATCATTGATCAGAACAATAAATTGATAGAAAAACACTTTAGGATATTGAATTATTTTAGGATGTTTGTTAACCAATTAGAGTGTATAATTAATCATTCTCTATGGCATACTAGAACATTAGATTCACTGTGCAGTTCAATTGCTTCAATTTCACCATTTCTCCGAGCATAAGATGCATAAATGATACTGGAAACTCAGTTTAGGCTGTAGAATGTGCTTAACAACATCAGGGTAATGAAGTCATGCCAGATTCACCAAATCAATCTTCAATAATTCTTATTACCCAACCATTCTGATTACATCTTCCAATAAACTTAGAAATCTAATAAAAAATCGATAGAAGAAATGAAATTACCATTGTCCTGGCATACAGAGTGTGTCCTAACTGGGTTTGTGTCACAGCTTTCCAATAACATTAACCATTGCTTTGATGAGATATAGCGTCAGCTCTTATGCAGGTTCTAAATCATCATTTGCAGCTTGGCTCTAACAGCTTGAACTCAAATTACCTAAAATGTGAATAATATTGTGATAAAACAACAATGAAATCATGGCCTAGAATTCTGCATTTTTATATTATATAGAGATATATAAAGCTAAACATCATAATTAGCACACTATTAGCTATTGATGCAGTTTTGATATCAATTCAGATATTTCTTCCAAGGGAAGAAGTAATCCTTTCCACTTGTTCTCATCTCAAGTAAAAATGCAATAAGTCATGGTGACATGCTCTTTTAAAAGTACGAGTAAAAATGTTGAACTGTTTTTAAACTTACAAAGTGCCTTATTAACATTTTCTCTGAAAAAATGAAACAAATTTTGAACCCAATCTCAAGATTATCTTACACCTTACAAGGATATTCAATTTTGAACTTGATTGCTGACAACATTGAAAATGTCATTTTAACTGACTACAAATTCATAATCAGCGATCCAAAAGATGTAAACTAATATCTTGATCACTTCTTGTATGTTTTGAATTTCTTTGTTTGGAAACAAGACGGCAATTGAAATTCTGAAGTGAAAAAATGGTGGCAGTTTAATTTTGAATTAAATTACAACATGACTTCATATGTGGCAGAACATTGAGTTGGCACCCTGGGAGTCAATCCTCCTTGGGGGTTTCATTAGCATATAGGCAAGCAATTTCCACAAGTTATTTTTAGCAAATTCTCTGCTTGTTTTGATGAAATGTGCAAATGTTTCCATGATGTAATTGTAATTTCAAATAATTTTACCACTGTTCTCTTCTAATTTGCCTGATGACAAAAATTCAAATAGAACCAATAGATTAAGTTTTTTTGCAATATTTTGAGTTATAATTAGATTCTTTCCTATTTACTGCATGGTTTTATCGTTATCTGGTGCAAACCATCATGAAATAACAGTACATGTCTGCACAGAAAATAGCAATAGTTGAAGTTGGAAATCTCAAAAATATCTTTAGATGTACTTTTGTAAATATGTTCTAAATCAATATGATTCTTTCATAAATATACAACTGTTAAGTATGGCTATGAAAGGTTAAGAGTTAATGATAAAAAGAAGATTGTATACATGTATACTAAAAGCATATACTAAAATAATTTTTGGACATTGGTATTTATAAACTTATCAAACTCAACAGATAATTACTTTTGCATCTGATGCTAGTGCTAATAAACTTATTTAGTAGACAGTACACATAGTTTTTGTGTGAACTTCAAAAAGTGTTCCAAATCAATATGATTATAAACACATACCACTAACTTAAGTATAGACATGATAGTGATTTGTCTATAGCTTTTTCACCATCGCACCAATTGTGCTGATTTTAGGCATCTAAACTATGCCTTTTCAATCTACAAGGAACAATGAACATCGATCAACCCAAAAAGCACTTCTCTTTGAGCGCAAAAGGACAATTAGGACATTGATTGAATTCCTTTCTATAGCCTCAATTATGGATAAATTTTATATGAATATGAACTTTTATGAGACATGAGCTATGATCACCAGAATAGCAGTGCTGTGTTGATCTTATAAAGAAGTCCTGCATGAGCTGCTGAAATATTATATCAGGATTGCAAACAAAATTAAATTGCCTACAGGTACCAAACAAAAGTTTTGTTTCTTCTGTATTCTTTTTACAACTCATAAGAAAATGTTGTTACTTTTGAAAAAATCAACATGGCTGAAATTCCCTAAATTACAAAAGGCCACAGCTTTGCTGCATATTATCTGAGATATACAAGAGTTAGGCCTTGTACATATGTTTCTACTTTTTCATATACTGTTTCAATATGGTCATTTGATTACTTATTTTTTTAATTCAAAGTACTCAATAAAATTTCGAATCAGAATCAGGGTCTTTTAATTTTGCATAATTTCTAAAGTGACCAATAATTTATTCATCAGCGCATAGTTTTTGCCAAATTAACACTTTTCTCAAAGAATATCTCACCTTACAGAAAATAAAAAAAAGCTCACCATGCGAGCTAAAAAACGGAAATAATTTTTTGCAGATTTTTTTGTCACAAAATTATTTCATACAACTGCTCTTTACAGTGACATGGCTTTTTACAATGCAGGACTCCTAAAATTATTTGTAAAGCTAGGAAATAGGCCAAAAGTGAATTTCGCGAGACAAAAATGGTGAGGTTTTGAACCAGGAGTCATAGGGGAGTTTTCTGTATTGATGTTGAACAAAAATAACTTAAAGCGGGAATCCTATCAACAGAGGTTTTAAGGCAAATGGTTCAAAAGTGGATTTCGCGAGACAGATGGACAAATCAATGTTAACTAAAATGGCTGAAAATAAAAAAACGGATATAATTTTTTGCTGATCTTTTGAAACAAAATTCTTTAAAGTGACATGGCTTTTTACAAAGCAGGACACCTGAAATTATTTGGAAAGCTAGGAAATGGGCCAAAAGTGAATATAGCAACACAAAAATGGCGACCATTTTGGAAATAGGCGAGCTTTTGAACCAGGAGTCATAGGAGGGTTTTCTATATACATGTAGACTTTAAACGAAAATAACTCAAAATGGAAATCCTATCGACAGAGGTTTTAAAACAGGCCAATTGTTGACAGACAGATGGATGGACAGACAGACAAGTGAGTGAAAGTAATAAATTTTACTCCCTTGTTTTAGTTCACTTCAAAAAGGCTCTCTCCGAAATATTTTCCATGTTTTTTCCTCTCAGATTGGCCAGGTTCCATGTTTTATGGTCTATTCTCGCTTTGAAATTGGTCAGAATGCAGCAAATGGTGTTCAATTTCAGACCCTTCTTCTTCTTCTTCTATTACAGTACAGACTCATCTTGAGGATATTTCGTACTAGGTGTGCTTGCGTGCGGAGTATATACAATTGTAGTGTGAATGTGAATTGTAGTGTGAAATTTCTAAAATCATTTTAAAATCATCATCACTTAATACAAAAGCATCACACTCCCTGCCTCCCCCATATTCATATTGTCACGCTCGTTCGATTCGCTCAGTCAAACAGATTGCTGTGCTCACTCACACAGTTCGCTTCGCTCACAATTATTATAAGACGCCCCCCCTAACACAAAATCCTGGATCCGCACCTTATGTTTACTGCTTCAGTTCAATGCAAAAATATTTTCAAAAAATTATCTTATTTTTGGACCTCAACTTCTAGAGCAAATTTACGCTTCAATCTACTAATTTACGCAATCATTACTTCATTGGTCCTATGAATGAATGTATGAAATAATAAACTTACCATTCACGTCCCTATATTTGTGAAAATATGGAAAGAAACATATGTAGGTAACTTACCGTAAGTTCTGTTCCTTTTTTCCCAATTCCTGATTTCCACTGTGACAATCACAACTTTAGTACTTTCTCATTTTATTTATATTACAAAAAAACATGGTTTTATTGGAAGTTGTAAGACCAATAGCAACTTTTGATATGACAATTTATCATAATGATTCAATAAATATTGAAAACATTCATTAGATATTGATTTTATTATTGACTATTGCAAACCGGAAATACCGAACTGATCTACTCGGAGTAGAGTTGTCATTTTATTTGTTTTTACGAACTTTTATTTTCTTGTAAATACTTATATAATTACTGTATAAATCTGAGGAAATATTGCTAAACCAACATGGGATGCGATGGAGGAACAATACCGACGAGAGATGAACTTGTAAAATTGAAGAAGAAACCAGAAAAGGTGAGGTCAAGAGTCTCGCCTAATAAAGTTAGTCATATAAATCCGACCATCGTATGCTATATTTCTCGTTATTTTTTGATAGTTTGGATATTTATTTTCTATTATTTTCTTGCATACTAGGGTCGTAAAAATTACCTTATTGGAAATTGCGGGAAACGCTTTCCTGGCCTGTTTCGGCAACCAAAATCACACAAATGATGTATTAGAATAAGTTCTTCATCTATAATGTATTAAATCCTACCTTACACACGTCAAACACTTGATAATTGAAGAAGTATAAGTATTTTTCTGAAAACAATTTTTTTCCCAAAGTGTAGATGCATTCTGGGTGATGATCGTGTAAAAATAAAAGTTTAGGTGAAACGAAAAACGAAATTACAATAAACTACGGCAGCCATATTGAGATCAAGATTTCCACTCGAAAAAGTTGTACAGGGGGAGGAAGGCGGCTTCTGGCGATTATCTCCTCTCCGGACACCAAAGAGGGTGAAGAAACCGAAAACACTAAACAGATATGTTTGTAATAAATAATTACGATTTCGTTTTGGTTGCATGGTTTTACATTTAGACTGTATTCAGTGACCTTGAGAGCCATATTGGAAATTGGTTCAAACATATACGAAAATGATTACATTTCTTCAATTATCAAGTGTTTCCTGTATTTAAGGTAAGATTTAATACATGCTAGTTGAAGCATTGGATCCATTATCTCATCTGTGTAACTTTTGTTGGGCATAGAGGGCAGAAAAGCATTTACCGCAATATACTGGGCTAAATATCCTCGACGCAAATGTTGAAAACAAAAATAAAAAACAAATATCCAAATCGTCAAAAAGAAACGTGAAATAACAACATTAAGTCGAGTTCACTTGACTAAATAAAGTGGTCACGGAAAAGAAAAAAGAAACTTTTGGACTGAATACTCCTAGCTTACTCGAGTCTCTAGCTTACAACTATATGTGACTTCATTGATTTCGTATGTAATCTAGAAAAAGTGTCACACAAACACCTCATTTAAAGTCCCAATATAAAGTTTAAACCACTTTGACTTATATTGTAGTCTTACCCAATGTTATAAGAAGAGAAAACACTTTCAGATTTATAATCCATGATTTTATCAATCAAAAAATATTTTGTTATTTTTGTCGCATAGAATTCCTTTAAACTGCTTCAAAGGCAAGCAGATGAACCTGAAAAAAAAAATCTATAGACAATTGTGCCATAATGTCTAGAAAAATATATTCATGCACACGAATGACATTTGTACATCTTGGATAAATGAATGTTTGCCTGCGATCAGAATTTTGATGATGAGAAATGGCTATGTAATTTATGTGACTATATGTGTATGCACTCAGCTATGCAATATTACTAAGCTGTTCAGAAGACATTAGTTGTCATGACAGGCTCATCTTTACCACTTCCATTTGAAATTGGTGCATATGGTGTAATTATGTCCACATCAATTTGTTATTCACTTATTGTTTAAAATTTCAGTATGTCAAATTCAATATTTCTATCTTTAAGAACAGTTTTATATCTTGTCATCTTGATTAATACAATTATGTAATATAATCAGTTGTAACTATATACACTTGCATGGGTGTCAGTTGCCTGTACACTGAACATTGATATAATTGATGAATAAACAACTATGCAAACTGTAATATTCTACAACTATGAATGTCTGTCACCATGAATGTCTGTCACCATCGTTTTTGTTTTCAATCATAAATTACACTTATGACATTTGGCAATTTTTGTCAAGCCATCTCTATTTTGAGCGAAGGCCGATGCTGGAAAAGGTTGGCTCTGAATACAAAGGTAAAAATTTGCATTCTCTACACCTTTTACCATGTAATTTTGATCCATACCTTTTCAAAGACACTAGGATTTTTGAATTTCAATACTATCTTTTCATTTCAGAAAGACAAAGAAGCTGAGCTAGCTGCCAAATGGAAGCACTGTGCTATAACTCAGGAGCCTCTCAGATCTCCCATAGTGGCCTGTGAACTAGGGAGGTAAGAGAAGCATTACCATATTTGTAGTCGCATTTGACAGAAAATAAAGGAACGGTAAAATTTGGCACTAACGTGTGAAACTAAAGTATAAGTACCATCATTATATGTTCATATTTTATTTGTATTTTGAACCCTTGTTGCAAATTCTATGAATCACTCATTTGAAATATCAAGTATTACAGAATGATCATGTTGGGTTATCCAATTTTTCTAACACAGTATTTCTCAACCTTTTTGTTATACTAACATGTGTTTTGTGTTTCTACTGTATTAGATTTGGTTGCAGGTTGTACAATAAAGAGTCTGTATTGGAGTATCTCTTAGATAAGACAAAATTTGAATCTGCTGCAAACTTCAGTCATATTAGAGGATTGAAGGTGGGTTTCATATTACTAAACAACATAATATTGTTCTTTAATGTAGTATGAAGTATATATGGAGCACTCCCTTAGTCCCCATCCTTTGTGGTTTAAAGAGACACATTTGTTAACTAGTTTTGTAAAGCACAATTGCACAAAGCACATTTCATTTCATTTCATTGAGGATGTGAAATATCTACAGCTGATCAAGGATGAAATGTCATGCCCATATTGAACCAATCATCACCATCCCCACTACCATACTTTATGAATTCCAACTAGTGTTGTAGCGATGTGGCATAATCGTACATCGATACATCGGCAATTTTCAGTAGTAAACATCGATGCACATCGCGATGTACATCGAGAAAAAGTTAGAGAAAAGTGCACTAAAATACCGAACGCTAATGCACTAAAATACCGAACAGAACAAATTAATAAGAGTACGGTGGTACATCCGGGAACTTCTAGTAACGGTGAAATGAAAGTAAAGTAATTTTTTTAGATTAATGGTTCATTTCGACTAGCTAAAACAGTTATAAAGCGAAAGAATATCAGAAAACATTGGAAAATGTAATAAGACATGAAAAAAGGTAAGCAATTTGCGTCAAAATAAGATAAGAAAGGGCGATTTTTAGCAAATTTATTTTTTTCAAAAACATCGATGTTTTGTTTCAGACATCGATGCATCGCCAGAACCAGCTTTGGCGATGTATATCACGATGTATCGATTAATCGCGACAACACTAATTCCAACCCTAATAGATGTTTTAAAGCCAATGATATTATGAAGTACATTGTATGTAAAAGTCCTAAACTTCATAATCCTGCCTTGAAGTAATCACATAAAAAGGCAATGCCTACTTAGACTCTGTCCCCCTCCCATGCTATAAGGAACCCTCGTACATTTCATTTAAGGATGTAAAAGCCCTATATCTGATAATGAAACCAAACAATGAAAAAGGCAATACCTGTATAGGCTCTGTCCCCCTTCCACTCTTATCAGTAATGCTAATACATTTCATTTAAGGATGTGAAAGCCCTAAACCTGTCTGACAATCCTGCCTTCAAGAAGCTAGACAATGAGAAAGGCGATGCCTACATTGACACTAACACCTCTAGGTACATCTGCCCAGTTGTAGGCATTGAGATGAATGGAAAACACAAGTAAGAAACATTTCATTTGTAAGATTATGTGTTAACATCTAACTTTTATCACATTAAAGATTTGTTCATATAAGAGAAACAAATATTTTTTTCTCTTTTATCATGTTTTATATGAAACTGTGAGTGGTTTGTATCTAAAATGTCCACATTAGTAAGTTGTTCACACACATATTTTAATCTACAATTTTCTATTAAACCAGGTTCTGTTTTGTGTGGAGCTGTGGATGTGTTGTATCTGAGAGAGCCATCAAGGAAATCAAAGAAAATGTCTGCCATAAGGTAAGGACGTTTCTCCATATATGCATACACACAAGAACATGTCATAGTGGTTTGTAAGGAAGTTTCTCCATATATGCATACACACAAGGACATGTCATAGTGGTTTGTAAGGAAGTTTCTCCATATATGCATACACACAAGGACATGTCATAGTGGTTTGTAAGGAAGTTTCTCCATATATGCATACACACAAGGACATGTCATAGTGGTTTGTATTGTTGTAAATCCAAAACACAATGTAGTTGAGAGTATTGGAATGAGCAATGAATAAAGTTAATATGTTCTATACTATCTATATAAACACACATATAAAAATGATAGTGTAAAGCTGAATTGCCTCCTTGAATTTAGAGTCATTTTATGCTTGATATCTCATCTTGTTTCTATCCACTGTAACTCACAGTCATTATGTTCATTAAAATTGTAGTAGACAGTAGAAAAATCATTAGACCATAACATTAAGAATTACAAATGCAAGGGAGATAAAGCAATTCCATGACTTCAGTATTGTCTATTGATTACAATTTCCAATTCAGTTTGAGGTGTGGAATGATTATTAAATATCTCCTTTTTGTTTAATAGAACATTCTGAACTTGTTACAAAAGTATCACTTTCTAAAAGATGGCACTTTGGTAATTGATGCACTATTTTATTATCTGCCAAATGAATGTTTTCTCTATTGGCTCATTGACCTTTTTTCATTTTGAACGTTATATTTTCTATGATAGACAATGATCTAAAGGAAAGCATTGCTTTATAATACAATGGAAAGCATTGCTTTATAATACAATGGAAGGCATTGCTTTGCGATGTAAAGTATTAATTTATGAAATCAAGGGTAAAATGCTTAATACTTTCAGACAAAACAATATTCAAATCTTATAGAAGACAATTAGATAAACTTGTGAAATATTTATTTAAGAATTAGATTAAGACTACCACTACTTTACACTACATATTGACTATTCACAAATATAATGCTTTATACCCTAGATGAACTCAACATATATTATACAAATAGTGACAAATAGGCTGAGGGAATAGTACATTACAGAGGATATTCCCAAGGGGAAATCATTTACACTATTGCTCGAAATTAGGCAGTCACTATTTGTTTTATTATATACCCTATACTGACTCTTGTCCCGTTCCTCCCCGAAGGCCAAAAGGGCTTAAAAACCCTCCCCAGGTCCGTCATAATATGCTCAACAGAATTTTTTTCCTAAGAAATTTCTGAGACTCTCACTTGACAAATTCAATGGCGTTTAACACGTGAAATAGATTATCATAACACTTGAAATTAGACAGACGTATAGAGCTTAGGGAACTTTATCCACATTGCGTATATTGTTTCGTTCATGCTCGTCTGTCATGGTGAACGGAGCTGATTTGTGTTTGTGCTTATCCTCAATTTATCTGTTTTTCATCTGCGCATTGATGATGCGCAGACGTTTCCAAGGGTAATAGAAGTTGCAATCGTGACCTCAGCGGGCAATAGTTCAAATGTATATTCCCGCTTCTTTCATTTGAGGGAATATAACTTTCGAAGGGAGATAGTAAATCTATTTCGGGACATGTGACTAGGTATTGACCTATCAGGATTAGTGTTACATATTGGGTATATAATAAAAAAGAATACTTGATTCTAAAGCGTTTCATAGTTCTATTAAAAATTGATTGTCAATAAAATGTGATTGTACATGCAACAATGAAAGTAGATTAATTGGTCATGAACGAACACAGCTGTTGCAGAATCCTGAAACCAAGAGGCCAGTAATAATAATGACCCTCTCACTACAAAAGACAGCTGTAAAGTTTTGATGCTGATCTTAATGACCCCATATGTATCTGTAATGGCCTTCAATTGGAGCTTGAGTATGAAATGATATTCTGCAACTGCATTTTTCATTGACTAAGCTTAATTTGTTTGACCTAATCTGCCTAAATAAGGCTAGTTTAAAAGATCTCTTATTCAAAGAGAGTAGAATTAAAACCATTTTTAAGGATTCTGCTACAGGTACAGGCACATGCTAATCTATGTGAAAGAGGTTATGTACAGAGGAACTTCTTTTCATTTGGTGCAAGTAAAATTGTAAATGAAATCAAGCTCCTGACATTTTATATAGTGTCCATGAATATTCATGAAGCGTGTTGATTGGATGATGATAAACATTTTAATTTTCCAATCCTTTCGACCATCTATAGATTAACTTCAACAACATTGTTTTCCCTTATAGGGTTCACTACTTCATGTCCAGGATTTATAACATTATTTGCTTCATTTGGTTTATCAACTAGAAGCCTCGGAATGGCTTGTTGATCAGCTACTATGTGTTTGTTCATCTGTCTAAAGCTAGGAGCTAGTCTCTCCATCATACAATAAAGTGCATAATGGTCATAGTACAAGTCAAGCTTACCAGCAAATAACCTGTCTTGATTTGCTATATAGGGCAAGTCCTCTACACCCAGAACACATACATTACCAGTATACATGCCTTCACATGGAGGATTGTATTTCCCCTCTGTAGATTTCAGTTTCATAATACGAGCCATTGTCCTCCAAGTAGTGTCGAGGGTACCACCTGGGGTGCCTTGCTGACGCTGTAATGTTGCCCAATATGTCTTCTCGGGGAATAATGTATCTAGGGACCACTTTAAAAGACTTGTTGCTAGGTAATCAAACACAACATGCTGTACAAACTTGTAACTAGCAAGATAGTATTCCACTCCTGAGTATAATGATATATTTAAAGGAGGTGGTTGTTTCAGCTCATCAGTTTTTGCAACGACCCAGTTATCAGATGATCCCACCATTTTGTGGACATATTTTGTTCTTGATTCATCAAACTGTTCAACTCCTGCAATGTCATTCTGTCCATTCAAAGTCTTCAAATGTTGAACGATTTCCTCTTTGGTTTTCAATGGGAAGTCTGTCCCCGCAAGGTTAATTGCATATTTCCACTGCTGATCTTTATTAAGTAGGTCTCGCATACAGTTGATTTCACCTTTCAGTCTCCCAGGCCCTCCGATCACTACATTTTCAAGTTTAGAGGAGACCATGACATTATCAAAACATCTAGCTATGTATTGTATAGCATCCTGAAAGCTCTCTGTAGATTTCTTATCCAAGTGAATGCAGTAAAGATTTTGAGATGAATATATGTTACGGAGGAGAAATTCCACTTGTTCTACATTATGGTGCACAGAGAGTATATAAGCTATAGGGAACTCCTTTTCTATGTCACTAACTGTGATGTTGCTATAGCCAAAGTCCTTGCGGAATTCTCTACATGTCTTTGTTGCGGTGATGAAATAATCGCTACTGATCACTTCCTTGTTACTCCCATGAAGAGCAATTTTAGTTTCACTTATAACTTGAGCATCACCGTTAATTATTCCTGAACAATTCAGTTTAAATTGTTTGACTCGTGAAATAAACGGCTCATCAATAGGATCATCAATCACATTATCGTCATGATCAATTGCATCATAAGAGTCATTTTTTGCGACAAAAACCCCTCGAGGTTTATTGCTCTCATCGAAAATCTTCTGCCATTTTGCAAATTCTGGGTTTGCATGAATAGGGTCATTCCAGAATATGTTGTACATGAGTAAGGCCAGAGAGAGACATATAATAGTCACAAGAAGCATCCTTGCTTTGAAGCGTTTTAAATACAGCATCATGATAAGAACTCGTGTGATCCGAGAATACTCAACTAAAAATAAACAGTTTTATTGAGCTTTCAATATATATGTTTTGACTCATTTATCCTACTTTGAATTGATTTAATTATAAAATTTTGTTATGTTTTTCAGATTAATTCGCTCAAGTCATGCATTTGCCATTACACACCACAATATTTACTGCAATCTAGTGCAATAGAAAATATATTTTAAAGGAATTTAATTGAATCACCTTGTTAATAACAATGATTTTGTATTGATTTCATATCTTACCTTTTACATTTGAGATCTTCATTTTACCAGCTGGTTGTAAGATTGATATGGAAAAATCAATGTCTATAAAACATGTCAGACTGCAGTTATAGATTTTTAATTAAACTGTACATTCTATAAACAGTAAGACGTGATGAAAATTCAGTTTCATATTAAAATATTAAATGCTTTTCTCATTGAGACAGTGATTATGTAAAATTAAAAAAAATTAGATTTTAATATTACTATGTATGTGAATGAGCCACATGTTGCCACCTGTTAATGTCTTGTTATGTGTAAGGCAATTACAGTGTTATTTATCAATTGATAATGATATATTAGGTCATTCAATGCATTTTGATTGCTAGTCAATACTGTAATGGCATGCTTATTCATTTTATTGACATCATAATCGTAAAGAAGATGTGGTTCTTACTTATATTCATCTTTGCCCATGAAAGGTTCACACCACCTTTAGCACTATAAGTAGTCAACTTGCTATGCTAATAATCAAACATTAAAATTCTATTTTATTATCTAATTCATTAAGGTTCACTTAGCATTGAGTAGTATAGATTGAGTAACTTCTATCACTGAACCTATCATTTTTATGACAAGGAAAAATTCAATGAAGGAAGTTTTTGATTGGAAAAAGTTAATGTTAATGTCAATGTATTTTCACAAACCAAAATTATTGTGTCAGATAAAAAGTTTAAAGATAAAGTTTAAAGCCAGGAAAAAGCCAGATATTATCAGGGAATTTCTTAAAGACCTCTTGACTTACTAGAGTGACAAGATTTCTTTGCACAAAAAATTGGACCAATGATCTAAAGGGATAACATAATATGCCATAGAGTTTTTCACTAAAATTGATCTTTGACAGTCTTAATCCAATCTTCACAAATTATATTTAGAAAGTGTTGATAGCATTGATATGATGCTTGCTATATTCCAATTTGTGCAGAATTGGCAAAAATATGAAAAATAATGAGAAGTCAAGCGATTAAAACTATGAATAAGCTTATTCACCATTGTTCATGTATATTTCCAGTGTGGGGCTGCTGTTACTGATGCAGATATTGTTGTCCTGAATGGCACAGAAGATGATGTGGATGAGATGGTCATGAAAATGGATGCACGGAGACTCAAGGCAAAGTTGGAGAAAGTACGTTATGTTATTGTTTTTCAACAATTTTACACTCTTTGAAGAAATGAAAGATTGAATTAAGAAATGTATTCAAAAATAGAGAGTGGTATTTAAGAAATATAGACTGAAGAGCAGGTATTATATCAACTAATATTGCAGGGCTAGTAACAAACGTTTTTTGTATTACGAATGACGGAGGGGAGTGAGGGGTTCAAATGCTTTTGTACCTACCCCTAAGGTATTTATTACTCAATATAATACCTAAATTGAGGTCTATATTACGATTCGAACATGATAACTCAATTGTCACTTCATTTCCTACTTCTGGTTAAGCAGTTAGCACTGAACGAAACACTTAGTACAGACCAGGTATTGTATCAACGAATAAAAACCAGGTGATATTGACTTTGTTCACAGCTTATACAGTTACCAATTTTCGAATTGGTAATTATGCTGATAAGTACCGTGTGTCTTAGATATTACATGACTTTTTATTCTTTTTGCAGAAATCTAAGAAAAAGAAAGCTGCAGAATCCAGTCTGAGTGTAGCAGGTAAGATCCTTTGGTGAAAATTATGAAAAACCATTGACAATCAGTCATCTTGGAATTATAAAAATCCAGACCAGGGATTATCAATCACTCTTAGGCAAATGAGTATCACACTCTCCAAGGATAAGATTATCAAGAAATATGAGTTCTATATTGATTTCAAATATATAAGGGTTATGTTTTCACAGAATTTGACTCGACAGATTCATAATTATATTTACAATTATATTGAAAAATTCCCGGGAGTGGGATGGATATATTATATATACCTGCATTTGGCCTTGGGTGGGACATATACAATATATCCTGCCCGCTCCTCAGGTATGATATATATTCCCAGGTGATATCTACCCCAAACCCACTCAAGTATAGTATAATAAGGAGACCATGTCACAATTCCTCTTTGAAAACACCAATTGAACATTAGATATGTATCTTTAGATATTTAGCAAACCCCTTGTAATACTGAAAACTAAGATAATCCCTTACATCTGATATATATTTTTTCAGATGAGGGACCATCAAGCAAACAAGCCAAGCTAGACCCACAGCCAGGAACAAGCTCTTCTCTCAATGGAACACACCCAAAATCAAAACTGACCAATGGGAAAAAAGATAGCAAATCCAAATTGACCAATAACAAGCCAGAAGACAAACTTAAAAAAGATGGGAGCATTCAAAATGATCCTAAAGCTTCTAATGCTTTTAAATCTCTATTCACCACAAGTGAAGCTGGGAAGAAAGCCAAAACTGCACATTGGGTGACCATGAACCCATTATATTACTGAGTAGACTCTATCATACATATTATACATTCAAGGAGGGCAGGATGGAACAGGCAACATTATTATGTTGGAGAATACAGAATTTCATTTAGACCAGGCAATATTATTGTGTTGGAGAATACAGAATTTAATTTAGACCAGGCAATATTATTGTGTTGGAGAATACAGAATTTAATTTCGACCAGGCAATATTATTTGTTGAACATTTATATAATACAGCTGTTCTAACTTGCATATACATGTATTGTAAACTGGTTTTATTTAGTGAATTTACCATTTTTAGAAGATTGGCTGACTTTAGGAAAAACATATCATGACTCATTATTGAGAAAGATTTAACTTGGCAACCTTGTACAAAATTGGCAAATGGTAAAAAGAAATAAACAATAAACAATACCAGGATTCTTAGTGATATGTCCAGTTCTATATATTGACTCATTAAAGCTGGTCAAGAATGAGTTGGCACTTTGTTTACCTCAAAATAGATATAATCAATTCATATTAAAACATTATAGTGCACAATTTTGCGCATTGAGATAACTTGTTTTTGTAACATGTGTACATATGCTTGAAGAGGCGAAGAACAGTGTTGTCTTGGATACCATATTCGATTTGTAGCATGAGGTTTTAGTGTATTTTATGTTGAACTATTATGATTGGGCCTCTAGCAAAGGTTGATTACTGTTGAACTTTGTACACGTCTTCTAGTGGCGTGTCATTTTAAATGAATTTTATGACAACGACTTGTCAGAATTGTCCAAGTATTTGTTGATCATCAACATAGAGTTAATCAAGATCTAGGAATACTATTTGATGCAACTGCTTTTTGATAAAGATGGTATGTTTTGTTAATTCATTTTATTTAGTTATCCCATCGAACGAAGTTCGGAGGGATATAGGGAACGCCTCCGTCCGTCCGTCCGTACGTACGTCCATCCGTACGTACGTCCGTCCGTACGTACGTCCGTCCGTCCATCCAGGCAATAACTCAAATACCGTTGGCCCGATTTTGTTCATATTTTGTACACATATACCCTATGGGGGTAGAAGTTCTGCTCGAAAGCCGATTTTCAAAATGGCCGCTCATTTCAAAATGGCGGCCATTTTAGTGCCGATTTTACAGTAATTTAGGTACAATATGTAAAACTGTAATAGCAATATGTTTTAAGTGTAAAAAAATTATAAAGGACATTAACCCTTTCACGACGATAGGCTCCATATGGAGCCCTATTATGTTATACCTTTCAGGACGATAGGCTCCTTTTGGCACCATTATTTTTATCTATATACATCAATGAAATGACAATATCTCCAGTTCTATTCAGTATTTTTACACCAAATTTTGACAAGTTGTTCTAATGTGATAATCCTTACTAAAAATTGTATTTCAGTGATAAAATTCAGGGTATAGGTCCCGGGGCGTAGGTATTTTGCAGTTTTCCCCTAAAAACTGCTCTTACTTATCCGTCACCAGAGCCAACATTTTCCTCTTATATTCACGTCGGGAAAGGGTTAATAAAGCTACAAATGTAGATATTAAAAAAGCACATGGCAGCCATCTTGAAAAATGGCGGCCTTTACTCGTTATTTTACGATTTTTGCTGTAACTCAAAAAGTAGTGGAGCGATTTTGTTCATATTTGGTATGTGAATACTATAAGCATGGCACACTGTCCTATGACACTTTTGGTAGAAGGCGGCCATTTTGAAAAAAAATTTGAAAAATGGCCGCCATTTTAACATATTTTACTATAACTCGAAAAGTAGTGGAGCGATTTTGTTCATATTTGGTATGTGAATACTATAAGCATGGCACACTGTCCTATGATACTTTTGGTAGAAGGCGGCCATTTTTCAAAATGGCCGCCATTTTAACGTATTTTACTATAACTCGAAAAGTAGGGAAGCAATTTTGTTCATATTTGGTATGTGAATACTATAAGCATGGCACACTGTCCTATGACACTTTTGGTAGAAGGCAGCCATTTTGAAAAAATTTTGAAAAATGGCCGCCATTTTAACGTATTTTACAATAACTCCAAAAGTAGTGAAGCAATTTTGTTCATATTTGGTATGTGAATACTATAAGCATGTCACATTGTCTAATGACACTTTTGGTAAAAGGTGGCCATTTTGAAAAATGGCTGCCATTTTAACGTATTTTACTATAACTCGAAAAGTAGTTCAGAGATTTTGTTCATATTTGGTATGTTTCATATTTTATATGTGAATACTATAAGCATGTCACATTGTCTAATGACACTTTTGGTAGAAGGTGGCCATTTTGAAAAATGGCTGCCATTTTAACGTTTTTTACTATAACTCGAAAAGTAGTTCAGAGATTTTGTTCATATTTGGTATGTTTCATATTTTATATGTGAATACTATAAGCATGGCACATTGTCTAATGACACTTTGGGTAGTAGGCGGCCATTTTGAAAAATGACCACCATTTTTACGTTTTAACTATAACTTGAAAAGTAGTTCAGCGATTTTATTCATATTTGGTATGTTTCATATTTTATATGTGAATACTATAAGCATGGCACACTGTCTAATGACACTTTGGGTAGTAGGCGGCCATTTTGAAAAATGACCACCATTTTTACGTTTTTACTATAACTTGAAAAGTAGTGAAGCGATTTTGTTCATATTTGATATGTGAATACTCACGAGCCTTGCACACTGTCTCATGACACTTTGGATAGTAGGCAGCCATTTTAAAAAATGGCTGTCATTTTTACATTTTTTACTTATTTCACAAGTACATGTGTGCGATTTTTCAAAAATTTTATAGGTGGCTACTAAAAGCATATTTTTTCTTCTGATGACAACTTGGCTAACCATTTTGAAAATGGTGGCCTTTCTGGTGTGTTGTTTTATGATATTTGCTATATATTTCGTTTGTAAAAATGCCAGCCATTTCTGTTCGATGGGATTCGCTACGCTTTGGCGTTGCCGTTGTTCTGGTTTAATTTTACTGACTCATCCAACTCCAATATATAATAGCACAATAATTAAAGTGCATTATGGAATCACGTTGGGGACTAGAACTCAAAATTGCAGTATACATCAATGGTGGATGTTCGCACCTAGTGGAAATATAATATACCTATTAGGATAAGTTAAATGCCTCCTCCAAGCACCAGGGTACAGAATTCGGAAGATATTCTTGATCTTGGGGACTGGTTAATTAGGAGAAGTCCAATATTTTTGGTAGGCTATCGATAGTTAAATTAGTAACACAAAATTCCATGTTGAAGACATGAAGGTTCATTACATACACCCAGGCCCCCTATCCGATCCACGTGGAATCCATGTGGAAATAACGTGGATCCATGTGGATGTGGATTGACTGCCTATGTGAGTATAAACTGATGTCAGAATCAAGCATACACATGTACTGGAAAAAATTGAACATAAGACTGAAAGTTCAGTTTTCATGTATCACAAACTGCACATATATTTATATGTATTTGTATATATTCAAAAAATAACTGAATGTACAAAAACCTGTTAGTCAGAGATTAATAAAATCTACATGAAAATTAATAATAATTCATATTTTTTATTTCCGATTCAATACAAAATACAGTGTTAATAAAAGAACTGACATTCCAATTAACAAATAAATTAGTATGGACAACACTTATCTCCATAGGCCAAGGAAAAGTACTGTTTATTTAGCTCAATATAGAAATCTTTTATATTGAGCTCAACAGTACTTTTCCCTTGCCTTTGCTTATCTCATTGAACCCCAGAAATGGAATAAACATTGTATTTTCAAAATCAAACATAATTTGCATTTATGGAATGTAAGTTTATCAGCAATAACAGCTGTAAATTCTCATGGTAAATATTCAACAAAAGGAAACGGGAAAATTGAGTATGAATACAATGCACTTAAATTATATTTACAGGAAAAGGAATTCAATGTACTTCAATGAAAATATTTGCCACGAGTTGGAATACAAAGTCCTTAATATTGAGTGGAAATACAATGTACTTAGAGGAAAATATTTACCATGAGTTGGAATAAGAAGTCCTTAATATTGAGTGGAAATACAATGTACTTAGAGGAAAATATTTACCATGAGTTGGAATAAGAAGTCCTTAATATTGAGTGGAAATACAATGTGCTTTGAGGGAAAAATAACTGTATTGCTAATACTACAGTATTTCTGAATACGGAGACATTTTATCTTAAATATACAGAAAAATTTACAATTCTATTTCTGTTCATGAATCAAAGTTCTGCTGTGAGTATCGACAAAACTTTTTTACATATTTTATATCACAATGATAAATATCCTTTCCTATGGGGTGACACCTTGAACCATTTGTGAACAGAATTTAACAATTGATAAACTCAATACAGAATGACACTGCATACAAGATGCGACATAAGCAACGACCATGAACCTTAGAACCAGTTACTTATACAGGGTGTCCTTAAAGTTTCTATTTTACAACTTTGTTTTGTAATTGTCAAGAGAAAATATGGACACCCTGTATATCATCTGGCCCGGCTAATTTTTTTAGCCCTGGTTTTCTTAAGACGCACCCTAATAACAAGATATATAATAAAAAATATATACAATTTATAATGCACTCATTAATAAAAGTCACATGGAAATGAATACTTATCACATTTAAACATTATTTCATATACCAAATTTTCTTGTTATAATACCCTTGCTTCTGAATGCAAGAAACATTTAATTCCTGGCATGACTTCGCACATAAGAGATGCCTATGAGCACTATTTCAGGAAAATATAGTACATGTATATTCAAACATCACGGTAACGATAATATCACAAATACTACCTGATCTCTGAGAAATTTGTTAAGAAAATTTTCTAAAAAATGGTATTGTACCAGGCTTACATAATCAATACATTGAGATTCTGTTCAATTATCAATTACACATACAACAAAGCATGCAAACATGTAAAATACATTATATAAATGTTGGTAGTGTCTCATCTTTGTATAATAACAGCATAACATGGGCTTTCTAGAGCCAATGATAAACATAACAACTACTTAACATATATGAGATTCCTTCTGTAACTTCATATATATACAGGGTGGCCAAAAAGTCTCTTAACACTATACCGACTGTTTTGTGTATTGTAATTGTAAAAAGACTTTGGAAACCCAGTATATTCCAAAGATTTTCACTCCACAATTGTAGGTTTATCCATGGACCTTCAAGAGACACTGAAAGCCCATGGTTTATCTAAAATGTAAAGTGACACACATAGTTTTCGATTCATTAAAATATTTGATTTTCTATCCCCAATGTACAGGGTGTCCCGAAAGTATGGGCCCTAGGCAGACATATACCATTTAAAGATTATCCAAAGTTACATTGATTCGCCAAGTATCATGGTTCAACTCTCAAATGTGAAAAAATTACAGGCATTTCAAAATTTAGTGTTTAGTCAAAATTAATTTAAATTTTACACCAAATCCCTAGGGGGCATACTTTCGGGACACCATGTACATTGTGAATGCATTGATGCCATCAGTAATATATTTGATTGTACATGTATTGCATGTAAAATTGTGAGAGTGCATGGATAACAGGGAATAAAAATAATATTTACGTGTACATGAACTCACAGATATTGATAAACATAATACAGTGTAAATATGAATGCCACATAACAAAGAGTATTGGGAACATATACCACTATAGGGTTTTGTATGTAAAGTAATATAAGAAAATACCATATGGTGATATTCTGAGAATATTATCCACTGCAAATCATAGAACACATGCTTTAATTCAAGAAATAAATGGAGGTAGATATAAAAATACGATTGGGAATATTTAAATGTAGAGTTAAAGAGAGTCCGCTCCAATTCCAAAGATTTTTCAATTTTATAATATTTTTATGTGCTGTCAATCTGTGTCATGGCTAACTATTTTCCAAAACCTCTAAACCTTTATTTGAAATACCGTAGGTGATATGTACATGTGCCCTAACTAAACTACAGTGTATTTAGTGGAAAAACTACTAAGAACATCATCTAGTTTAAAAAACTGAACTCATCAAAAGAAGCACCTCATAACCCCATCTTACTTATTTTGCAGACAGGTTTCGTTGGGGTTACATAATCATTTCCCATTACTTTCTGTACATAATTTCAAAAGCTTATGCTATTCAAAGTTAATGTTTGGAAGCAACGATTGCTGGAATTGAAATACTGCATTTGGAAACCCATTGTAAATGGGTCACATCACAATTAATATACTTGTTTTATAAACATATATGCACCACAAATACAACAAACATAAGGTAAATAAATATGAGGGTTTTGATAAGGGATTTATCCCATTAGAAATGTATGTATTATCTCTTAACCTCTCTTAACTCTGGGGCAAATACTGGAATATTAAATATCATCCTGATATTTTCTAACCTGGCCTATCGTAACATATGCTGTAGTTACAAATTAACTGTTTTATATTCAGTACATGTTAGTATATAATACGTATAGTAAATCTGAACACAGTTATTATTATGTATAATAAATGAAGGGATATAGAATGATTATTCATACAACTTGTGATTATGGGATTAATTTGTTATACCCCAATTGGAAAAGTTATTGGATATATCCCTGAAGAAAATACCGATCATATCTTCCCAAGGTTCCCACAGTTGATATCAGTATTTTCCTTATGATATATCCTATATCCAATCCCTTCCAGTGTATAACTTGTATGTAAATATTATATAGTTGAGAGCATGAGATTAGATATATCTTTATTTTCTTTAAGAAAATCCCTACATCTAAAATTGACCTTTACATTCTCAATAATTGATCCTTTTTATTTTTGAATAATAATTCAAAAATGTTAAATGAGTAGAGACGTGATATTTTTGCATTTCAAATGCAATGAATAGAAATTCATTGTTTAGAGATTCTTCATCAGATCACCTTTTCAAATATTTTTACAGAAAATTTTGATTTTCCTCTTTATTCTGTCATATTGCAACTAACTGTGGTCCAATAAGGACCAATATTCTAGTACTCATTTCATTCTGAATGAGTGATGAACTGATTGAATAAGCACCTGCGCCTTCAAAATATGGCCCTTTTATACTTTGTAGGCCATGATTCATACTGATACCTCACTGATTGCTTCATTTTGCAGTTTCTGTAGTTGTACCATAATTTATTGAACCTTTCCCATTGGGTGGGTCATGACTTATATTGGGTGTGTCATCAAAACTTGTGTCCTCTGTGCCACTGGACTCCTCACGTGGAATGATTGGCCGTGTCATGTATTGCTGTTCGCTGCAACTTCTAGGCTGGACTTCAATCTGGTTGACATCAGAAAACCACCATGCTGTAATGAAATAACAGATCATCTCTTAATATGCAAATACACTTGCTTTGTGAAGCTTGCTTTACAGCCCCGTGTAGTATCGTTACGTGTTACACTAGATATGTTATGTCATACAAGGCTAACCACAAACATGAACAGTTGTACTATACAATAGAATATGAACATTCAGCCAATTGCAATACTATTACAGACAAAACAAAATGGTACAAAATTACTGTTGAATATGCATTTCTAAATATGAATATGAATCTAGCACTGGGTTTTAAACTATGAAATATACCAGAACTGCAAGATGCATAATACAATCTTGCATTTCCAGATGGCTTTTGTATCAGATTATTGACTTTAAAGGGAATACCATGTTAATCTCCCAAACCAAGAAAATGTAAAAACAATCAATTATCTTTAATAATGTAAGTCTAAGGATAATATATCTTAAAATCTGAAGACCAAAAAAGAGTTATCATAAATAAAACAGACAGATACTTTGTGTTAATATTATGTGTGTGAATGTATGCAGTGCGTGTTATATACAAAGTCAACACTTTAGGGCTGTAAATGGAGTTATATGAATTACATTATATACTGTAGTAAAGAAAACTGCCTTTAAGAAGGGAATTAATTATTTTTATTTGAACACTCTAGTGTATTATGTTAGTACTAATATTACCTAGATTTACCATATACTATGCCCATGCCTACATATGAAACTCTTATAGACGCCCTAAGTGTTAATAGACGCCTTTAGTGTGATTATTAATACAGTGTAGAAGATTAAGAAAAGAATACTAAGATGTGATTATAAGGTAATCAGAATTACATTTCAGATTGACTTCCTCCTCTCAAAATGTACTGAATAATCATTGATTTTTCTTCAATAAAGTTGTTTCCCTTTAAAAAATCAATATCTCCTCACAAAACATGGAGTTTTACCCCCCCCCCCCACTAAATGTGAATAGTTATGTTAGTGCATATTAATCAAGAAGTTGACCAGTCCAGAACAAAATGTGACACAATGATCTAATGTTGAATCAAAATGAATTTCAAGAAATACAAAGGTACAAAACCAAAGGTTAGAATATTATTGTGCATTGTTATACAGGGTGCCCATAAAGTCTATTTACAATTTAAACAGACTTTGTATTGTAATTGTAAAGTGACTTTATGGACACCCTGTATAAAAACACCAAGAATCCTGCGTGAGAGTTCACAAAAACATCACCACCAGACTTACACTTAAACCTATCAAAAGTCGATGGCTTTAATTGTTGATTTCTTGGTGTAACATTCTCTGCTAGAAAATTAAACATTTCAACAAATGAAATTAATTTAATAATAAAAATAAAATAAAATGTTTGTCTAAAATTAAAACTCATCGTTGCTTCTTACAACACATTCTACATGGAAAAGGCATTTCATAATGCCCTGTTATTTAATAACAAAATAACATCATACGAACAAGAAAATAACTAAAAACATACATGTAGTTCAATAAGATTCACATACCAGGGGTTTCACTAGAATTTCTCACAACAGGCTAAATAAATGAAAACAACAAGCAAAATTAATGGAAATCATAAATTTAACATAGAAAAGTTGAAAAGCCCCTAAAAACAACAGGCAATTTTGTGAAAACAACTGGTGAAAATCGCCTGTTGCTTGCTGCTAATGAAACCCCAGCATACAATAAAATTAAATCAAAAATGTACATAATCTCTAATGAAAATAAACTGACCATTAATCTAGTTCAGCTTATTTCCATCTTAAGTGAAGACCAAAATAATTGCAGATTCTAGGTTGAATCATCACCCAGTTATATGAACAATAACAAAAGAATAAACTACATGTGTCTTACTTGGAAGTATCTGTTGCACAAGTTTCTTCTCTGTGAGTGGCTGTTCATCTTCAGAGACAGGAGGTGTTGGCTCTTTGCCAGCTGTGATGAAGTATACACCAGTGAAACATAAAAAGCACCTGAAAAGTGATATATTTGAATTGAGTTAGATATAGGAGGATATACAGGTCATTTTACAACTCAAAATAAAGTCATTTCAGATGCTGCTTACTCAATGTGATTTTATCTAAGAAAGGAGGACAACATTATATATGATGATGATGGTGTAGTATCTAAGAATAAAACATTTCAGTTTTAATTTCTATAACAAGAAGGATCTGCCTTTCACTGGAATGGGCATAGGTTAAAGACATGTAATTTACAGTAACACCATACACGATATATATATAGTGTATTTGTCAGCAGTGGCAAGCAGATAATGGTTCACGTGTGGCTAATTTTGCCACCTGCTGCCTTTAAATGCAAGGCCTGCTGGATATGGGCAAATTGGTATAATAAGCTATAATAGCTCATACTATGAATCATAGGACATCACCCTTTCACCACTTAATACTGATGGCATGAGTTAAAATAAATGACCCTAGTCTGAGAATAGATTAATTACTCACCCAAATAAAAACATGAAGACATTCAAGGCATGTAATCCCCACAGCTCTCTGTAGAATATAATACCTGAAATAGAAGATTTAATAAACATTTAAACTGTGTGCCTATAACCTGTATGAGCCAAGAGAAGACATTTAAGGCATCTCAGGAATGGGCAAGGTGATCACAGTAATTGAATTAAATACATTGCATTCCAGAGACATCGATATTCACATTCAACTCCCATTTAAAACTTAAGTAATAGAAATACATTAAAATGGAAAGTTCTAGCAAGAGCCAGTGATATTTACCTGCTATAATTGCACTGATGGTGAAGAAGACAAAGTTGGTAGGGACAACCACAGTAGAATCATGTGCCATGATAGCCTGGTTCAGGTACCTACAATTGCAGAGTATTAAGTAAAAAGTGCACGGAGAAAATGAAGTTAGCTTCAAAATGGTTTAACCTGTCTCCCTCCCATATGTATAACTGCATTTCAAAATGTTGATTTGTTGATCACTTTAATCTTTCAAAAATCAACATTCTTCACTAATGAAATAGCCATTTACCCCCCCCCCCCCCACCCCCTAATGAAATGAATTTCATTCTTCCACAACTGTTGACATTTAAACAGTATCCCTTATGGAGAGAAAAGAGTGTTGTGATGCTGGATTAACATTAAGTATATGTCACTTACTTTAGTTGTGCCACTGCAGTAACAGCCAGGATGACAATCATGACCCAAAATATGACATACTGAAGTTGCATCACACCACTAAAGGTCAACTGGAGCATCCCAGAAACAGCTTTGGCAGATATAACGGTAAGTGATGCTGCAAACAGAACACAATGGAAATATAATGTGATGCAAAGAGAACGCAATGCAAATACAATGCAATGCAAATACATGTAGAATGCAATGCAAATAGAACACAATTCAAGTAGAATGCAGTGGAATTATTACATGCTGAAGAACATATTTGGTTTGCTGTCTTTCACCTGTTGCAAGTGTAGATGCCTGACAACCCTTACAATAAATCTGGATAAGGCGCATTTTAAGCTTCTGTGATAATGAGGTGGATTTAGTGATTGATTCGTGTTTTTGGCATCATTCTACTTAGTAAAACATTCAAACAATAATTAATTAGAATATGATAACCTATTATTTGAAAACCGTGTCCTGGTTAGGATTTGTTTTTCCTTCCTCAAAAGTGTGGTTTTGCATCTCATTGTCAAGTGAAAATTGTCACATGCCCAAAACAGACAGTTTGTATCAAATTCTAGACAGTACACTTCTGCAATATGATATGATTTTCAAACAAATGAGAATAAAATATAGTACTTCAATAAGTCCAAGGGGAAATTCAACATAATTCATTGCTACAAATGTCAAAGCAGTCCCAAGGGAAAACATTATTTATTGTTCCTCTAGAAAAACAAATAATGACAATTGTACTGATAAATCTATAATTATATTAATGGTATAGATAAGTAAGTTTCAGAATACACCCTCATGGGGGTAATGCATTACTATACAAAGCACCTAAAGTAATAACACCACAAGCACAGCTGCAATATTGAAGCAAAATGTAGAGAATCATACACTTATATCAAAGGCTTTATAACATTACATTTAATAAACCTGAAGTGATGAATCAACAAGGTTGTAATTGCATTCCAAATGAAGCTTAGTCTTATCGCCAGTTCACTTGGAAACGAACGATTCTGAATTTGACACAAGACAGACATAATTCTAACTTAATCTGCCATATTATTCAAGCAAGCAGCATCTATTGACTCCAATTAGCCTTTCATGTATTGATCCAATAGTAGCAGATCTCAGTATAATTGTAAGTGCCATTTCTTACATCTATTTCCACTTCCTTCAATGCCTTATTATAGTATTTCTTAACTAAATACAACTCACAGGTTACCCATTCAGGGATGGAGAATCACCAAGTGGCATACCTTAATGCAGCCTTCAGATACCTTAAAGGGACACTAAATTCATGAAATACTCATTTACAGAACCTTACCCTTTTATATGGCCTTGACCTCTATTTGACACTGAACTTAGGGAGACCTCAATACTGTTAAACATAAAGTTTGGGATTGGCCTTCTGAGTTGAATTAACCTTTAAACATTAAAACTAGAGGTGTCACGTGTCAGCTCTATCTGTACTGGGAATATAAAGCATTTTAGGATAATTTACGATATTCATGAATGTTCTGAGACATTTGAATGAATGGAAATTAATTTCAGCCTAACTTATGCAACAACAAACCGTCCTGATCCTAACATGCCTAATCTGGATGTAGAAAAGTAATGATACGCCATCTCTGATACTATTTGTCCTAATAACCAAGACTTATTGTTTATCCATTACGTAAATACATGTATATGTATTGTTACCTACGCTTTATTTGGCTCTTCAAGTTGGTCAACTATGAATAAAATAATCACAGTTATGGCAGAGCATGAAGTACTCATAATTACATCACCCCTAATTAATGATATAAATGTACGAACCTAATAAAGAGGTAATTAGCAGTAGAAGGATAACATTGTTTTTCTTGTACTTGTACTTCAAAACTAGTAGCCCTGTCAACATTATTAGTTCAACAACCTGGAATATAATAAAATCATAGTTATTGTATGACATAAATCAAATGATGTCATTTATAAAAATTGCCTAAAGAGTATTAAGCCCAAGTGCAAAATCTTCATTTGTTTTATTTGATTTTGTATATAAAAAGTATATAGGTTTCATTTGGGGATAATCTTTTTAATAATGTGTGAATTTTGTAAATGTTTTTGCAGGAGATGCCTGAATCAATTCTGCCCCTAGCAGATATGACTGTCCCTTTAAATGAAAGTATGGGATAAATATATTTTATCTACCTGATTTAGATTGAAAACAAGATAATTAACTTACACTGGCCTAACTGGATACAAAGTGAATGGTTTTGAGATCTGATGTATAATAGAACAGGGTAATACCATGTTATTTCCAATCATATTCGTCAAGATCATTTCGTATTCATTGAATCAGATATTAATTGTCAGTATATGTCACCTTTAGAGTTATGTTACTATGGTAATAGATGGCAAAAGGCTTACAATATAGAATGGCAAGGTCAGCCAAGACCCAGCAGATGCTTATGAGATGAAACAATTCCTGTTTCATAGGGGTAAGCACAACCCATATTGATGCTAGGAAATTAGTACATCTACATGTATAGCTTTATAAATGTATTTGTGCATATTGAACAACTAAAGCCTTCAAATAAAAAATCTACATTGTGCTGCTTATCCCTATTTTGGGATTTTGGGAAGCTACGGCCGCCGTACGGTTGCTGTCAATCAAATGTAACCATGGCGTTACTATTCAAAAATGTACATATAGATGTCTACATCTATTTCATGACTGCCAGGGACAATTTTGAATTGACTCTTGAGGAATGGAATTCATATCTAACTTATCAAGAAAAAGCTTCTTAGAAATGGCAACAATTTCGATATAATTAAGAGATAATTCTTAGATTTGGGCCGCATTTTCAACAGGAAGATAAAATAATATTTGTGAGCGTCATTCTACATATGCTAAAGGAATGCTTTAAAGATATCATTGCCGACCAATTTGATCAGTCCCCTTGAAGGTCACGTAGGTCAGGCTGGTAAACTTTTGTTAATAGGATGTGGATCACCCACACTTATTACCCACACCCACTTATTACCCACACTTGAAAAAACACTTATTTTCAAAATAACTTTGTACAGCTTAGGCAGAAGACAAATAATTGTTATGCAAGAAAACATGTCTAATCTGAACACCACCGGGACTAGTCAAAAGCATTCGGATAGGCAAGTGTTCACATTTTGAGGTTTTTTAAACACAAAAAAATGGGACCAAAAAGTGTTCACATTGAGAGGTGTTCAGAGTTGAAGTGTTTTGATATAAATGTTTTAATGTTGTAATCCTATTTATATAAAAGATGGGAAATATGTAATACTCACCATGTATACTATGAATGCTATCTGTGTTAAGAATTCAACTATCTTTGGACCAGAGAGGATGATTTCTGTACGTTTAGAAAAGTTCACAATAAGAAAAGCTCCAAGAATGGCTAAGGTACAACCTACAAAACAACAAAAGTGTTTTTATTTATATGTTGTTTATGTCATTGAATATTATGTTACGTTATTTTATGCACAAAAATGATAAAAATATTCTTCTTATCAAATACTAGATAGCGACTATTCCAATGCAAAGCAAATCCCATTGAACACGTGACAAGCTAAAGCAGACACGTCGCAACACCATCATCACAATTGTTTGATTTGGTTGAAATTACAAGAATGACAATATCATAATTCCAACTTTGAAATGTCACTACATCACTATCACATCATGGCAATATCCCACCAATGGTGTGAAACAAATGTTCCATCACATCATTTTCTCAAATATTATAATTTACATTCTTACCAAACATATCTTCAGGTCTAAGTTTTTCCTTCAGCATGATAACTGCAATGAACATGTTTGCTGAAACAAAACAAGAAATCCCCCATTTAATTAAGCATGTACTCTGAAAATACTATACGCTTTTCTACACCTTGACTACGGGAAAGAAAGTCCAAACAATAAATGCCTATTAATAACAACATAAATTGATGTTGAATATCAAGTCCAAGACAAGACAGAGTGATGAGCGTTTACGACATTGTGTAAAATAAATACATTTTGACTCTATTGATAATCCTAAGATCATTTTTCTGGCCCAGCCTGATTGACTGATATGAATATTGAAGCGAGTAGGAATGTTCGAAGGAATTACTTTAAATATCTTACCTACAACAGTAGTCATCCCAAGTGGGGCTACAAGAGAAGCAGGGGCAAAGCCATAAGCTGCAAAGTTGCCCACTTCACCAACTGTCATCAGTATCAGGCCAAACCACCATAACGGGTCCTTAGTGTAGTGAATGGGGTCTATTCTTTGGTCATTTCTCATATGAGAGTATTTCTGAAACAATAAATAATAGCTACAGTAAAATCTGCCTCAGTGAACACACGTCGTGAACACCTGTGTTAAAGATCTAATAGCAAAGGTTTTGCAAAAATGAATCAATGTAGTATAAAACAAATGTATGTATAATGAAGAAATAAATATATAATGAAAAAAATAGATACGTGCTTGTAATATTGGTATTAACTTATGATTAAAAAGTGTCACTATCTCTTTCATTTTTCAACAAATATAGGCTCACGTGACATGTGACGCGGGGCAGTCAATTTTGATCTATCGTAGACCATATCAGTATCAAATTGCCGATATTTCAACCTCGTCTTGCGAGGCCATTTTGATTTGAAACATCTTGAATTTGGTGCCAAAATAAAGCTGGTCACGCCCACTTTCATAGTTATCAATGAATCATTTACTACGACTACTATATTCATTTAGGAGGCGTGTAAAGTTAACCAATCAGAGAGACAATTGTTCCATATATGGCAGTTCATTAACATATTCAGTGCTTACTACTGCTTTTCGCGTCATGACAACATGAGGGAACGTGAGTAGTAACCAATCAAGATGCCGTATTTTATCACGTGAGTTCAGAGTGACAAGTACACGCGTACGACATGTAGTCTGAGCGGATCGCGATGTTGAACAATTTCTTCTCGGAATTTGTCCAGAGAAATCAGCGATTCTAAATTAAGGTAGGATCTGCCATTTCTTCCTGTACAAGTTATAACTTATCTCTAATGAATACTAAAGTTTTGGATGAAGATATGAAGCATACGTTTAAATACGAAGCGATTAATTTGACGATCTGATTTTGCAATTTGCAATGGCCAATTTACAGCAAGTCTGCGTGTATTTGACAAGAGATAGCCAAGTCTTGTATCTAAATGCTTGTTAAGCCTTACTCAAAAACAAGATCCATATTTTCTAAAGTTGATAACTTTGCAGAAAACCTGTTTTCATAACCTGATTTCCGCGTCAAAAATTCAAACTGGGTAATAGGAATGGATCGGTGGGATCCTCAGTCTCCTCGGGTCTTCATTCCAGAACTCACCGATTTTTAGTTGATTCTCCGACCGTCATAGTACTTGTCTAAAGTATCCATATTTGCTCTCTTACTGGTATACTTGGACACATTTTCCCCTGTATTTTCCCCAGTCAAATTACACCCTCTCGCCGATTTATAATAGCCATTTCTCAGAACCCGGGAATCAGAATCGCTGATGTTTGCCATATTGAACATGTTGAAATATGTACTGTAATATCTGTAATTGCCTACTACGCGTAATGGTCACGTGACTAGCGCGATACAGGAAAAATGGGGAATTTCGAAACAACAATTTTTGGGCACTTTTATTGCAAATTTCAGGTATCTATAAGTGTTTGTGGTATAAAATATCATCCCCAGACATAAATGAACATCCAAACTACATATTTTATTAAGTTTTGGAGCCTTTTTTACTCTTAAATTGACATCTTTAAATGAACACCACTTCAAGACACATTCTTCATTGACTCCTGTATAAGAGTTTCTGTTGTGAGCACCTTCAGAGAACACTTTTTGTGGCTAGTGTTCACTATATGCAAGTTTTAGTGTAGATAACAGCAAATCAAGGTATAGCAGAAGTTGGTTATATGCAGAATGTTATGTAAATTTATTCAGGAAAATTCAAGAGAAAAGTGAAAGAACACTTTGCAAGTCTAAACCGTTTCAAGACTCTTAATGACTTCAATAATCTAAAAAATCTCTGAGTGACACAATGCAATTGATATAAAAATGAGCAATTGATCACACCGATAATTGATGTTTTTAGCCTTATCAACTTTTAGGAGTTAGTATGTGCCTTAATATTTAATTGAACCCCAAATCCCTCCTTGATTTTTATAACTATGATAAATGTAGAAGTGTATTCTTCTCACCTGAACATTTAAGGACAAACTTATAAGTAGGTTTCCTCCTATAGCCAATCCACATCCCACAAGGTACTTCTGAAACAAAATAAAATCAAAATTTACGATTTCTTAAAAAAGCTCAGATTGCACCAGTTAACATCTTCAAAAAAAAATTCCCAGGGAAGCAATAGCATACCCTGGACACCCCAGATGCACAGGCCATGGCCACTCAGTTCATGGGGAGTAAGTCACCCTCCCTCTTGTAGTTGTATTCTGTAAATATCAGATCAGATCTGGGAAAATCCACCCTATAGATCTATGGTCCGATGGCTAGACTATATCCTATAGTCTGAAATTATTTTGAAATTTGGAATGAAACTATTCATGACTTCTAGTCAGTCTGTCGATACAGATTACCACTTTTTAATGGCCTGACTACATCAGAAGAATTTGAAAAATAAGAGTTAGCTAACGATGGGACATCCTCCTAAGCAGGTGTCCAGAATCCATACCTCCTTCTTCCTCCTGCCATAACCAATTTGGAAGCGCCCAATAAAACAAAATCATGTGATCTAATTATACGCCGATGATGTATACATGATATTTCGTATTGAAACTTCAGGAACTCACAAGAAAATCATTCATTTTCATGGTTCATGTTTTACCTCTTAGATACTGTGCTAACTGCTCAATGGTTGATGCAACATAGGTGAAAGGGTTTCATTGAAATGTGTTTTTTATCCTCTAGAAGGTAGGGGAGATCCGTCAAACTTCGACATATGGGGCTACTTCGTCATGGGGCTATTTCGACCATGGGGCTATTTCGACATTAGCTTATATTTCTGATTCACGTAGACCGCCATGTTTGTTTTTTGTAAATTCCAAAAATAAATCGAAATTTCCAACAGACGAGATCTAATCCAAATGGCCGAGCCCTGGAAATCTGAATTATCAGCAATGGTCAAAATAACCCCATCCCAGGCCCAGGAAAAAAATTTAAATCCCCCCCCCAGTCACTGTATAATGTAAAAAAAAGTTTTTTCTAAGTAGATCTAGATCTAATAGTGAGTGGGAGGGATGAACTCTTGTTTCCGTGTCTGTGAACCCCATGGTCGAAGTAGCCCCATGACGAAGTAACCCTATACGTCGAAGTACGACGGATCTCCCTTAGTAATACTCCCAATCGTTAGCTACTCATCTTTCAAATTCTAGAAACACAGGTCTAGTCCAACGTCACTGATATGGTATATTCGAATCACTTTTTATGTGAACAACAAAATAACATTACTCTCTGAAAAATGTGTTAGCTCAGAAGTAGTCGGAAGAGGAGTCTGACAGATTAGTAATCGTGAGCATAAATCAGATCTGAATGAATTTTATTTCCGAATGACAGAACACAGAATAATTTTTGATTTTGATATTCATTGAAGGCTACTTACTTGATAGTGAACCACTGGACTCTCAGTAGGAGCGATCGTTGTATTATTTGATTCCATCGCTGCAAATTCGTTACCTACATTTGTTAACATTCATAATCCATCAAAATTCAATCGAATGTCCCAGAAAAAAGTATTTCTCTATTTTCAATCCACCATCTTGAGAAGTACGCCACCTATAATTCATAGGTATATGGCGACATCTATGAATAATTGAAAAGGATATTTGATAGATCTTCATAATATATGAATTTTGCAGGGGTTTCATAGTTTGAATGGTCATTGGTCAACACTAACCATATGACATTTGACCTGAATAAGCACTGGCTTATGCAGAGGCTAACAAAGGGGGGTACATATCAATTAAAAAAATAATTAAGGCCCATGATGTTTTGATAATTTGGCCTAAAAAAGCCCTAAAAGGCCAAGTTATGCCCAAAAAGTCACACTTTAATGAGGCCCTTCAGATTTTTGGGTCCAATTACTTTTTTGGGCCCTAAAATTATTTTCTTGGCCCCAAGGGTAGGGGTGGGCGGGCCCCATGTTCCAGCCAATCCGTACACAGTATTTCATATAACTGCAGTGCATTATATCACCACATTCAAGGTCACTCCTTATGTGGATGTCAAGGTGACAAGTTGACTCTACAGATTGAAATTGATGCTTTGCCAATTTGACCCTTGCAATAAGTTTCATTGAAAAAATGTTGTTTTAGTGATTTTGTATCTTGAAATGTGAAAGGTGACATGGTAAAGAATATTCTGTAATGTGTGAAAAGAATTTAAGCCCATGACTCAATGCATTATGGAATGATCATTCCTTCCAGGTGTTGTTCCCTAAAATTAACACTTAATGCTGCGCATCATTAATTTCACTGAATCTTAAAATACTCGGGTTAAAATAACAATAATTGGTTATGTATTCAAGAATGCAGATTATTTGAAATATAATGTGAGCTGTAAGTTTTTATGGATTCTCAGCCTATGCTGCATTCACTTTTACAGCTTAAAATAATAAAATAAATACCAGCACTATGCATCGTCCCATCTAATGGCAATCCATACAAATATCAGTCTGATGCATAGTATCAATTTAAAGATGGTTTAACATTGAGATGCCAGTGCAATAATCATTTTATGACAAGACTTAAGGCATCCATATGGATAGCAGTCTGATGTGCAGCACCAAATAAAAGACTCAACTTTCTTTAAGTGCATATATGGTTAATTTGCAGTACTTATTTACTTTTTTATGGTACCCCTTATGGCGCCCAATATCAATGTTTGTATCAGTCTGGTGCACATACTACAAATTAAATATATAAATATATTAAATATATGATAATGTGCACTAAACTGGTATCATTTGTTAGACAATCTTCGACTTGATGTTGTGCACCACTGATAATTCCAGTTATAAAAGATACACAGGCTATAGAAACAGTATCAAAGGGTCATATACTTATGCAGCTCTTTGAAGTATCCTTCATGGAGTCAGCCCAAGTAACAAGAAGACTTTCAAATATTTAACAAACTCAAGTGGTCTGGAGCCAAAAGTGTAATAAAACACTGTAATGATATTATTTCTGAGGTCAGAATTGCCCCTGTGCCCAACAAAGGAATGCAAGAGATAGAAATTGCGCTATCAAGTCTGTGTATATAGCGCTGGCACTTAAAGATTAGCACGAACCAACTGGCAAAAGTCAGATATAATCCTTTAATTATACAATCTATTCACTTAACCAAACAACCTTGTCATATTACCCTAGCTTAAGAAAATATTGCACTTTGATAAATCTTTTAAAGAGCTTAAAGGAACTAAACGGATACGTCAAATGTTAACATATCTCTTTCAAATATCCAAACAGACATTCACTTCGTTATGTTATTCTGGTATTTGTTAGCCCATAGTTCAAATAATGTTTTAAAAAATCTCAAGTTTTAAATCTTTAAATCTATAAAAGTGCTTAGTGCAAGAACATCAAAGGGCTAAAAATACTGTAACTTGATATACCTGCTGGATATCAATAACTGAAAGAAGGAGTTTTTGCATCAAGAGCCAACACAACAATGGAGAAACATATCAGAAAATTGATAGTGATTATGATAAATGAAAAAAATAAATGAAAAATATTAATTAGTACTTAATTCTGACAGTGACTCAATTATCAAACTAAACTAAATAAGAGTATTATCAATGCAGAACTCCAAGATTATAAGTACCACTTTTAATGAATTACAAATATAAGTGATCAATACTTGATGTGTATAATGCCAAAGCTGTCATTACATAGGATAGTACCAGTATAAATGTTAAACTGAATACAAGTGGAACTAAGTTCATATACTGTAGTAGTATCATTCCTCTCAAGTATAGTATTGTAAATAAGTTGCATGGGGTATACTACACTAAGCTGATCAACTACAAAGGAACGGACATCATGTCACAATTTAAGCCAGTTGATCAGATGGCGTTAGATAATCACGGATCATATTTTAAACCAATAGCTCAAGCAACAGAAATTAGGGATAAAGTCCAATCCAATCCTCCATATACAGATATTAATGAACATCCATCCTGGGATTATTCAAAGCAGGGTTTTATTACCTACAAACAGATGTCAAATTCACAACCGGTTGCTGGCATCCCTGGGCATAAGGAATACAAAGTGAGTGAAAGGATACATACACAAGATAAAGGTATGATTCAAAAGGACAATATGTCTCATAATGACTTGAATCACCAGAATAGTTCTGAACAAGAAAGGATGACTGTGTTTCCTAACAAAACTTATACCCATATGGTTCCACATGGGAAAGAAGCTGAGGAAATGTACTTTAAACGAATGACTGCAGACTTGGTAAAACCAGCTGGAGATCAGGCTTATGAATCAAAGATGTATCAGTACAATCCAAACAAATACAACCAAATGCAAGACAATCCACAATGGAACAATCTCTCTCGGCACAATCCACAAAAACACAATTTGCAACAACAGAATCACCACCAAATCAGTTCTAAAAGAGATAATCTACCACATAGTGAGATAATGTACTATGCTCTGCCATATACACTAAGACATATCCAGAATGACACTGACCCTCTGTATCACGGTCCAGCTGGTAAAACTGGAGATCCAGCCACCAGAAATAAGAGTCCTACATTTTCTGATTCCAACAGTCAAGGAATTACACAAACTATGAACCAAATGATTACACATGACCCTTACCAAAATGTAGCTTCAACACAACTTGACTCTACATTAAATGAAGTAAAGCCTGCTATCGAAACAGACTTGACAAAGAAGAGTGGGGTCACCAAAGAAATAAAGGATCATCCAACTGGAAATGCAAATTCAATTAATCCACAATTGAGACCAAATGGAATGAATCTACAACTAAGTGGAAATGGCTTACCGTTAAAATCAAATTCAAATGGAATAAAGCCCGAATCAGGTGTAAATGAGATAAAACCTCAGCCAGGCTCAAATGCAATAAAGCCACAACCATGTGCAAATGGGTTAAAACCTACAACTGCAAATGCAATCGATGGCAAGATGATGATCAGCAAGAGAAAATCTCAAATGGATATCTCAACAATAAAATATGCTCACATTAGTAATGAATGTGTTCGTTTGACTGACTTACTGCAGGACATGGATGGTGAGACATTGAAACAAACATTGCTAAAGTGCCTATATGACGGGGACAGAAAATGTGTTATAGCACTTGGTGTATTATTCCCACGTCATGCCTCTGTACCTCCCCAGCATGGTCATTGCGTTAGGTGTCATCGTAAGTTTAAACTGAACGAGGAGACACATTGTATAATACGACACCCCACATCAAAGGTAGAGATACGTACCCAGGACAAGGAAGGGACAAACTTCAGATGTAAAGCATGTGGAGCAGACTTCAGACTTCATAAAATGGCATTTTATGATGAGACAATCAATTCATACATGGCAGGGTTTTGTTTCAATGGAAAACATACAGTAAATCCAATGGAAGTGAGGTATTCAAGTAATAGTGCTATAGCTACATGTGAGGAAAATGGATGCATACAATCAATAGTCTAAATCATACTCCTTTAACTTTTTACAAATAATTTTGTTCCAGATTGAAGAATTAAAGGCAGAATTAGAACAACCATTCCAAAAAATTGTTTTGATTTTCCAAGATGAACCTATCTCTATGTTAAAAAAATGAACCTCTAAGAGTTCTATGAAAAATTAACTACTAGTATCATTGTATGATATGTTCTTTAGTGAATTCTAGAATATTCCCCGCTCGCTCTCATTCCTTTTCAAGTCTTTAATGCAAAATTCGAACATGACTGTATTCACGCCTTCTAATAAACTCTGAACAAAGTCAACATTTCACACGGGGTATATTCACAAACAAAACCCCTGGTAATACGTGTAATGTGTGACGTCATAACGGCCTCAGACCTCAGAGCAGGGGTAATATTGTTGAATACACCCCTTGGGGCTAGGCACAAAAGCTTTCGAACCCCTCACTCCCTTCGGTCATTTGGAGTACAGAAAACGTTTGTGCCTAGCCCTGCGGGGTGTATTCGACAATATTACCCCTGCTCTTCAGTCTATATTTTTCTTAAATCAAACTTACTTCAAGAAAAAGTAATTGTTTACATTTATGTTCAATTTCTATGAATTTATTTTTCCAAATCTTACTAGTAATTTTAAGTAACTTAACAATTTGATGAGATATCAATGATATTTTGGGATCCATTTATGGTGGTAAGGAATACATTTGGTAGGGCAATTATAAATGCTATTGCAATTTACCACAACCGTATCTCTTATTCTGCCTTCAACATACATAAAATCAGCATACTTTAGAAACTATCTGAATGACTTGAAATTATTTTGCTGGGATCAAGACATTGAGGACTAGATATTCTTTAATCAGATCAAAACACCAAGTTTGAAAAATGTAGACATAATTTTAGGCAGGACAATGCCTAGATATGTCCTTATAAAAGTGATGCTTTTTTAATAGAATACTTCTTGCAAATCCAATTTTGAATTTTGGATAAGAAGTAGCCTTTCAGAGATATTTTGATGGAATACTGAATTTCAAAATTTTCTCTCATGTCTTATATGGAAAACAAGGCATACGTGATTTGATATCAAATTCATTTCTATACCTATCTCTTATTCTAACCAATCACAGCTGTATGATGGGAGGCTCACATAGACTAAGCTGCATTTCAGCATTGTCTCTGGTTTATTAGCACACAAATGGAAACAAATCATATTCAATTATATTTTACATGTCTTTATTACATGTTTAATACTAGTATGTACAATTTCAGTATTTTTCATTCATGTCTTTTTTATAAAATATACAGAGAAAATATATCAGAAAATGAACTTCCTATCAGATTTGAATCATGATTTTTTGGCAATGTACACTGTAGTATTTACAATCGCAAAAAAATAATAAATATATACAAACAAATACAAATGCTTTACAATGTTTGCAGTAGAATTAGTAACTTGATTCAAATGTAGCATTTCTTTCACAAAGCTGTGTTACCTAGCTGGGAAGCTATTCAATACAAGATATGTGTTCAAAATATCATAATAAAAATATCAACACACCTTTCCATTCATTAAGAAAAATATCTGTTATCAACTGCAACATTGTCACTGCATAATGGGTTTGTTCTATTTACATTAGTAAGAAAAAAGTTCTGATGAAACTAACGAACATGGACATTAAGCACTGAAATCCTGATTTCCATTTTTGGTACTCTTTGTACCACATATTTTATACGATGTCTTGATCAATGTTCCTACATTAACATACATGTTATATGTTGAATACCCGCACAGTCAATTTCCACAATGTCACTCTCTTTGTTTATCGGTCATCCTCCAAGACATAATTTGGATGTACAACAAGTATTGGGTCGACCTCATCAATGATATCTCCCTCGTCATGCTTGCTGCGACCTTTCAGACCTGTTTGCTTCAACTCTATTATAACGTTGTCCTGGAATAAAGTAAATGGTAAAATTAACAAGGCATTATATGCAAAATGTCACCACCTGCCATATGTTACAGACACTGACCACCATCCACAATCCGCTGCATGCCAAACACTGTCCACAAAACTTGAGGTGGTGACCAAGGAGGATTGGCTCCCGGGATCGAAACTCGATATTTTCCAACAATTAAAATGTTGAAATGTCATTATTTTCTGAAATTATAACCGACTATAAATTCAAAATAAATAGTTCAAAAGATTCTCACCAATATCTCGATCACTTCTTGTGAGTTTTGGAATTTTTCATTAGGAAATAATAACAAAATTCACGATTCAAATGTTGAAGTGAACAAAATGGCGGTGGTTTCAATTCGAATTTTGTATCACGACATGGGACAGGATATCGATGTAGCACTATGGGAGCCAATCCTCCTTGGGTGGTGACATAAAAATCAATTCTCCGAATAGAACTTACAGTGAACAGAAGTTTGCAAGACAGTATTTTCTTGATGTCATTTAATTGGGATTTCAATGTTCATGAATCAAATTGCAATCATTTTATCAAAACATCCTCATGCTCATTGCTCATGGACATTCTTATTTCATTTAAAAGATTTAATATTTTATCACATATATTTGCATTTTATAAATAGTTTAAACTTTGAAATCTCCCAAATTTGATCAGTTTTTCAGAAAAAAGTAAAAAGCCTGAAGAGGTCTATTAACTCACAGCATTAATAAGTCTATATATAACTTTTTCCACCAGAGTTTTCTTCTCAATAAGTTCATCTTCAGAATCGATGGTCCCTGATATTTCAGTGAGGTACCAGTTGACAAGATCACTGCGCTTCATACCAGAGTCATCAGAATCTACAAGCAAACAATAATTCACAATACATAGTCAGAAAGTTCCTCAGTTATAACACACCTGTAATCAATTCATTGTGTTTAAGTTTTTATCACAAGATATTGTAAGACTTATTTTAATATTTTCTGGAGGTTCAATTTTTACGGAGCACAGTAATCTAGTTTGTATGGTTGAATTTTTTTCCACTCTTGTCGGAAGTATTTTGTTGTAGACAACATTTATGATTAATTTGAATATTCTAATTTGGTGTAAAAAAATGCGTAAAAAAACAAAATACAACAGGTACGACACAATACTGCGTACCTCATCATAAATTTTGAACAGATTTGAGTACAGTTCTTAATATTTTTCTTCCCTTTACATTTGAATGCATTTCTACAAAGTTTTACAAATTAAGGAAGATGAACTTGAGGCTCCTTAGGCAAAAGCTGAATACTCTTATAAATACCAATTTAGCGTATCCCAAGATCATGACTTTGTCAGATTTAGTCAGTTTTATATCTACATAATGATACCTTACCTTCATCCTCTCCAATTGTAGACCTGAGGTGTAATACTAGCAGGTTGGCCATATGTTTATAGTCTTCATATGAGAGTGTTGTAGGTTTCTTTCCCCTTGTGTCCTCCTTCACTGGAGAAGCACTTGGAGGGGCCTGATTCTCCTGGTTCTCGGTATCTGCAAACATAAATACTTTGGTAAATACAAAACCAACATATGACCTTTAATGTAAAATTAAATTTCAGGACATCCTGGTTATTATCATTTGGCGGATGCATTTAAGAGCCTTCTCTGCTATATCAATGATACTAATTGGACAAATCAGGATAATTCTGGAGTTCAGACTTTTGCTTCGTGAGGTCTGACAGACTTCATTGGGAAACACCGAATCCCAGCGAGCAAAACGGACCAGAGAGTAAATTAGGGCAAGGTCTGATTAATGTATGGCTATCTACGTAATTTAATTGATCCTTTGCACTGGATTTTAAATCAAGAAACGCTCTGATCACAAAAACAAAATGAATAAAAAAATGAATGTGCGTTTATATTTTACCTTGAGACATATCTACAGGTGTATCTTCCTCCTCTTCTAGCTGGATGTCTGGCTGCTCTACACGGATGATAGACTTACTCAGCAGACGGAATGACTCACGAGCATGTTTTGGAGTTACCTAGGATACAGAATTAAATATTTTGAAAACTTGAAGTAGGCTATATATCATAGTCTATGCAAGATTCTTCTAAACTTGGTATACTATTTAGATTTTCCTTAGACTTCAAATTCTTAATTTCAGATTTCTCCTTTTCCATATAGCGCAAATTTTTCTTTCAGGAACAATGTGCGAGTACTGAATGAGATCACTAATTTAAGTAGCATAGACAACACTTGAGTGCAAGTTACCTCATCAGAGCAGTGCATTCTAGCCATTGCCTCGGAGAGCCTGATCATACTCTCAAGCTGTCGCACGGTGATTCTCCATGCAGACATCTTGCCATTCCCATCCCTTAGTCTCATCCTCTTGTACTCCTGGACCATAAATTCTGAGGTTTCCTTGGCAATCTGAAATAGAGGAGAGTTCTTCAAGTTCATTTGGATGAACAGGTTCAGGATTCTATTACTGGTTCAGAAGAGAGTGTGTATTTCATTTATGAATATAGGGGGCTTGGTAGTAGCAGTATGTAATATAACTGACTTATTCAAGATGCAAGCAAAGTGTGTTTGAGATTTTATGTTCATAACTTACCTGTGGTTTAAAGAGTCTTGCAAATGAGATGTATCGCATAATATCATCAGTAGAATAGACTCTCTCTATGGACTCTTCATTCCTGGCGTGTAAGTCTACAATACGTCTGGCTATGGCATAGTCTATCACCTAAAGAAAGTTCAAACATTTAATCTCATTTCACTGAAACTATAAGATGGGAGCATTACAAGGCACTAAAGAGTTAAGATCACACATCAAGTAGGTATCAGTTAAAAATAATGAAAAACATCCAAAATGGCCACCAGAATTCAAGATGGCCACCATGCTCTTAACTTTAGTACCATGTAACTACTGTAGGGAAACTTCAGCTCCTGTTCTCATATAAATGTAAATTAATTAATTAATTAATTTAATTTATTAATTAGAAGTTACCTCATTACACTCATCCACCAGGATGAAGAACAGATCAAATCTGGACATGATGGGAGCTGTCATGTTGATGTTCTGTTTCAAGGATTTAGTTCTTTCATAGCGTCCATTGATTGGGTTCGCTGCTGCAAGGATTGACGTTCTGGCATTTAGGGTAGCCTATAACAAAGTCATGATAAACCAAAATTATGAATATCATATCAGTAATTTGATATCAGTATCGGTGCAGCGAATAGAGTGCTGATAATGATGGCAATGAGCTGATATGACTCAATTCAGGAAAGAAAGTACTTTTTACAATGTTTTATGAAACTTGAGAATTCTTACTTTTACTCCCGCTTTTGTGATTGATATGGTCTGTTGTTCCATGGCTTCGTGAATTGCCACCTGGTCCTTGGGGTCCATCTTGTCAAACTCATCTATACAGCAAACACCCTGTCCAAATAACCAAGAATTTGGTGAATCTTTCAATTAAGATTTGCGTGGTAGTGTCATAAAATCTTGCAAGTCTTTATATATTTTTTTAGAATATTTGGGTTAAGTTTGAGAGACATAAGAATATAAAAGTTTACACCAAAATCACGCTTCAAGCTCGTTCACACTAAATTTAGATTGATAGAGTTTTTTTGGCATTTTGTACAATCCATTGTCTCCTTCATTCCAATTTGCAAGTACATAGTTCTCCATCTACGGACTGTAACTTGAATTTCTTTTAACTCAATTCCTATACACAACATACTATACTTAGGACCAACTTACATTATCTGCTAACATCAGAGCTCCAGCTTCAATAACAAACTCATGCGATTCCTCATCTCTCACCACAGCTGCAGTTAGACCAGCTGCACTACTGGCTTTTCCACTGGTGTACACGGCACGGGGGCTGAACTCTTCAACATGTCTACAACAAAATCAATAAGACACACATTGATAAATATCACACTTTGAAGTTTTCTTTTATTTACCCAGCATGCCCAAAACCTAATCAGATCTTGGCACTAGTTTGCTCTTGCATCAGTAAAAATTTAAAGTTGAACGGATAATAGAGATTTCATGGAATTTTGCTATAAAAATATTAGTCTTATATTAAGTCTCTTCCACCCGACCACCTCAATCTGTTTCTCTGACCACACTTGTTTTAGAAACTGAAAGACACAGGGGCTTGATGCAATAGCTCATCATAATTGATGTTTCAAAGGGATTTAAAAATCTACCAAATTTTTAGCAATAATATTTTGATTGTAAATTGTATTGCAGAACAGCTCGATCTGGCACAGTACAGATTTGGAAAAAAAATGTCCCCTTTGTCTTGGCCATACCAAAAATCATAACCTACTTTAAAAACTGACTCTTGGCTGTACTGGGGTCTCCTACAATGCATACATTCAGATCTCCTCTAAGATTCATCCCCTCTTTTGTTGTTTTGGGAACACCACCAAACATTTGGAGCAGAATACCTCGCTTTATCTCGTCATTTCCTGGAATTAAGTAAAATACAGTCCAGCATTTGTGAAATTACCCAAATTTAGAGCTCTACATCTCAAATGAAAGTTATATTTAAGAACAAAAATAAACCAAATTGCCAAAAAGACAATCCTTGCAATTAATTAATGAATCTATAGTGGCAGTGGCCTTTGGAGATTTTATCATATTACCCATGACAAGTAATGGGTCTAGTTTACTTCAGCTTACAGTAAATGGCATATACAGACTGTCCATAAAGTCTCTACAATTACAATACAAAATCGGTGTAAAGTGAAGAGACTTCCTGGACACCCTGTATAAGAATGCAGGATATATTTCAATGAAGTACTCACCATGTATGGTTGGAAAGAGACTGGTACATAAATTGTAATAGAGATTTTTATCCTGGGACATTTCATACATTTTCTGCCATTCAGTTGGAGTCATCTTCTTTTTTAAAGCTTCGGCAGTCAATTCTCCCTCTGCTTCTATGGTGCCACCATACCCAAACTGGATTCAAATTAAATAGTACACACATATTATGTATTATTCAAAATAATTCAATATTGTTATGAATTCATATATTTGTCATTTTTGAATTAAATATTATACTGTATGAACTTATACTGAATGAGGTTTGGAAGTGGTAACATTAGAATTGTTGATATTCTGGAGTGCATTTGTAAGGATTTTAATGTTCATGGCCAGGAAAAAGATTCGCATTGTTTCTAGCTATTGTTCCTGGTCACAATAATGTCTCATGTTAGACCAACCCACCAGGCCATCTGTTTTCTTTTTTCTTATTGTCTCTTATCAAGTATAAAAAGAAAAAAACATAAACGGGCTCACCTAAAATTAATGAAAAGTCAACTCTTTTCCTTGAAATTTCAGTCAACTGTCCAGGGCCAAGAAACACAACCATTTATCAAGGCTTACGAATCACAACAAACGTTAACATTAATAATCAGAATTCTGTATTCAAAGGTAATGTACATACCCGTGTGTTACAAGACCTGACATTGCAAGCTAGGAAGGCCAGTCTGTAGTTCAAGTCCCTAACACCAAGAGCCTTCAACCCTCTAACACCCTCAGACTCATAACCCTCAGCACCTTTGCCCATTCTAGTGCCTGTCTCAGCCCTAGCACCTGAAAAGAAATTATGAAATTACTTCAATGAATATAAAAAAATCATCAAACACTGTAAGTCACCTCAACATACTCATGAACTTTTTTGAGTCTTCGATCAAAACAATTGTGCACAAATGTCATGGAATAGAGTTCCATAATTTTTTCTTCCCATGTCCAAATGAAACTGCCACTGTATTACCAATACAAAGTCAGATGTTTTCCAAGTCATCGGAGCATACTTAAACCATTATCATCAATTTTTATAGAGATTTTCTTACCAGGCATTGAGAGCATCCCAATATCAGGAACCACTATTAAGGTACCAGTAAAGTCACACTTGTCTCCAGCCTGGGCAGTCTCCACAGCTTCTGCCCTCAGGATAATCTCAACACTATAAATATGCAGAGGATCATATAAGGGACAATCAAAATACACAAATTAGAAAAGAATTGTGTCAGATCTCCATGGTCATATTTCAAAAAAGCCCAGGACTTCATACATTTTCAGATCATTTCATATAGGATCTTTTATGATTTTCTAAAACCTAATTAGGAGGCCCCCCGACAGGGGGCCTCCTATAGATTTTATAGATATTATTTATTCTTTATTCTTTATTCTTTATTCTTTATTAGGAGGCCCTTCAAGGGGCCTCCTATAGTTTTTGTAGTTATTCTTCTTCTTATTATTCTTTTTAGCACTTTTTCTCCTACTTCTAGCTAGGTCTGAATTAACTCTTATATGCTCCTACTAGGGACATGAGCTGGACTTGTCGGGAAATTAGTTCATATCTAGGTCAAGGTCAAAGGTCAAAATCTAGGTCAAATCTACGTTTTTTTCAAGTTTCTCAACGCCTGACACTAAACTTCAACATTTTTGGCTGATTTTTTGCATAGAGATAGATATTAGTATTCTATTAGTGTTAGCCTTTTGCCGTCTGGACGAATTTTGCCTACATTTTGAGATATTTGACGTCAAAAAACGGTAAAAAAAGGTCGTTTTTCAACTTGCTTCAATTTGACCAATATTTTTTTTAAAAAGCATCTACAAAGTCTCAGGAGTTCAAATCTGACCTCAGATTTGACCTTTGACCTTTAGTTGACCTTCTGTGACCTTCGAAAGGTCAAAAAAGTTGATTTTTCAAATTGATTTTTTGGATTCAAATTTAGGTCAGCTTTATCACAAAGGACATACTGAGCTCTGAAAAAGTAAAATTTTCAAGGTCAAAGGTCAAGGTCATCAAATTAGATAACAAACTGTGCTATCTAAGTTTCTCAAAATTCGAGACTACAAATCAATATTTTTGGTTAAAAGTCAGGATATACATTCCTCTAGAGGTACTACACATATTAGCAATTGACTATATATTAAAATTTTGCACCAGTTTTGAGATATAAGAGCTCAAGAACTGAAAAAAGGTCAAATTTCGAAAATTTTGAACGTCAAATTTCAACTTGCTTCAAATTGACCAATTTTTTTTTTAAAAAGCATCTACAAAGTCTCAGGAGTTCAAATTTGACCTCAGATTTGACCTTTGACCTTTACTTAATCTTCTGTGACCTTCGAAAGGTCAAAAATGTTGATTTTTCAAATTGATTTTTTGGATTCAAATTTAGGTCAGCTAAATCACAAAGGACATACTGAGCTCTGAAAAAGTACAATTTTTAAGGTCAAAGGTCAAGGTCATCAAATTAGGTCACAAACAGTGCTATCTAAGTTTCTCAGAATTCAAGACTACAAATCAATATTTTTGGTTGAAAGTCAGGATATATATTCCTCTAGAGGTACTTCACATATTAGGAATTGACTATCTATTAAAATTTTGCACCAGTTTTGAGATGTAAGAGCTCAAGGACTGAAAAAAGGTCAAATTTCGAAAATTTTCAAGGTCAAATTTCGACTTGCTTCAAATTGACCAAATTCTTTTTAAAAAAGCGTCTACAAAGTTTCAGGAGCTCAAATCTGACCTCAAATTTGGCCTTTGACCTTTAGTTGACCTTCTGTGACCTTCGAAAGGTAAAAAAAGTTGATTTTTCAAATTGACTTTTTGGATTTAAATTTAAGTCAGCTTAATCACAAAAGACATACTGAGCTCTGAAAAAGTAAAATTTTTAAGGTCAAAGGTCAAGATCATCAAATTAAATCACAAACTGTGTTTTCTAAGTTTCTAAAAATTGGAGACTACAAATCAATATTTTTTCATGAAAGTCAGGATATATATTCCTCTAGAGGTATTTCACATATTAGCTATTGACTATCTATTAAAATTATGTACCAGTTTTGAGATATTGGAACTCAAAAACTGAAAAAAGGTCAAATTTCGAAACTTTGCAAGACTAAATTTCAACTTGCTTCAAATTGACCAATTCTTTTTTAAAACTCATCTACAAGTTCTCAGGATTCCAAATCTAACCTTACTTTTGACCTTTGACCTTTGGTTGACCTTCAGTTACCTCCGAAAGGTCAAAAAATTTGATTTTTCAAATCGATTTTCTGGATTCAAATATAGGTATATTTATTCACAAAATACCTTCTGAGGTCTAAAAAAGTAAAATTTGCAAGGTCAAAGGTCAAGGTCATCAAACGAAATCACAAACTGTGTTTTCTAAGTTTCTCAAAATTGGAGACTACAAATCAATATTTTTAAATGAAAGTCAGAATATATATTCCTCTACTTAAGGTTCTACACATATTAGCAATTGATTATCTATTAAAATTTGGCTCCAGTTTTGAGATATTATAGCTCAAAAACTGAAAAAGGTCAAATTTCGGAATTTTTCAAGGTCAAATTTCAACTTGCATTAATTCGACCAAACCTTTTTTAAAAATCATCTACAAGTTGTCTGGAGTTCATGACCTTGTATTAGAGATTTGACCTTTGGCTGACCTTTGAATGTTCAGAAACGAATATAGGCCTCCGTAAGATTGCTTGCAATCTTAGATCGTTCGATCTCTAGTTATTATTCTTTATTCTTCTCTGCACTTTTTCTCCTACTTCTAACTAGATTTCAACTATCTACTATATGAACCTACTAGGGTACTAGGTTGAACTTACCGGGAAAGGAATTTTTATCTAGGTCAAGGTCAAAGGTCAAAATCTAGGTCAAATCAAAGTTTTTTTAAGTTTCTCAGATTTCGTCCTCATACTTCATTATTTCTTGCGATGAATTAAAATGTAACTAGATATAAGCATTCTCTACCAATTGCTCACTATATGTACGCGTTAATTTTTTACCGTTTTTGAGATATTTGACGCCAAAAATCAGCAAAAATCGGTCATTTTTCAACTTGCTTCAAATGAACCAGATTTTTTTTTTAAAATCATCTACAAGATCTCAGGAACTCAAATATGTCCTTACTTTTGACTTCTGACCTTTGGTTGACCTTCGGTGACCTCCGAAAGGTAAAAAAAGTCGTTTTTTCAAATTGATTTTCTGGATTCAAATTTAGGTATATTTGATCACAAAGGACCCACTGAGGTCTAAAAAAGTAAAATTTGTAAGGTCAAAGGTCAAGGTCATCAAACTAAATCACAAACTGTGTTTTCTAAGTTTCTCAAAATTGGAGACTACAAATCAATATTTTTTCATGAAAGTCAGGATATATATTCCTCTATAGGTTCTACACATATTAGCAATTGACTATTTATTAAAATTGTGTACCAGTTTTGAGATATTGGAACTCAAAAACTGAAAAAAGGTCAAATTTCGAAACTTTTCAAGACTAAATTTCAACTTGCTTCAAATTGACCAATTTTTTTTTTAAAACTCATCTACAAGTTCTCAGGATTCCAAATCTAACCTTACTTTTGACCTTTGACTTTTATTTGACCTTCAGTGACCTCCGAAAGGTAAAAAAAATTGATTTTTCAAATCGATTTTCTGGATTCAAATTTAGGTATATTTATTCACAAAAGACCTTCTGAGGTCTAAAAAAGTAAAATTTGCAAGGTCAAAGGTCAAGGTCATCAAATGAAAACACAAACTGTGTTTTCTAAGTTTCTCAAAATTGGAGACTACAAATCAATATTTTTAAATGAAAGTCAGAATATATATTCCTCTATAGGTTCTACACATATTAGCAATTGACTATTTATTAAAATTGTGTTCCAGTTTTGAGATATTAGAACTCAAAAACTGAAAAAAGGTCAAATTTCGAAACTTTGCAAGACTAAATTTCAACTTGCTCTAAATTGACCAAACTTTTTTTTAAAAAGCATCTACAGGATCTCAGGAATCCAAATCTGACCTTACTCTTGACCCCTGACCTTTGGTTGACCTTTGGTTGACCTTCAGTGACCTTCGGAAGGGAAAAAAAAGTTGATTTTTTAAATCGATTTTCTGGATTCAAATTTAGGTATATTTGATCACAAAAGAGCTACTGAGGTGAATTAAAGTAACATTTGCAAGATCAAAGGTCAAGGTCATCAAATTAAATCACCAACTGTGTTTTCGAAGTTTCTAAGTTTTGGTGACTACAAATCAATATTTTTTCATGAAAGTCAGGATATATATTCCTCTATAGTTTCTACACATATTAGCAATTGACTATTTATTAAAATTGTGTACCAGTTTTGAGATATTAGGACTCAAAAACTGAAAAAAAGGTCAAATTTCCAAACTTTTCAAGACTAAATTTCAACTTGCTTCAAATTGACCAAACTTTTTTTTTTAAATCATCTACAAGTTGCCTGGTGTTAGTATATGACCCTAGATTTGAGATTTGACTTTTGGCTGACCTTCAAATTGCCAAAAACGCCTACAGGGCCTCCGTAAGATTGCTTGCAATCTTAAATCTCTAGTTATTATTTATTTTATCAAACAGGAGTATAACATGACATTGCTCAATTACAGCACAGATAACTGTACTTCATCATCATTGGAGACAAAAATTAAGAAAAAGTAAGTGTCTACCTTCTTGGTATACTCCCCCTGGGTAGTTCAGCTTGTGTTTCCTGGATACGAACTTTCTGGAAGTCGACGAACCGTGACTTGTTGACATCAAGCATGAATCGCTGCCTATTGCTGCATACCGGGTTTCTACAGATCCCAGGCTAAAAATAGATGAACAAATTTGAACTTAAAAAGACTCCTTCAACCCAGATCATTTCCATAACAGATGGCCTAAACCTTAAGTTTTAGATTTTTCAATTTTTACAGTTTTCTTTTAATTTTTAAACACTGTAAAATGAATGAACTTTCAATAAAGTACCTGTGTGTACTTAAACTGTTGCTCAACATCTTTGATGACTGTCTGGCAATCGAGACATATAAATGTGCCGCTGACCAATTCAGGGTGCACAGGATGCGTGCGTACAACTTGGCCTGTGATTTTCAATAGGGAGCCAATCTTAGCAGTTGTCAATTCACGCACTCTGGAATTATATTTACATTCAATAAAATCATGAAATCTGAAGCACCAAAAATGTTCTATAAGATGTGTCTAAATGTACATTACATGTTCTATAAGATGTGTCTAAATGTACATTACATGTTCTATAAGATGTGTCTAAATGTACATTACATGTTCTATAAGATGTGTCTAAATGTACATTGCATGTTCTATAAGATGTGTCTAAATGTACATTACATGTTCTATAAGCTGTGTCTAAATGTACATTACATGTATAAATTTTCTCTTGCACTTTGCAAAGTAGATACTCTTCTTATATTATACAGGAGATCTAAGAATTGTTCATTTACAATGATGTGGCCAAATACATTTCTATTTGAGGTTTTCCTTGATCAAAAGTATTGGTCATTTTACTTCCATTTAAGGCTATGGTTAGTTTATTATTATCTAAGAATATGGTAAGTTCTGAATAATGCTCATTCCGAAATTAATAACAGGAGACAGATTTATTATTTCATCATCCTACACGAGGCACTTACTTGAGTCTAGAAGGAACGCCAGTAAAGCTGACATAGAATTCTTTGGAAGGTGGTACCTCACCCCTGTCCTGAGCATAGTTCCTTACTGCGCGACATAAGAATGGGTACACTCTAAAAATATACAATAAAAAAATATATAATTAAAATTGAAGGGACAAAAAAATTAAATATTAGAAACAATATTTTCAAGAAATGAATCAAAGTGTCATTATAATGTACTGTACATGTACCATCAAAGACATTGAAAAATTGGAACACTTCTACAAAAATACACCCCAAAATGATTTTAAACATAGTCAATAGTCCTTTTTCCATACAGATTTGAAATCTTGTTAAGTCTCGTTTTAATGAAATATTAGGAGATCTGCATTTTTAACCATTAAAGATGAACTAGTTTCTTCTATTTGATGGCATATTTGAATTCTATGTGTAATTCTCTATCAAAACAACTTTGATTTGCACAGTAATTTACCTTTATTCAAATTCTAAAGATTTTCAAGTCTTCTGAAAAAGGTCGGGCTAAATCCCCATTGACACAATATTGAAAAACCTTTAAAAGTTCATTTACTCTTATAAGGATCACAATGTTAAATCACAATCCACATCTCAATACAATGTAGGTTCATCTCATTATTACATTCAAATCATGTTTAAGTTGATCCAAATTGAATCACTTGTTAGATCAACAAATTAAGTGAATCTTGCAATACATTTCCATGTATTCTGGCCTTACCAACACCCATGCTGCCATCTATATTTCCATTTAAGAAAATGGTCAATCAAATGAGCAAAACTTGCCTGTAGTATTCCTCAAGAATTGTGACAGCTAGATTGTGATTGTGTCTTTCAATATCCTCAAAGTTGACTGTTAATGTGTTACGCTCTGGTCGGATCAATTCCTGGGCATCTTGTAGATACTTCAACTCTCCATTTTCTTGAAATCTGAATTGTAAAAATATATAAACGATGAAAGATCTGCGTTTACTTTCAATAGACCCTCCACAACAGTTGTCACAACTAACAACTCGAGCGAGCCATCGATGCGCTGGAACCCACACAGCTACATAATTCCTTATGTTATAGATCTAAACAATTTTTTAAATCTCGAATCGAGTTCCCTCTTTTCATACAGAAATCCAGATACAATCTGGTACAACCGTGACAATAATAAAAATTGTAACAAGTTTTGTAACAACAGATACAATATTCAATAATGTAACAATGTCTGGTACAACTGTGACAATATCTGGTACAACCATTACAATGTTAAAAATTGTAACAAGTTTTGTAACAACATATACAATGTTCAATAATGTCGCAATGTCTGGTACAACGCCGACAATGTTAAAAGCTGTGACAAGTTTTGTAACAACATATAGAACAATGTTAAAATTGAAACACATTCTGTAACAACAGATAAAGTATTACAGATAATGTAACAAAGCCGTTCTCTCATACTTATTACTTTTCTCATTTTGAAACAATAACTTTTCCAAATAACTTCCCTTCTTAACGACACTGCTTCAATTTCAACTGAATCTTCGTGTAACAAATCCTTATGATTTTGTTTGATATAGTTTTACATCTAGACTCAGATTAACCCGGAAGTGACCTTGGTATGGCAAAATGAAAAAATTTAAAATTCAAGCGGCATATTCAAGCGGCATGCTTATATTTCTTCAATTACCAAGTGTTTAACATGCCTAAGGTACGATTAAATACTTTATAGTTGAAGCAGAGAAATTTATTTATCATTTGTGTGAATTTGGTTGTGTAGACAGGGCAGGAAAGCATTTCCCGCAATATAGATGCGGGAAGTGTGTATGACCCTCGTATGCAAGAAAATAAATATCCAAATCAGAAAAAATAACAACAAATAACATCATACGAGGGTCAGATATATATGACTAGAGTCCATTTCACTGTTTCATTGCGTCAGTAGAACTGCAAAAATAAGAAATTGGGAGACCATTGTGCAATAATATATAGAAAAGTATATTCATAATGTACATGAATGACATTTGTATATTTCAGATTTTTTAGTTTTTTTAGTTTTTTGTGCAATAAGCCTGTGCCGTCTTGTAATTTAAAGAATTTCAGCAATGTTAATCTTATTCAAAATAACATGGCAGAGAAGCATCCAAATATAAGAGGCCACACACTTTACAAGCCAAACTAGAAGCAATCCAAGATACAAATGCCATGTACAGTAGGAATACATTTTTCCATATATTATTGCAAAATGATATTTTGATTTCTTATTTTTTAGCTTTTACTGACGCAATTAAACAGTGATATGGACTTTATGTCTCCAGAAAACGATATTTCTATTAAAGATCCTTACCCCATGAATTTGGGGATGTTTTGCATTTTCATTATTTTTGTCATTTAGTGATAGCGAAACTGCTTTAGATCAAGATCTAGCGAATCAAAAAAAAAATTATAAAAAGCAAACCGAACCCACATGTATGGGGGTACCGGTAGACTGTATCCTTCGTCTGAATAGCCTAAATTCATACCGAATTACTTCCTGCGAAAGCTATTTGGATTTTGATATAATGGCTTTCCCACGGAGCATTTGGACAGCTCAATGATTGTGACCTTTGAAATCGAATTAAGTTGATCAGCGGCTTACTTTTGGTCTCTAACTGTGTCTTACATCAGTATCATCAATCCGTGTAAGTATTAGAGCGCTTAAACACTTCTTTTTCGATCAAGACTTGTAAATTGTTCATCGAGTGAATGTTTTTTAGACCTATTTCCAATATGGCGGTTTGCTAGGAGCGAGATACGCAACGAACGAAATGAATTTTGAGAATTAGTTAGGTTCGGACAACCTCTGGAAATGTACGAAAATGTCCGAGCAGAAAACGCCATATTGGAATTCGGCAGTAAAACATTCACTCGACTAACAATTACAAGTCTTGATCGAAAAGGAAGTACCTCAGCACTCCAATACTTGCACAGAAGGATGATAATGATGTATAGCATAGTTAGAGAACAAAAGTAGGCCGCTGATCGACTTAATTCGATTTCAAAGGTCAAAATCTATGAGCTGTCCACTTCCCCGTTTGAGAGCCATAAGTTTCAAAATCTAACATGGCTCTCAGTGAGTAAATACCGAATATATTCGGTGAGGGTCTGTTGGATACTGGGGGTATCGGGGCCAATGCTACTCAATACAGACAAAAAAGGCAACACAAGCCTACAAGTCGTTGTTTATCTTAGCTCAACTCATCTGATTTACAAAACACTTAGGGCACAGTTTAAATGTTTAGATCTATTTGGAAAAGATTGGTCGGAAGTCGGTGGACCATAGGCCAAGGGTAAAGTAATAGTAAGCCGTATATAGAAGAAACAGGTGAACAACTCTGACTTAGACCACTTTTTAAAATGGAGATTTCAACAATATTTAGTGTATTATTTTCAAAAAGCCATGGGGAGTTGATAGAAAATTGATAGTTTGTAGCTCTTACCTAAGATTGAAACTCAGTCAGATGATATAGAGTGAATAATGCTGTCTAAAAGAGAGAATTTCTGAAAACCTGCAATTGCCTGGCAAGTTCATAGTAAACAAGTGATCTGATTGGTCACTGCTGACCTCCCTGACCTCCAACAGTGACAATCAGTTTCAGCTTGCCAGGCAATTGCAGGTATCCATAGTTGTCATCATCATCAAATACTCAATTCTGTCAGATTTGACAATTTTATTGAGGGTGGCAAGATAAAAAGATTTGTGTATGTACAATTTAAAAGCAGGTTAAAAACAGAGTGGGATCTTAGTTGGTCCTCTTCCTCAGGGCATCACGGTAGGCCTCGATGGTGGGTAGGCTTGTGACATCTCTGGGAAGGGCGTTCCAGTCCACAATTGTGCGGGGGAAGAAGGAGTACTTCAGGGAGTCTTTTCTGCAACTGTATAGCTGGTATGAATCTTGGTGGGCAGACCTGGTCAATCTAGTGGGTGGAGTAAGGTAGGTGGTGTGGCGAATGGCTACTAGGGCGTTGATGATCTTGTATAACATCACTAGTCGTTGGTGATGCCTTCTATCCTGGAGTGACTGCCATTGTAGCTGGTGAAGTATGGCAGTCATAGATCCAGGGTCACGACTGTAGTTGCCAGTGACATATCGAGCAGCACGATGCTGGACCATCTCAAGGGAGTGTATCTGTGTCTGTGTGTGAGGGTCCCATACGCAAGCACCATATTCCAATTTAGGCCTGACTATGGTGTAGTATGCCAAGGTCTTGATTCTTGTGGATGCTTTCCAGAGATGACGTTGGAGCATCCCAAGTGATTGGTGTGCCTTCTTCACTGAGCTCTGGACATGGATGTTCCACTTCAGGTCTTCTTGAATGGTTACACCCAGGTACTTGGCAGATGGAACATGCTCAAGTGGGTGATGGTGCATTTGGTAGGGAAATCGTATGGGGTCTCGCTTCTGGGTGACGCTCAGGACATTACACTTGTCTGGATGGAATTTCATGAGCCAATCCTCTTCCCACCTCAGAGCAGCATCAAGGTCTTGTTGCAGGAGCTGGCAGTCTTCAGGTTTGCTGATTTCTCTGTAGATGATGGAATCGTCAGCGAAGAGGCGCAACTTGCTGTGCTGTAGGTACTCTGGGAGGTCATTGATGTAGATCAGGAATAGGATCGGCCCAAGGACTGTGCCTTGAGGGACTCCGGAGGTAACAGGAGCACTTTCTGAGTGTTTACCCTCTAAGACAACCCTCTGAGTCCTGTCCTTTAGAAAGCCTTCTATCCATCTTAGGGTGTTTCCACGTATGCCATACCTGTCCAGTTTGTGGAGAAGATGTCTGTGAGAGACTTTGTCAAAGGCTTTGGCAAAGTCCATAACCACAACGTCTGTCTGGATCCTCTTGTTGTCGTTTGAGGCCAGATCATGGAAGAATTCCACCAGTTGGGTTTCACACGACCTCTTCCCCCGAAATCCGTGTTGTAAGTCATACAGGATGTTGTTGTCTTCCAGGAATTGCATGATGGTACTTGCGATCACATGTTCCATGACTTTACAGCTGATGCAGGTCAAGGAGATGGGGCGATAATTAGATGGTTTATATCGCTCTCCTTTCTTGAACACAGGAGTGATGTTAGCTAGTCTCCAGTCACTGGGGACTACGCCTGTGTCAAGAGATGACTGCATCACACGGGTGAGGGCTGGTGCAATCTCAACTGCAAGGTCTTTCAAGACACGGGCTGGTATGGAGTCTGGCCCACATGCCTTGTTAGGGTTGAGTTGTTGTAGTTGCTTCATCAAGCCCTTGCAGGAGATGGTGATGGGGGGCATCTGTGGGTTTTGGTTGGTTTCACTCACAGGTATGGTGTTGCCTGGATCAACAGAAAAGACACTCTGGAATTGGTCATTGAGGATGTTCGCCTTTGTTGTGTCATCTGTGACAAGTTTCCCATTGATCTTCAGGGGAGCAACACTGTCACCGCTCTTCCGTAAGCTCTTTAAGTACGAGAAGAAGCGTTTGGGCTTTGGTGGTCTAGCACCAGGTTCAGTGTTGCTCTGGGAAGGCAGAGGTTGTTTTATATGCAGTATTATATGCAGTCTTTAGATAAAGATTTGAAAAAACAATGATATAAGTTTGAAAAACACTTTGAAGAAGATTTTGGAGAGATTTGGGAATACAATTTGATACCAGTAAGGAGAACTAGTGCCAAGACTAAAAAAATTTGAAAAATTTTCAATCTTACTTGTGGACCTGTCTCTTCTATATACAGCTTACTATTACTTTTCCCTTGGCCTATGCGGTGGACCTTTAAATTTTAAAGGTGGACAAACGAAAATGATTGTAGATCTATTTGTATCATTCAGAATCTACTTACTCTTCTAGAAAATCTTGAAAAAGTTTTTGGCATCGTTCCCCGACTTGATCTTTCACTTGATTTGTTCCAACTGCTTGCTGAGCGACATCCATGGCGTTAATTCCAAAAGTTTAAAACTTCACATGGACTTTGTTGACAACAATGACGTTTTCCCGCCAAATTTCCCGCCAATTACACCGTTTTACTCCCCTTCAGTTTTATTTATATCAGTCGACATTTGTGTTTTTTTTTATAAATAAGCCATTGAAAATTGAAATATATCTAATGGAAATTAGCTTATTTACATAAGTTCTAATTAAAATATCATCTGAGTTACTCAAACAATGAGCATAACTCTGTTATAGGTTGAGCATAATACGAGTTAACGCGCATCTTGGAATAGCCCGCAGGTATCTAAACGAAGAACTTTGATGGAAATAAACGCTCGAAAGAATAAATAAGAAATTGATTTTAACGACAATGATTCATTTTTAGGAGCTAAATATAATTTTTGCTCAAGGAATGTTTTGATAATTATTTATTCGCATTACATATCTTATTTACAAATGTAATACTTTCAAGATTTCCCCGAAATATAGTGACATAAAGTTGGAATTTTTTTAACTCATTGGCCAATGAAAATTGCTGTTTCAAAAGTTTCACTAAGATTCGACGTTTTTGATTGGATTAAAAACAGGTTCCAGAAAATTCTTTGATTCTACGTCATTTCCAGGGTATAAATATCTGTGGAACATTTATTCGGTCGCTTTTTCTAGAACTCAATATTTGGTGATAGTGATTTTAACTGAAATTTCTTTTATTCAAGTTTAAGGAAGTGCAACAAAAGGTAAGTTGACATACTTATGTACTATTTTGATGAATTTAATGTCACGAAAGTGTTTGATTAAGTGTGCTGAACTTAAGAAAATATGTAAAATCACAAAGTGGGGATTTGCCGGTCATCATCATCATGCCGGTTTCATTGTTCATCATGAGCACGTGCGAATATAATCTCTATTCTTTGGAGACGTCATAGCATTTTTCATATAACATTTGATTTCTAGCACACAGAGAATTTCTCTTGATTATATAATCATAATCATGACCACAAATAATATTAAATTTTTGGATCAAATCACTGGTTTCATGCCCCCATTGAAATCTTGGGGTTTTAAAATGTAGGCTACATGCTAGGCTAGTTAGCTAGCAGGCTTATTTTCAACAGCAAGATTTTAGTACACAAGTGTGATTTGAAAAATCTGAACTCAAAAGTTCAGAACTACACCCATCTTATGGATTGATTATGAACCCCTAGTTCAACAAGTTAAACCTAGTCTGGGCCTTTTATATATTTCTTATCTGACATATCTTGTGGCCCGCCCTAGGTTTAACGTCCGTGCCGATTCGGCCCTTGATGCAAAAGATTTAATGGTGGCCTATGATAGCGCATGGAATTCCATGCGCGTTTAATTAATAACTGATAGTGAGAATTTGCAACAAATGAAAGCATAGCACGGAAGTTAAACCCAACCACGGCAACAAGAACATTCAGATTAATAAATGAAAGCCGTGGTATTGGGTTTAACTTGTTGAACTAATGAACCCCAGGCTTATCGATATGAATTGCAGGAAGTACTGCAAGTCTAAACTTCATTTACTCATTTCAGAAAAAACAAAAATGGCGAAGGCGATAGGAATAGATTTGGGAACAACATACTCCTGTGTCGGTGTGTTCCAGCATGGAAAAGTTGAAATCATTGCAAACGACCAGGGAAACCGTACCACTCCCAGTTATGTAGCATTCACAGATTCAGAGCGACTCATCGGAGATGCTGCCAAGAATCAAGTTGCAATGAACCCCACAAACACCGTATTTGGTATGTATCAAAAACTGATCTTCTCTATTGTATTGCCCCTATGCTTTATGGTTGCAAGAATGTAGTATTCATTTAGTCATATATCAACTTATATTTTTTCAGTGGCATACTAGACTTTCACATTAAAAAAAACAAAAGTGTGAATACCAGCCAATCCAATCACTTTTAGCTGGTCCAAGTAACGTTTTGATAAGACATGTTTACTGTAGTCTGCTAATGGGTTTGTCTACGGGTTGATCATGGCATCATTGGTACTCAGTCATAAACTGCAGGAACTGTATCCAAAATTAATTGTTAAACTGTGGATAATAATTTTTAGAGTTCAGTCATGTCTTTTTCATTGATCACCATGATAATAACATTTTGTTGATTATTTATTTCAGATGCCAAGCGACTCATTGGGCGCAAGTTCAATGACCCTACAGTTCAGGCTGACAGGAAGACTTGGTCATTCAACATAGTTGACGAGGGAACCAAACCAAAGATTTCAGTAGAATACAAAGGGGAAAATAAAACATTTTTCCCCGAAGAGATCTCATCAATGGTTCTTGTAAAAATGAAGGAGACTGCAGAAGCTTATCTTGGAAAGGTAAGTTGCCTTCTCCCACTAACTGCAAAAATCATGAAATGATGACCTTTAGGTGTACAAATTAGTGAGAAATCCCAGTGCAATAAATGTAAAATCATTTTCAGTTGCATTGTTTTTGCTCCTAAAACATACACATTTTTCTTTCAGACAGTAAACAGTGCTGTAGTTACAGTCCCAGCCTACTTCAATGACTCTCAGCGACAAGCAACTAAGGATGCTGGAACCATCTCTGGGATGAACATCCTACGTATCATTAACGAACCTACAGCAGCTGCTATTGCTTATGGTCTTGACAAAAAAGTTGGTGGAGAACGCAATGTACTCATCTTTGATTTAGGAGGTGGAACCTTCGACGTCTCTATCTTAACCATTGAAGATGGAATCTTTGAAGTAAAATCTACTTCCGGGGATACCCATTTGGGTGGCGAGGACTTTGACAATCGTATGGTGAACCATTTCATCCAGGAATTCAAGCGTAAGAACAAGAAGGACATTTCTGAGAATAAGCGTGCAGTGAGACGTCTCAGAACAGCCTGTGAACGTGCGAAGAGAACCCTCTCATCAAGCTCCCAAGCCAGTATTGAGATTGATTCCCTCTTTGAAGGAAATGATTTCTACACTAGCATCACCAGAGCTCGTTTTGAAGAACTTTGTGCTGATCTCTTCCGTGGAACTTTGGAGCCTGTGGAAAAATCTCTCAGAGATGCCAAGGTATGTATTATGATTTTCTCATGTTTTTTTTATATTGTTTTTAAAGGTAAAAATCTAGGCCAAGAGTACGAACTGCACTGTACTTCTAAGCTTATAAACTAAGGACATTAGGTAGTAAGTATTACGCCATAAAAGAAGTTGTCTTCATTCTTGACTAAGTTGGATAAGTCCACTTTCAAACAGTCAAAAGGTCAACAAGTTAAAAAAGACTATGATCAGTTTCAGTTGTCTAGTTATTAGTAACTCATGCATTGTCAATAATTAGACAATCAACAAAGAAGTTGCGAAGTTAAACACATGCTTATAATAACAGGCTTGAAGAAGTTCTTGCCGAGTTTTATGACATAAAGTACTTAAAGTCATACAAGTATTAACACAATGTGATTAGAATGTTTGACTAACTCAAGACTTGCTTTATGGATTCTGCTTTTAGAATTCTCTAATTGCATTTACATTACAGTCACAGACCCACAGTTTGGAGTGTTATGTAAAGGTGAAGTTAAAAAATTGGAAACTTTGCCAGTCTTTTTAAAGGGTTTGAGATGCAAATGCCAGATGTCTCCTTGGAAGACATACCAAGAGTAGAACTAAAATTCTAACCATTTATAAAGCAAACCATTTTATATTTCTTTCTAGTTATCTTTTATTTACACAATCACATGGATGCAGAATGTTGAACTAGATCATAAGTCTTGATCAATCACCTGCAATCTTAAGTGAATCATCACTTTCTCCTTTTAGAATTCTCTAATTGATTTTAGACCTAATTACAGTCACAAACCCAGTGTGAAGTGTCCTGTAAGGGTTATATGTTTGATCTCAAACTACACGTAGACATGTCGTGAAAAGTCAAGGTGCTTATCCATCTTTGGAGAGTCCAAGACACGAATGGCTGCAATATCCCTTGAAGACAATAAAGAATAAAACAATTGGAAAAACTGAATTTGACATGTTGTGAAAAGTCGAGGTGCTTATCCATCCTTGGAGAGTCCGAGACACGAATGACTGCAATGTCCATTGAAGACAATAAAAATAAAACAATTAGAAAAACTGAATTTGACATGTGAAAAGTCGAGGTGCTTATCCATCCTTGGAGAGTCCGAGACACGTATGACTGCAATGTCCATTGAAGACAATAAGAATAGAATTACTATTGTAACCAGTGAAATCTCTTGCAAAAATAAATCCTGTTTTCTTCTGAAGAATTTCTTCAAATTTAATTTTGGGGATTTGACAGGTGAGCAAATGTTGATATATACAAGATATAGTATAACGTACCATGCAATGCAGTGATATAGTAAATGTTAGGTAGTAAATGAGGAGAGCTCCTGCATATATGCAGTTACTGAAAACCTTAACTGGTTAATGTTACATATTCTTCCTTGGATGTCTGATGCTACCTAACATATATTAACATACTTCAGTACTAAATTTCATGGTTTTTAAATACATTTGCAAAATTCCATTGAGTTAATTCTTAACATATGTTTTTTATTTCATAATATCTAATCGACTTTTTTTTATATTCAGCTCGACAAGGGTGGAGTCCATGATATTGTGTTGGTGGGAGGATCAACACGTATTCCTAAGATCCAGAAGCTTCTGCAAGATTTTTTCAATGGCAAGGAATTAAACAAAAGCATCAACCCTGACGAGGCTGTAGCTTACGGAGCAGGTATAGAACTAATATTTATTATATAATTTTGTATGTATTGGTAGATTCGGTGCAATTAGGTGATGAACACTTGTTGACAACATGAGAAAATATTTTTCTAAAATGTTTAAATGAGAAGTTTCACATGTTTGAGAAAAAATGTAGGGAAAATCAAGCAGTTATATGTACTTTTATATCCTGTACTCCTGGGGGCCATTAACAGAAACTTCTTAGTTTAATTCATAAAATCCATTATTCTCTAACTGTGACGTCATTATATCCATGGTTACAACAATTGATTTACTAATTCGTCACTCTACAAAATTTCTGTTAATGACCCCCTAGTTAATTTCATGAAATTTGAGAAATTATGATTTTGCAGCTAATAAATTTGGCAGATATCAAAAAATAAACTTCATTATTCTCTGAATTTTTAAGCTTTGCAAACTAAATTACCTTACGTACAGTAATTATTACACTTACCAAATGTCATTTGGATAAGATTTACAATTACTAGATCTTGGTTAATAGCACACTGCAACTCGACTTTTATAACTTCGTCATTGTTTGGTTTATTATGTCACCACCAAAAGTGGTGACATATTGTTATGGTCTCCGTTTTTTTGCGACGGTGGTTGGAGGTTGGCGTCCGGCGTCTGTAACAATTTCTTACAACTTCCTATAACTTAACAAATACTGTTTAGACTGACTTCAATTTTTTTCTAAATCATCTACATGTTCTCAGAAGTTCAAATCTGACTTTAGATTTAACATTTGACCTTCAATGACCTTCATAAGGTCAAAAAGGTCTTTTTTCAACTTGCTTCACATTGACTAAATTTTTTTTCAAAATCATCTACATGTTCTCAGAAATTCAAATCTGACTTTAGATTTGACATTTGACCTTCAAATCTGACTAGATTTAACATTTGACCTTCAATGACCTTCTCAAGGTAAATAAAGGTCAAAAAGGTCTGTTTTCAACTTGCTTCAAATTGACTAAATTTTTTTTCAAAATCATCTACGTGTTCTCAGAAATTCAAATCTGACTTAAGATTTGACTTAAGATTTGACATTTGACCTTCAATGACCTTCTCAAGGTCAAAAAAGGTCAAAAAGGTCTGTTTTCAACTTGCTTCAAATTGACTAAAAAAAATTTTCAAAATCATCTACGTGTTCTCAGAAATTCAAATCTGACTTTAGATTTGACTTAAGATTTGACATTTGACCTTCAATGACCTTCTCAAAGTCAAAAAAGGTCAAAAAGGTCTTTTTTCAACTTGCTTCAAATTGACTAAATTTTTTTTTCAAAATCATCTACATGTTCTCAGAAATTCAAATCTGACTTTAGATTTGACATTTGACCTTCAATGACCTTCTCAATGTCAAAAAAGGTCAAAAAGGTCTTTTTTCAACTTGCTTCAAATTGACTAATTTTTTTTTTCAAAATCATCTACATGTTCTCAGAAATTCAAATCTGACTTTAGATTTGACATTTGATCTTTAATGACCTTCTCAAGGTAAAAAAGGGTCAAAAAGGTCTGTTTTCAACTTGCTTCAAATTGACCAATTTTTTTTTCAAAATCAGCTACATCTTTTCAGAAGTTCAAATTTGACTTTACAAGTTCTCAGAAGTTCAAATCTGACTTTAGATTTGACCTTTGACCTTCAATGACCTTCTCAAGGTCAAAAAGGTCTTTTTTCAACTTGCTTCAAATTGACTAAAAAAAATTTTCAAAATCATCTACGTGTTCTCAGAAATTCAAATCTGACTTTAGATTTGACTTAAGATTTGACATTTGACCTTCAATGACCTAACTAGGTGGTGACATTTTGTCAGGTTAATGCCTTGTTTGATTTTGATTTAATAAACCAGTGTAAGAGACACTGTTCCTATCGTCCAATAACACTGGGGGTGTTTAACAAATGGCAAATGGTGATGTTTTGCATGTTTGTGCCTTGTTTATATTTTTTGAGATTGTAATGCCACTGCGATAATGAGCTTTCATTTGATATCAAAATGCATATTTCATTTCAGCTGTCCAGGCTGCCATCTTGTCTGGTGACAAAGATGAGGCTGTCCAAGACTTGTTGTTGCTTGATGTAGCGCCATTGTCTATGGGTATTGAGACTGCTGGAGGTGTCATGACTGCTCTTATCAAGCGTAACACTACCATTCCAACCAAGAAGACGCAGATATTCACCACATACTCTGACAATCAGCCAGGTAAATTTTGGATTTCAATTCGGGATTTTAGGTATTTTATTTATGTATAGGAATTAGTCCACCCCAAAATAAGTTAATATTTTTGTCGCACGATTTTTGTTGTTGGTAGTTGCTGTTAGGGATAGCCCGTCTTTAACTCGGGGAATAAGAAGAGGGTATTAGTTAGAATTTGCTATTTTTCTAGTCATTATGCTATGAATTGAGGCAGATGTTTTCATCCATCTTCAGTTTGCAAAGTGATTAATGATCAAATAAAATCGAGATATGTGTAAAACACATCCAATTCAATTATGTCCCTATTTATTATACATTTAGAAATTACAGTATTTTGTAGTATTTTCTATTTCTCTTATAATTTTTGTTCTTGTTGATTATAGGTGTGCTGATCCAGGTATATGAGGGTGAGCGTGCTATGACCAAGGACAACAACATTCTGGGCAAGTTTGAGCTAACTGGTATCCCTCCTGCACCCCGTGGAGTTCCTCAGATTGAGGTGACATTCGATGTCGATGCCAATGGTATCCTTAATGTATCTGCAACTGATAAGAGCACTGGCAAAGAAAACAAGATCACAATCACCAATGATAAGGGTAAGTGTTTTGTGTGGGTGTTATCAGAATTTATTTTAAATGTGATCCTTATCCAGGAGCTAATGTTTCTTTTGGCTGTGAGTTCTAATTGTTTGTTTTACAAATGTATATTATATTCAAATGTATATACATTATTTCCCATAATGCATTGCAGGTCGTCTGACAAAGGAGGACATTGAACGTATGGTGAATGATGCAGAGAAGTACAAAAAGGAAGATGAAGACCAACGAGACAGAATTACTGCAAAGAATTCTCTGGAAAGCTATGCTTTCAACATGAAGTCTACCGTGGAAGATGAAAAGTTGAAGGACAAGATCAGTGAGGAAGACAAGAAAACAATCATTGATAAATGTAATGAAGTCATCAGCTGGCTCGATGCCAATCAGGTTTGTGAACCTGATATTTTCTTAATGCTTCTTAGTATGAAAAATGATGGATATGATATTCCAAGGATTTTTTCGGGCATGCTTGGTGAATTTTAAAGGAGCCATTTCAGTTTTCTGTTCTGAAAAATTTGTCTTATTTTTTTTAATTATGCATATTTGAGCGGAATGTTAAATTGCAACTTTTCTTTCCTATGGTAGTGTGTTAATGAGGATATTATTAAGTATTTCTAGTTGTACATTTTGTTCAAAATGCGATTGCTCTTAGGATTAGTTGGTTATATTTAATGGTTTGTGTGTCTGTGTTTGCAGCTAGCAGAGAAGGAGGAGTTCGAACACAAGCAGAAGGAAGTAGAAGGCGTATGTTCTCCAATCATTACCAAATTGTATCAGGCTGCAGGAGGTGCCCCCGGTGGAATGCCAGATGGCATGCCTGGTGGTATGCCAGGAGGTATGCCCGGAGGAGGTATGCCAGGGGGTGGGGCAGCCCCAGGAGCTGGCAGTGGAGGCTCAGGACCAACCATCGAGGAAGTTGATTAAAACTTGCATCACAATCATCATTATTCCAAGCATCAAAATAATAGAACAATACTAATAGACATTGATTCGCATGATTGTTGATGTCAACGAATCATTTATGTTATATCCAACTCTGATCAAGTTCAATTCTTCCTTGTACCATTGTACAAGTTACTTATAGTTATCATTGTCAGTAACTTACAATATTTATTGTTTTGTATCATGTTTATAATGTTGTGGTTAAATGTTCTGTCCTGAAACAAAAAAATCAAAAATACTCAAAAAAATCGTAAAATGTTCAAAAATCGTGTTTGTAGTAGCTCACAGTTGTCCATTGAGAGTTTTTGAAATTACATCCAAACAGCATCAATCATGTTGATCATTGTACTTGAGCTTACTGCTGAAGAATCTTCTCATTTTTGGTTGTGGTGTGATGTGATACTGATATTAGCTCGATTGATTGTTCTCAAGATATTTGCCGACAACCATTCCTCAGTTACAACCTCAAAAGTACAAATGTTCATGGTAACATGCAGCAATCAATCCTAATAGAGGTTTTGAAACTTCTAATGGAAGATCCAATGTATTCGCTGTGTGGGTGTATTTTCAAGATGACAATCCCTCTGTTTATCCAGCAAGAATTCCATGCGAGTAGACAAATTTTAAAAATCCAATACATTGAGTTAAGGAAACATTTTACTTGCATTTTAATGATGCAAAGTGTAGGGATTGTTATCACTCCAATGGTGCAACTACAACCTATGTCATAACACTTGATAATAATTGCTACATTAGCAGACCAACTACCTCGAGGTCCAAGGCGTGTACTATAACTGTGTAATGCTTCAACTACTGTCGACGTTATGGTGTTGGTTTTAAAGCTGATTACTCAAAAGAAGAGAAAAGCGCTAAAACTTGAATAAAAGAAATACTATATAAATAGAATTGACAGTTTGTTGTTGAATTGAGTAAATAAGGGAAGTTTATCGAATGTGTATGGCCGTTTACTTTACCAGTTATGCCTGGGTCGCATTTGTTCCGATCCATCGGCCGGCGCCTGGTAGATTGTGTGTTTTGTTCAATATTGTATTCAAATTTGAACAAATTACCTGGGTGTTGTAGTGAAAATCTGAGCAAATGTGACCAAGGCATTACTGAAAATTGCTTTAATTTGGCGGATGGATAGAAATCGCCAAATTAAGTCTCCACCAATTTTATTTTAAAATGAAGTTCCTGTTGACTTTATCATCCATTTCCTTTTTCATGTGTTCCGGACTGAATGATCGTTAAAATATCTTTGCTGGTTTAGATAAAACTATCTACAGGATAGCTCAAATAAACCATGGTCACATGATTTTGTCGAAAATAGAAATAGAAGAAATGTGGCATCATGGTACATAAAAGTAAATCGATGCAGTAATCACTAGTTTTTCTGTCATCAGAAGTGGCGTCTCCAACTTTTTTGTGTTCAGTGTTCTGCATCTGTAATGCCTTGTGGTACCTTTTTTTATATACACGAGTGCACTGTATTGATTTTATAATTTAAAGGGCGCTTCATTATCACCCTTGGTATACGCCAAGGGTGATAATACGCATTGCCCCGAACCGGTCCGTCTTGCTGCAAGCAGGATGAAATTCTTTGTCACAAAGTTTGGCATTTTTTATAAAATCAAACTCGCGTCATTGAAACTCACAAGATGTAAATAGCATGTCATTTACATCATACCTTGATGGGGAAAAATAGATCTTATATGTTAGAAGTACTAAATAAAAGTTATCGTGAAAATGAGACAGTCGTTCGCGAGAGAAAAGAGCATAAATGCGCATTTAGAGAGTTTTGGTCCGTTTAAAAATCTGTAAAAAATTGGGGTACTTAAAAGCATCAGGAGGCATCATATATTTCAAATTAGACACGAGGAAGTCAATATTGAGCAAGTTATGGCTGTTTTAAATTCAAATAAAACTGTTAACCCGTACCGGTCCAGCTTTTGACCCGTACCGGTCAATTTTCGTTAGCTGCATATACCAAGGGTGATTATTATTATACTGTTACTTAGATTAATTTTGCACTATTTCCCAATTCTTCATGTTTGTGGCTATTTAATGTGGGGTTATGGGCTCAGTTAACAGGTTAAATCTTTTTGTAATGACAATGTTCACTGGCACTAGCAGAATCTTTTTTTTTCAAATCGATAAGTAGGTATCAAGTAACTGTAATCAATGTTTGCTAATTGTTGAACTTTCACCCATGAAAGTGATTGATTATTACATTTGTAGGTTTGCATTGATGTGTTGACCTTCAGGGATGGCAAAACAGATTGGCAAGTGTATTACAAGATAGTCCTAGGATATACAGGGTGTCCAATAAGTGCTGTCCCCCCATCTACAGCCAAAACCAAAATATATGGTTTATATACCAAGTGTGATATATCATTGGAAAGATCATCAGAGGTTAACGAAGTTTGGCATGCATCTGATACTATCAATCAGTGTCCCAAATTGATTGTATCAATTTTGGTGACCATAGACCTAGAAACATTAGAATTTGGCAGGATTTAAAAAATCGGGCACAAAAAAATCAAAGGAGCTCAAGATGACAACACTTGTAAAAATGGCAGTTAATTTAACCAATTTGTGGATAGGGTTATTTGTGTAACATACAGAGGAGCAATGGTAACGAAAACTTGTAAGAAGTGCAATGTGAAAAATATAACTTTTTGACACATTGCTGAGGTCGAATCCATGTCATTTTGACACAATGAACAGTGAAAGCTGCTGGAAGTGGCAAGCTAACTAGATGTCCATCCAAAATACTTGACTGAGATTTGGTGAGTTATTGTAACTTTGGATGATCTTTCCAATGGTATATTACACTAGGTACCATCTATTATTAAGGTTTTAGCTGTAGCATGGGGGACAGGACTTATTTGACTTCTGTATTATGGTTTATACTGATGTTTATCCAATGACAAGCGAGGTTTCAGTTACATAATAGCGGGATATAGAACTGATATCTTTGGCAACTTTGTATCTCCCATTCCATTATTCCAGGGAAAATTTGTTCAGTGTAGAAACAGTCAATTTGTTGGAATATCTTGCTGTCGCAAAATTGTCAATATGGATGCAACAGACAGTAGAATTTTCTTGACCAAAATGTTGATGGATTTTTGGAAAATAAAAAGAAAACAAACCTGGAGATGCGTGTCCTGAAAACCTCACTTGTGAAACCTCACTTATCATAGGTAAAGTTAGTTATATGATGCTGTTTTGAATATGGGATATATCCCATGGGAGATATGATATCTTACTTCAAACCCTCTTGGCCCTTCGTAAGATATCTATATTTCCATCAGGATATACCCCATTTCCAAAACCTCCCATAACATAACCTTCGTGTATCTGATGTGTGAATTATATGTGTATAGATGAAAAACAACTTGAATTGACCTATTTATCCAACCCCTGGCAAGTGCCCGGACGCAGCTTGTAAAAACAAAATTATGCCTACCACACTGTCAGGGAGCGATGTTTTGTCATATTCTTACTGGAAATATTTTATGAATTTTTATTCAGCTGGACAAGAGTGGAGTCCATGATATTGTATTGGTGGGAGGGTCTACGCGTATTCCAAAGATCCAGAAGCTTCTGCAAGATTTCTTCAATGGCAAGGAATTGAACAAAAGCATCAACCCTGATGAGGCTGTGGCTTATGGGGCAGGTATGCATATTAGATGATCATGCTAAGGTTTCTGAACTCATGGTTGGTACACCCATATATGGCAAACTCATGTTGGTGCCACAAGTTAGATGTCTAGCTTGATACAGAGATGTCCTTGCATCTAGATTGCTACTAGTGTTATTAATGTAAGACAAGAAATGCACTTCTATTTAACTTGTTTCAGCCATACAGGCTGCCATTTTGTCTGGTGACAAAGATGAGGCTGTCCAAGACTTGTTGTTGCTTGATGTAGCGCCATTGTCTATGGGTATTGAGACTGCTGGAGGTGTCATGACTGCTCTTATCAAGCGCAATACAACTATTCCAACCAAGAAGACACAGACATTCACCACATATTCTGACAATCAGCCAGGTAAATCCTTGGTCTCTATTCAGGGTCATTTGTTGACTGTTCTGTTGTTGTTTCGATGAGTGTTTTCTCTAGAAATAACTTCTCGAATTCTTCATTTTATAATACCATACCTTTCTTTCTGTGTGTCAATAGGTGTGCTGATCCAGGTATATGAGGGTGAGCGTGCTATGACCAAGGACAACAACATTCTGGGCAAGTTTGAGCTAACTGGTATCCCTCCTGCACCCCGTGGAGTTCCTCAGATTGAGGTGACATTTGACATTGATGCCAATGGTATCCTGAATGTATCTGCTGTTGATAAGAGCACTGGCAAAGAAAACAAAATCACTATCACTAACGATAAGGGTAGGTGCCATAATGTCATATATGAGATGTTACAGTGTTCTCAGGTCAGAAGTTACTCAAAGTGAGTGTGAGTAGATTACACTTAATTTTAAAATAGGGGCTTTTGGGTGATGTAATGTAGGATCCATGCACAATCTAAAAAGCTGGCCATTGGAAATTCATTCTTTGTTTTGCACACACTTTAAGTTAAGAAAAAATGACTCACAAAATTGAAATAATGGCCATATGTTATATTCAAAAAAATATAAAATCCAGAGTGGGACCACGCCCGGTGATCGGACAAAATGGATGGAGGGGGAGTTGGGGATTTCTGCAAGAAAATTCAACAAATCCTAGAAGACCTAACATATTTTACCATACCTTGCGCCTATTCATTTAACAATTCAATTGTAAGCTTTCTCTTGAAAAAATAAATATTCAAGATTTGTTGTTGAATTTTCTTGTCTTCATTATCTAAAAAGAAAATTATATACAGTAATAATAAAGTTAAACAAACTCGGAGATATTTAACTAGCAATATCACTTAGGTCTAATTAACTGAATTATCATTATGTATAGGCTACTTTTCTTGAAGATAATGATTGGATCTAAAAGATACACAAATGTTCAAGATCAGAAAATATTCATAATTCAAGTTAGAATCGTTTGAAATTGTCTGCGATAACCTACATGCCTTTTGGCTGGATGCTGCAGAACATCTGAATGAGAAATTATTGCGACACATGTACCATAATGCATTTCAGGTCGTCTGTCGAAGGAAGAAATTGAGCGTATGGTGAATGATGCTGAAAAATACAGAAAGGAGGATGAAGACCAACGAGACAGAATTAGTGCTAAGAATTCACTTGAAAGCTATGCCTTCAATATGAAGTCTACTGTTGAAGATGAAAAGTTGAAGGACAAGATCAGTGAAGAAGACAAGAAAACGATCACAGATAAATGTAATGACGTCATAAGCTGGCTCGATGCAAATCAGGTTTGTGATCTTTGTTTTATTTCAGAGAAAAATTTAATGTAATGCTTGGATGATTGTAGAAATATCAGTTTATTTTGCTTATCAAAGTAAGGTGAACAAAATTACCACATGAAATATTCAATGTCTCTCAGTTAATGGAATAATGTGGCATAAAGTTCTTATCTTGGTACATGTATTGTACATTCATTCACATTGATCAGTATGACTTTAGTAAAATCAATCTCCCCTTTATTAGTCAAGTAAAAATCATCTTCATCTGAATTTGATATAATTAAGATTTGTCTCTGACTGAGCATGTGCATCCCAGCTGTCTCGCTGTCTAGTTCAGTCCACACAATTGCAGTCAATTTGCGAGACACTTAGGTGGCTTTATGCTCAGTAACCCTTCATTAATCCCTCCCTCAATTTGTTAAACAACTTTGTAATTATCATTGCCTAACAGCAGAGGCAGTAGCAAAGTAAGAGGGGATCTGGGCATCAAATTGGTTATCCAAGCATTTTCTTTTTTTTTTTTTATTGTGTTCATATTTGCAGCTGGCAGAAAAGGATGAGTTTGAACACAAGCAGAAGGAAGTAGAAGGTGTGTGTACTCCAATCATTACCAAATTGTACCAGGCTGCAGGAGGTGCCCCCGGTGGAATGCCAGATGGCATGCCTGGTGGTATGCCAGGAGGTATGCCAGGGGGTGGCGCAGCCCCAGGAGCCGGCAGTGGAGGCTCAGGACCAACCATTGAGGAAGTTGATTAATATGCCTCACAAAGAACATTAATCAAAACAGTAGAACAATATTAAGACATTACTAGTAATTGGCATCAGTGTTAGTGTATTTTTGTCATCTAACCTTGATCAAGGTTTACTTATCCTTGTGTCATAATTCTACACTCTTGTACCATCATTGTACACTCTTGTGCCATCATTGTACACTCTTGTGCCATCATTGCACACTTTGTTCATAGGTTAATTAATGGTATTAAGATATCTTTTCAGTCATCTCATCTTTGTTTCATTAGCAACATGCTCTGATATTATGGTACTATTACTGTAGTTTATTTTTTATCTGAGCTTATCTGAATGTGTTGCAAAGTAAACTGTTATGGATATCATGTATTTATTCCCCATGCGTAACAGACATTGATCTGTTGGTCATCATATTCATACAGGGTATTCATACAGTCTCTACAATTACAATACAGTCTGTGTTAAGAGACGTAATGGACACCCTGTATAATAACAGGCACAGCTTATATCATCTCCACAAGTTTCAGTTATATGAAATGTGAGATAACGGATCTAAAAAAGCCTGGGATTTGGGGATCAATCAATTTGGACAAACCTTAAACAAAGAGAAATGGAATGACATGGCTTATTGTGATACCATTCCAATAAATCCTGAACAAAATTTGCAAGAAGTAGGTTTTGAAAGGTGAGCACTGTGTATCTTATTGACAATGGAACTTGCAACAATGACATCATATTCATTATTATTAATAAAAGAAGCATAATTTACTGGAATGGTATTCTATATTGTATGTATTGTTTGTTACAAAGGTATAGCTTTGTATTCTGTTTTTTTAAATTTTATTTTAAATTTTATTGCAGCATTGTATTTATTTTATAACAGCGTTGTAGTTAATAGATAAAAATCTGAAAATCAAAAAAATATTAAAAAATAGTGTTAGTAGTAGTTCCAAGTTGCCCGTTGAGAGAATTTAATCATTAAAGCATTATCATTCAACCAGCCATAGTTGCTCCATTCAAAGTGCATGTAACCGTGGTAGGCATGGCAACCTTTAGAATTGACTAAATGAATTTCATTTTTGCGTGCATTCAAATGGCACCAGTGCATGTAACTGTGGTAGGCATGGCAACTGCTTTCAAATGGCACCTGGTTAGAATTATTCAAAATACCTTTCAATCTTGACAATAAGAAGCTTCTTAATAAAAAATGATCAATTGGTTTCTATGATATATTACAGGTAGACTGTATTCTGTGTATTCAATTTGTAGATGAACCGATACATTGGAAAAATATGTAAATATTACTCTAATAAAACTAAATATTAAGTACATTGTGATGGTTAAATCAAGATTTTATGTGGAAACCTGTATCCTTACATGAATGACCATTCAGCAAGTAGTATATTTTAATAGTTATAGTGGTGCATTGTATTTTGAGATTTTGTTATTCGATGGACATTTCATGCAATGTAAGGTTGCCATCTAATGACAGTTACATCTCTCATTGGAATACACAATGCCTAATGCAACATTTGCAATTTGTAAGGAAACATTATTTGTATATTTTAAAGCATTAATCAAAACACAGAATGAAATTAAGAGAGGTTAAGCTACAGGTATTCAACAATGTGGACGTGAAATTCAGTGCACACACAGAAAAATGACATCAGATTAGTCTAAAAGTCAGTAGAGAGCATGTGGAGATTGGTATGCAGCTCATTATGTGACTGCTTTTAGCTAAGTTGTAGTGTACATGATAAAGTTTAGTTCTTCATTACCGATTTTGAATATTTTTAATGGTGAAATGACAACTTAAAAATGTGATCAATTTATTTCATCTTGTAAAATATAAGATACCAATAGGCCATGGTATAGTTAGACTAACAGTGATAAAAACCTTTAGCATGAGCACATACATTCAGGTCCATGATTTGTATATTAATGTGTAGCTTAACCTCTCTAATAACTGGCCAAATACCCTGAAAATGAAGAATGTTACAAATAGATTTCTGAGACTTATAGCTGTGTACCATTTGAACACATTTTACTTTGTACCTTAGTTGCTATTTTTATCTTCTATTCTGACAAAATTTTGATTTGTCTTGTATCATGTCTCTGAATCCCATCCCTATCTACAAGATGAGATGTGTGGGGAGTACAAGGGCTTGAAGCAAGACTTAATTAATGGCAACCTTAACGATTCAACAATTCTGGTGTTTGCAGAATTTCAACAAAATTCAAGCAACTTAAATAATGTAAAATCTAGAGATTGTTTTTATTCTCTGCAATGGTGCAACTACAACCTATGTCATAACACTTGATAATAATTGCTACATTAGCAGACCAACTACCTCGAGGTCCAAGGCGTGTACTATAACTGTGTAATGCTTCAACTACTGTCGACGTTATGGTGTTGGTTAAACGGCTGATTATTGAGAGAAAATGTTTGGAAACTTGAGAATAAAAGAAATGCTTCATAAAAGATAAGTAAAAAATAGTTTGTTGTTTTATTTTATAATATCAAGTATTATTAAAATAATCTGATAATAAAACATATTCCAGACCAGAGGAAGTAATGGAATTAAGCTCACCCAAAATGGAATTACATTATCATTTAAAACAGTTTTAATGCAAAGGTCTCATAATTTTGTTGCACCAATAAGAAAGGAGTTGCTTAACAGCTGAATAGATAGATGTCAGCACTTGTTTTTTTGGTGGGCCAGATTTTCATAGGCTTAAGTCGTAAAAATTTGCAATAGCCCCTTTAAAGTAAAGATTTATCAATCAAGTCTGAATGGTCTACTGTGGAATGACCCTGTTAATGCACTTATTGGGATTTATCATGAAAACTTTTATTCAAAAGAATAAACCAAAGAATTTTAACATTGTATCAGTGGAGCTTTTCACCACACTTTTCTTAGAAAAGTTGAAAAAGACGGCAAATATTTAAAAACATAACTGTATGATTCAAAGTTATTGTAAAAAACTTTTCACTTGTTTCAAATATGTTCTTAAAAATAAGGAAAAGAAAGTCATAAGAGGTTTAATATGCAAATCTCTTATAATCTCATAAAAAACGAGAATTAGCAAGGATTCAAAGCTGTATAGAAACTCCTCTATTCGATAGGAATGTAGTGTGCAGTAGTATACAAAGTATATACTCAAATTCAATGTTTTGAAGCATTTGTTTTATGAATTGATCGAAGCATTTGTGCTACATCTAGATACATTGAAACATTGTGTTTCTCTAACTGAGCCATGAACTCCCCATAATTTGCAATTTTATCTTCAAGCGACTCTGGATTCAATTTAATATTCATTGGACTAAAATACTGTGGTTTGAACCCTAAAAACTTAACAAGTTTTGGTATAACAACATCCCTGTTTTCAGTTAGGTCTGTATATGTCACCATGGTTTTCATATTATTGGGGTATGTATTAAACTCCTTAAGAGGCTCTATCCAGCGCTTTTCAATTTTACTTCTCCATAGAGCATACCCACCCCAAGTAAGCGTGACATTTTGAGGCGGTAGATGTAGATTTCTTCTTGGGCCGTCCAAGTGAATATTCCAAATTTGTGTCCTTTGACTGATTTTCATTGAAACAAATGATTCCAAGATATTTTTTCTATAAAGTAAAATAATTTTAGGTTTATTCAATATCCTGATCAAATCTTTTAATGGTATATTAGCCTCGTATAAATGGTCTGTGAAAACTTTGAACCCGTAAACTTTATTACAATCCAGTTTATGAACCGATCGTAACAGGTATCGCATTATATTATCCAAGGAGTCTCCAACAAGGTCCCTTGGCAGCAACTCTAACTTATTATGCAGTGGTTCATTAGTGCAACCGATATCTGGATGCTGACATAGAATGTAGTTGAGCATGGTTGATCCACTCCGAGGCGTTGCCAATATGATGTAATGCTGCTTCTTCATTGCTATGCATCCACATCGTGAGCAATTAGTTATTGAGGTGTAATCCACAGGAAATGTGAATTCCCAGCGACGTACCATCATGACATCATAAAGTGCATATAAAATGCTTGCAACAACAAACACAGTGAAAAACGCTGAAATAAAATGTATGAACCTATAACGAATCATTAATATAATTTTAAAATGTAATAGCGTCGCTCTTTTAGAAAAATACAAGGCATTAACATGACAAAATGTCACCACCTTGTTGCTCACAATATTATGAGTTCAATCTTAGTCAGATTAGAATTTCTGAGAACTTGTAGATGATTTTGAAAAAATAAATTGGTCAATTTGAAGCAAGTTGAAAAATACCTTTTTGACCCTCGAATCTCGAATCCAAAGTCAGATTTGAACTTCCAAGAACTTGTAGATGATTTTCAAAAAAAATTGGTCAATTTGAAGCAAGATGAAAAAAGACCTTTTTGACCGTGAGAATGTCATTGAAGGTCAAATCTTTTTTGACCTTAAGAATGTCATTTAAGGTCAAATTTATAGTCAGATTTGAACCGTTGAGAACCTGAGAACTTGTAGATGATTTTGAAAAAATGGTCAATTTGAAGCAAGTTAAAAAAAGGCCCTTTTTGTTGAGGTCAAATCTCAAATCTAGTCAGATTTGAACTTCTGATAACTTGTAGATAATTTTGTAAAAAAATTGGTCAATTTGAAGCAAGTTGAAAAAAGACCTTTTTGACTTTGAAAAGGTCATTGAAGGTCAAATCTTAAATATAAAGTCAGATTTGAACATTTTAAAACATGTAGATGATTTTAAAAGAAATTGGATTAGAAGTTCAATTTTAATCAAAAGTTCAAATAAGAATTTGTTACAGATGCCGATCACCATCCACCAACCTCCGTCAAAAAAACGGATACCATAACAATATGTCACCACTTTTTGGTGGTGACATAAAAATTTATACATTGTTATCAAAAAAGTACTTTTAAAGTACAATGAAAACAAGTTTATATGAATCATTTAATTCCTTTTGGACAAGTGTATGTAGCAAATGTTCCTATGAATAATCTTCCAAGATGTTATCATTCTTGAGAGAATAATTCAATTAATATACCTTTTTCTGCAGCACTCGGCATTTTCTCAGAAATAAATTCCCTTATCCAACATTTTCTACAATACCTCAAATCTTTACTACTATTATGCACACAAAATATGTGTTCTTAATTGTAAATATCTCACTAATACCTCAGTTCATTTCAACATCACCATATTTTAAAATCAAAAGATCAATAGATAACCATTATCTATTCATCAAATAATCATTGATATACATAGATTTCACACATATGTGACATTTGAATTCCATTTAAACAACATCCATTATGCTGACCTTTTAACCTGTTTGCAACCCTTCATGTATAAAATTAGCAAGATAATGTTAAACCTGTAAACAGTAATCCAGGTTTATGTGAATGTGAGCTGCAAGGGTGACTCCGACTGAAAGGGTTGATATGATTTCAAACAAAACTTTAACTAAAAATTGATTCCACATCAAACGAAATTTCAAAAGAAAACTTGCTGGATGAATAATGTTACGTTTTATTTTAATGATATTATACACTCGTTTTATGTCATACAAATGGCATCAATCCTAAAGAAGCAGGTCAAAATAAATAAAATATTGTTAACCTCTTGACTACCTGGAGTGACGAGATTTCTCGTCACCTTAGAAATGACCTTGAAACCCAGAGTGACGAGAAAATCCGTCACAAAATTTTTCACTAAAATTGCTCTTATTTGAACATTTTTCATCCAATTTACACAAAAAGTGTTTTAAAATGTGTAGAAATGATCTCTGCCGTCTAATTTTACTTAATTGAGCATCTGAAGTGGTATAGGTATGTAGTATAATGAAAAGAGGTGGCAAAAATGAAAAAATCTCTGGTTTCAAGCGATTTTAAAGCCTGGGATTCAAGAGGTTAACATAATCTGATACCGAAACATTTTTATTTGACATTTTTCTTTTGGAAATAACTTCACTCTCCACACACGATTACAGATTAAGTAAACTGGAAGTAGGCTCACACAAAGTGAATTTACATTTTCATTGAAAATAGTTGTAATGCAAAGGTCATTAAATCAATTGTAGAAATAAATACCTACATGAAATTAATCATTTACATGTACCAGTACTGTACTTCGATTCAACATTTGTTCCACTTGAAATACTGTACAACTATACCTACATGAAATCAAACATTTACATGCACTTTGATTCATCAACATTTGTTCATTTGCAGTGGAGACAAAGTATATTTTCAAATTCAATGTTTCCGAGCATTTGTTTTATGAATTGATCGAAGCATTTGTGCTACATCTAGATACATTGAAACATTGTGTTTCTCTAACTGAGCCATGAACTCCCCATAATTTGCAATTTTATCTTCCAGCGGCGCTGGATTCAATTTAATATTCATTGGACTAAAATACTGTGGTTTGAACCCTAAAAACTCTACAAGTTTTGGTATAATAACATCCCTGTTTTCAGTTATGTCCGTATATGTCACCATGGTTTTCATATTATTGGGGTATGTATCAAACTCCTTAAGAGGCCCCTTCCAGCGCTTTTCAATTTTACTTGTCCAGTAAACATATTCGTCCAAAGCGAGGGTGACATTTTGAGGTGTTGGGAGAGGAATTTTTTTCAGGCTATCCAAGTGAATATTCCAAATTTTTGTCCTTAGACTGATTTTTAATGAAACAAATGACTCCAATATATTTTTTCTGTAAGTAAAATAATTTTAGGTTTATTCAATATCCTGATCAAATCTTTGAGTGGTATATTAGCCTCGTATAAATGGTCTGTGAAAACTTTGAACCCATAAACTTTATTACAATCCAGTTTATGAACCGATTGTAGCAGGTATTGCATTACATTATCTGAGGAGGCTCCCATAAGGCCCCTTGGCAGCAACTCTTCAATATGTAGAGGTTCGTCAGTGCATCCAATATCTGGATGCTGACATATAATATCATTAAGCATAGTTGAACCACTCCGAGGAATTGCCAAAATGATGTAATGCTGCTTCTTCATTGCTGTGCATCCACATCGTGAGCAATTGGTTATTGAGGTGTAATCCACAGGAAATGTGAATTCCCAGCGACGTACCATCATGACAGCATAGAGCACATAGAAGATGCTGGCAACAACAAAAACAGTGAAAAACGCTGAAATAAAATGTACAAATTTTAACAAATCATTAATTATTTAACACTGACACTAATCTTACAAAAATAAAATCTTAGAATAATAACCACAATAGTACAGTATAATTTTATTGAAATATAACACCTTCAAAAAGAACCTTGAAAGGAAGTTTATCACAATCATTTAATTCCATTCAAAATGAGCACATTTACTAGCAGCTGATTTAATCCAAGGAAAATCTTCCGATATGAAATCAGTCTTGAGAGAATATTTCAGTTTACATCTATATACCTTTTTCTGTAGCACTTGGCATTTTTCTACCAAACATTTTTCTCCCTCAAATCTTTGCTCCAAATGTGTGCAAAATATATGTTTTTAATTATCGGCTACAGTTTCTCAGTTCATTTCAACATCACCACATTTATTAAAAAATAAAAGATTCATAGCTAAGCAATATCTTTCATTCAAATAATCGTTTTAATCAATTAATAAGTACACAGATAGGACATTTAAACAAAGAAGACAATTTTGAAATTTAATCCTTTTGAAAACCATAATATAGAAAATCAGCAAGGAAAGGTTTACCCATAACAGTAAACAGTAGGCCTAATCATATAGAAATTAGATTTATTGTAAATTGCTTTCATTTGGGGCTATTTCATTTGGACAATTGAACACTTTATCCATGTTTGTTCAGATTTTCAACAAAATGGAAAAGTCACTGAATGAAAATCCCCAGGGATTTCTCAAAAAATTGGAGAAAACTTAATTTGGCGGTTTAATCAATCCGCCAAATTAAAACAGCGGTCAAATAAAAGCAATTTACAGTATGTTAATATGAGCTGAAAGAGTTACTAAAGAAATCAATACAACTTCACGAAACGAAGATACAAAACAAAACTTTCCGGAATTATTTCATATTTTATTTATTAATGATATAAAACACTCTTGTTCTATATACAAATGGCTTCAGACTCTTACAATACACATTAGCCACTTAGTAGTCTATATAAAGGCAAAGAGACATGCACAAGTTACATCTTGTATTTTCTATATGCATGTGATTATCTTTATCTGAGATGCAATGTAAAAAATTAGATTTACCACCCTACCACCCATAAGGAATGAATGGACATTTAATAAAGAATACTTTTAATTCTTACAATATTTTAATTTTCACGCTGCAATAACCCATAGCTGCTCCAATTGTCCCTTTATGAGCAACACTAATCCATGTAATCATAATATCCATATACTGTAGAGTTTTCCTTTCTTACACTGTTCTAATAAATACTGTATGTTCTAACTTTGTTTCTGAAATTGTCTTTGTTTAGAAGGTCTCTGTTTAGATACATCTGAAATAACAAATACAATACATGTACATGTAAATGATTCATGAGGAAATAGGCTAAATGATGCCAATATGATCTTATAATAACCAGCATTGATTTCTTTCTGCATTGACCAACATCTTCAACTTTTGTTAACATCCTGGCCCATGAGATAACCTTCATTATTTATTATTTATTTATTTGCAAACATATGTATATTAAATTGCCCCTAATGTTGTAAAACCTTGGCAATTAGCTAATTGAAATTGATTGTAATTGTTTACATTAGAAATAATTTGACAAAACGTGTATTATTTTGATTTTAATGACTATTCCACACATACATGTATATGTATGGTGGTGTCAGTCAATTGATATTTGTACCAAGAGCCTAAAAGGAGATCTCAATATAAAATTCATATTTCTAATTAATTATACAAATATTCATACTGGTTATTCTGATATCATTGTAGTATGATTTTCTGTATGCTTCTTTTATCACTGCAGTCAATATCAACTGCCCTTACTTGTTTTGAAATTAATATCAGTGGTGTAACAAGGATTTTGATAGCAGGTACACGAGGCCGAAGGCCGAGCAAGACTAGGGGGATGCTCTCAGAAATTTTTTGATTTTAGACCTTAAACCTGCACATCGCTCCAAAACGCAATATGTTGACATATATGGTTTTTACATTTTCAAGCTCTAATATAAAGTTTATGTAAATAAAAATTGTTTTTTCAGCGTAATATCAAAGAACAATCATTTAGTTAAAAAAATAAAAAGGCGATCACGGGATTCGAACCCGGGCCTCCCGTGTGCTTAGCGAGCATTCTACCGCTAGACCACTGTGATATTATGTATGGTGGAAGTAATTAAACGCTACTTATTTTGAATGCTATGATTCGGAAGTGACGTCACGTTCTTCATTTAGAAACCTTTCCAATTCAATGAAAAATCTTTGAAATGACACATTTATCGTAAGTATTTCTACACAAGATTTGCCCCATTTGTTCATCATTCTATAATCTTTCATTAAGCTCAAAATGATAAAGTTCACCCCCGAAACAACCCAAGATTGTGTTTCGGGGCAAAGTCCAGCTTTAAATGGTGCGTTTTGAGCAATATCAGACTTTGTAATGAAGAAGTCTTCAAGGAAAGATTATGAAACAAAATATTTTGCCTTACTTTTTTATTTTTTACACCAATTTATTTTTTGCTTGCATGTGCCTGGTTACACACCTAAATATCAACATGTTTACAAACAAGGCATTAACATGACAAAATGTCACCACCAAGTTGCTCACAATATTATTCAATCTTAAGTCAGATTTGAATTTCTGAGAAGTTGTAGATTTGAAGCAACTTGAAAAAACTTTTTTGACCCTGAGAAGGTCATTGAAAGTGGAATCTCAAACCCAAAGTCAGATTTGAACTTCTGAGAACTTGTAGACAATCTTGAAAAAATTGGTCAATTTGAAGCAACTTGAAAAAATTAGCCTATAGTCAGATTTGAACTTTTGAGCTTCTAATTGATTTTGAAAAAATGGTCAATTTGAAGCTAGTTGAAAAAAGACCTTTTTTACCTTTTCTTGACCTTGGAAAGGTCAAATCTTAAACATAAAGTCAGTTTTAAACTTCTGAAAACTTGTAGATGATTTTGAAAAAAACTGAAGTTTAAACAGTATTTGTTAAGTTATTGGAAGTTTTAAGAAATTGTAACAGACACCTACCACCAACCGCCACCCACCGATTGCCAACCACAATCCGCCGTCACAAAAAATGGAGACCATAAAAATATGTCGACACTTTTTGATGGTGACATAAAAATGTTATCCCACTATTGTTGTGTTTTCTGTGCAATGATATTTCTGATATTATGGAGATCCATGTAATGTTTTTTAGAAAATTGTTTATCAGCCTCATAATGTTTATCAACCGAACAAATTTTGATTTTTCAAATTTTTGGACTTTTTGATTGTAATCATGGGATATCAGATCATTTCTAGTGATATCATTTAATTACTTTGCTACACAAAATGGAAAGGGACAAAATGATTGTTTAAGAGTGATAGAGTCATCAACAATATATTTTACATGTTAAATAAAGTGCAAGTAGCAGAAAACCAAACTAACCAAATATTTGTACTTTTATACCCCCTCCCTCCCAAAGAGAGTTACAATGAAAAAACTTGAGATTGTGTTTAATAAAGATTCACTTACTCCATATTTTATTAGTAAATGCCTGTCCAGAAGAGTATATAAATATGAGCATTACAAGAAGTCCTCCAATAAAGGCAAGTCGTCCACCCCAACTTAGGACTTCTAACACTGGATACACCCAGAAGTTTTTGTAGAATGCTATCCAGAATACCCTGAAAACAGAATGAGATGTCTGCAGTGATTAAGGTACTGATCCAAGAAAATACTCACACCCACTTCAAAACCCATGTACATGCACTTGATAATGCAATGCAAAAGTTGGCATATTTTGATCAGGTCTAATCAGAAATGAGAAACTGAGTTTGCACCCATCTTTGGGAAACTACTTATGCTCCATATTACAAGCAAATTTGGAACATATGTTTGGCTCATAAACCTGTTTAGTATAAAATGGTGCAAAAGAAACTTCTGTATCTTGGTTAATTCATGAGAGTTGGTGGATGACAATTTTTTATATCAAATTAAATATATGAATATGTTACCATGTTAGGTATGTTAGGCCAACCCCTGCTGTGATGGTGACCCCTTTCTTGAATGTTGGGTATTCATGGTAGACAAGGTACTTCTCTATCAACAGGATTGGCAGAATTGTAGTATGCTGGAAGTGTAAAATAAGTCATGAAAGGATCCTTGATGTGCAGATATTTTATACATCAAGTGACACAAGTAGGCTGTTACTTAATTCAATCGAACAGAATAGATATTTTTCTATATTATTACTAATTGTTAACTTATTGCATGAAAATACAAATTCAAATATTAATAACATGTATTTTAAAACATTTTCTTATATATAACATATACAGCAAGTGCAAATGGTAGATGATTATGCTTCCTCTATCAAATTAAATATAATACAAATTGTGCTATTATACAGTAAAACCTATGTAAGTGGAACACCTAAAATGGTACCTCTGAAGTGTTCCACATGGAGGTGTTCCACTTATAGAGGTGTTCCACTTTACACGTTTTACTTTATATAGATGTCTTTATATAAAATAGTGAGCTATCAACAGGTTCAGTGTGGATGAATGTTTTGCACTGAAGTATGTCTGTTCACTTTATTTCACTGAGGTATCAGTCAAATTTGATCTATGGCAACCGTAAGGCAGCCAAAGGTTCCCAAAATTGAGATAAATATGCAGCATAAATCACAAGGATAAGCAGTACAATGTAGATTTTCTACATCGATTTTGTGAAGCTATAGCCACCATAAAGCAAATGTGACGGAGGCTTTATAGAAGAAAATCATTTTTGGAACAATTTCATAAAAAAATTGTTCAGTGGCTGGGTGGATGGTCTAATAGTTATGAAAAAGATAATAATTACGAAGAATTAAGTACAAAACCTTTGAAACAAGTTCATCTATGCCTAGGTCACATTTGCATAAATAAATAATGTTGGTTGGGAATTATGGGAGCATATCCTCCACTGACAAATATTACTTGGGAATCATGGATGCCAATCCTCCTTCGAGTAAATTAATAGTCAAGGGAGTATACTCAATAGTGAGGAGTAATTCGATTCCAACCACTGTGAAAAGATACTTACCATAACATGATTTAACCAGACTGGGATAATCTTATCTAGGTGTGTAGGGTATACAAGCTCCCGATCCACTGCATATATGCCCCAAAATGTTATAACAACAAACTAGAAAACATTAATTCGGAACTTTGAGAGAGGAAGGGAAGATGCAAGTGTATATCTAAAAGAAGGGGAAATAGGGCATAGTAAAAAGTGACTAGGCCTAAAGAAAGGGAGAGCAATACTGATTTATACTTTTGTATTTTAATGACTTTTTAAGGATGTACAAATCAATATGCTATATAGCTGTATTAGTAGTTGCATAACACTGTAATACTGTAATGTCTCTGCATTCTTGTTGGTTAATATATCCAATGGATTCATTGTAAGGAGTTTATCCATTGAATATATAACCAATGCCACAAACATCAAAACTAAAAATTGAAAATTTGAATTAGTAGATTTCAAATACACAGAATTGATGACTTTTTCAGACTAACTCAGCTCCCTCATATAATTGATATATGATGGTCCCTACTGTTGAGACACTCATACCATTGATATCAAGTTTTTGTGATTGTACCATACTTTAGAGAGTTCAATATTTTGCATCAATGTACATTTTTGAATATACTTAATAGTGATATATCATCAGTCAAAGCGTGTCATCATTCCAATGTATGCATCTTATACATGTATAGAATGTGAAGGAGCAGACCAATTCAGTTCATATTCATAAAGGCATACAATCAAAAAAGTACTCAAAGCATGCCTATTTCACTTGATCCAAAGGGTTAACATCAAATTCACTAGCTTAGGCCTTATGCTAGAATAATGTGAACTGCACGACTCAAAGGTTTGAATGAGGCCCCGTGCAGAAAGGGTTTGGGATCTTTGACAAAATAAAAATTGGGCTGTCAAAGTACCTACTCTGGGAGCAACATAGCGAGTCAATATCCCAGCCCTGGGAGCAATAATAGCTGGTCAAATATAGTCAAAATTCTGATTCCTGGGAATACGCATTTCAAAATCCTTATTTCCTGGATGAAGTACTATGTCAATATCCCACCTCCTGGGAAAATTCTATGTGTCAAATTTCCTGACCATCTCCATGTGGGGAACTCATGGAAACCTTTGGATGATGCTTAATGAACAGGTCTGCATCCTTTAACAAGTATTTAAAAGCTCCAGTCACCAGTGTAGTGTTATCTACATCAGTGATTGTGTATTTTGAGGGACAGGATATCATATCCTGCAAACCTACCGTGACATGGCAAAGCCAAGCTGGGATGATGTCATCCAAGGCTTTGGGGTATACTAGCTCCCTGTCTACAGCATATATGCCCCAAAATGAAAATACTACAAACTGAAAGTAATATTTTGGTTCAGGAAGGGCTTAGATGTTCATTTAGCTTGAAGAAATACTGAAAATTGTATCATTCATTTTTTTCCAACGTGTCATTCCAGTTATATTACAATACCATATATGTAACTTCCAATACTTATAGGGTGGTCCAAAAAAGTGAACCCCTGCAACAGGCCATATTTCCCTTATTACTTGCAGGAATTCTTCTTTATTTTCACATGTTGTAGAGGAAGGTCTAAAATATGTATTGGTACCAGTCATTTTTCTTAATCTTGAAATTTGCAGAAATTATTACTGAAAATAGATAAAATGTGATTTTCAAAATCCACGATACTTCAACCCTTCAACACCCTTCCCCTGACATTTTTAAAGCTGCAGTCTTAAAGAACTAATATTTCTGACTTTGTTAAATTTTGAATCCCGCACATTATGGCTTAAAACTAGCATCATTCCTTTGTTCGTTGCAAATCTATTATGATCCAAAGAAATGTTCTATAAGCTTCCATATACGAAAACAGTTTCCAGTGAAATCGCGAACATACACCTATATGATCTTGAAATGTCAATATCTTCAAAAATCATGGACTAATTCTAATGAAATATGGCTCAAAACATTGAATATTGGATTTTCTTTTGATTTTTTAAAGATATTTGATGAAGGGCTTCTCAGATTCCTGGTCACAGAGGGCAACTTCCTTCCACAAGAGGCCCTCTAACTGTTGGTGTAGGTAACATACCCCTGAACTGTTGAACAGTTAAAACTGTCTCAAAATGATCAATGAAAGTGTGAAATGTGTTTTCTGCTTAAACAGTGTCCCCTTTGTCATATGGTAGAGTTTTAAACTCTTAGTCTCTAACTGAAAACTGTTTAAGATCATCCAATGTGTTTTGCACAATATCTAATTTTCAGGCATGTTTGTAAAACTCTAGTCATATAAATCTGACCCTCGTATGATGTTATTTGTTGTTATTTTTTCTTATTTGGATATTTATTTTTTCTTATTTTCTTGCATACGAGCGTCATACACACTTGCCTCATCTATATTGCGGGAAATGCTTTCCTGGCCTGTCTACCCAACCAAATTCACACAAATGATAAATAAATTTCTTTGCTTCAACTATAAAGTATTTAATCTTACCTTAGGCACGTAAAACGCTTGGTAATTGAAGAAACATAAGCATGCCGCTTGAATTTTTTAATTTTTTCATTTTGCCATATCAAGGTCACTTCCAGGTTAATCTGAGTCTAGATGTAAAACTATATCAAACGAAATCATAAGTATTTGTTACACGAAGATTCAGTTGAATGGGAAGCAGTGTCATTAAGAACGGAAGTTATTTAGAAAAGTTATTGTTTCAAATAAGAAAAGTGATAAGTATGAGAGAACGGCTTTGGAATCGATCTCTGTGTAATAAATAATTATGATTCCGTTTCGTTACCTGTTTTACATTTAGACTACCGGAAACAACATTTAGCAACATGGCGGGCGATAATGAAAATATAATTCAATTGATTATATTTCGTCAATTATCAAGCGTTTTACATGTCTAAGGTAAGATTTAACACTTTGATGTTGGAGCTAAATAATTACTCGATAATTTGTGTAACTTTGGTTAGTATGGTAACTATGGTTACCCAGACAGGCCAGGAAAGCGTTTACCGCAATTTGTTCCATATTATATCTACGACTGTGTATGCAAAGAAAATGATGAAAAATAAATATCCAAATAAGGACAAGGAATATCGAAGAACAGCATAAAACAGTCGGATTTATATGACTAGTAAAACTCTTGTAATTTCTTCAAAATTTAAGACTGAGAATAAATGTGATAATATGAGTCAATTCATGCAAGTATTAAGGAAAATATAGCCTGTTTGAGGGGTTCACTTTTTGGACCACCCTGTAGATATAAATTGTATGTACACCTGGATTAATTAGTTCCTAGTTTCAACAAACTTTTGTAATTAACTGTAACATAAACATAAAAACAAATAAAGAGGAAAAGCTCTATGGACTTCACAAATCAATACAAACAGTACAAATTAATTCTGTTTCATTTACAAATATACAAATTAAATATTTAAAAGTATTTATGCACTTTAAGTAGGTATAATAGCATTTACTTCAATGGGTTTTGCATTACTTTAATTATAATTGGCTAAATCTATGATTTCACATACCGTGCCCATTGGGTATGCTACACATGCATGGAAGAGGTCCCTGAACTTCTGCAGAGATGACCTTGACCTTTTGTCCCCAGGTCCTGAGGTGCCCCCTGTCATGTGATTTATGACACACAAGCTGTAGTAGAAAGTTTGAAAACACTGAAAACATAAACAAGAATCCATTTGAATAATATTTCTAATGCAATAATTTTTTGTAGCAACATTCTCTTTTTAAATTTGTCATTTTTCATCAAAGTTCATTTCATTTCAATTTTTCATTAAATTTCCAAAGAAGGTTCTGATAAAAATGAAACCATCAAAACAACCAAATAGTCCCATTTTCTGCTAACTTGTACCGTTTCTTGTCAATAGATTGTACGAGGGGGGATTCATAAGTAGTGGGACTTTTCTGAGGCAGCAAGTCCCTGTGTACATATCTCAACCAAATTTGGCACATGAATGGACTAGGATATAAGGCATTGTTTACTGAAATTTCAATTTAATTCATTTTGTTCCCTAGCAACAACGGTTGCTATGGTAACCAAAAGTAGGGGTTAACGGAGCAGTTAAAAAATGAAGGGCTCGTTCAACATAAATATGCTCATAAATATCTCAAAATGACAGGTATTTTCAAATATTTGGTTTCATATTGTCTCAACCCTTGTAGTCATGACAATTGTAACATATATTACATCATCATGCTATTGTGATGTCACACAAAGTAGTGACACCAGGACACTGCCATTTTCAGCCCTTCTTGGATGGAGCAAAATTTGATTAAAATATCAATGAAAAAGTAAGAATCACGTATAAACATCCGTGCTGTGATTAAATTTAATGCTTTGAAGAAGTTTTCAGTATTAGAGACCTATAGAGGTTTGTTGGAAGTCTATGGGAAAGAAGAAGTATAAAGTCTACAGTATATAGGTGGTATTCTCTATATGTATTCTGAATATGCTATGAGAGCCGAGATGACCAATCTTGGAAAATATGGTTTTGAGGATGGTTGAGGAGATGCCAAAAATGCATTGATTGCCATGGCGAATACTTTGAGAAAGAGTGAGATTGCACCAGAAGGATAAGGAATCAATAGTCTTGCACAAAATTGATTTGCTCCACAAAAGGACTCGCTAGAAGTCACAGATTAGATCACGTCCTGAATATCAGTTGAGACTTGTATAATTAACTTGCAATTAGTGACAAACAATGTGCTCTGTGAACCCTGTTGTGACGTCATGATTGGAACTCTCACTTTACTGAAGTTGGGTGTAACTTTTTGAAATTTTCACACAATGATTATCACATGTTTGTGGTTCTGTGTCCCAAGTTTGAATAAAATCTGGTTGATATAAGTGAAGTTATAGCATTTGTCCCACTACTTATGAATCCCCCCTCGTATATATGTTGCTGAAGCAATATGCATTGAAATGAAATCAGGCATCAATAAAGCATTGCAGTAGGATTAAAGTCCCCGTCACAAGTTTGAAATTTTTTTTTATCATTCATTTCCTATTTGTCAGGACTTAAAAAGTGATTTTAGAGATTTTTGAACAAAAAAAAATTTTTGAAAAAAAAGTTGTGAGCATTTCATTTCTCAAATATTCAAATTTCCCGCCATATTTCAAAAAAAATTGAAATTTCTTAATCATCAAATATTTCTTAATGCATTTCAAAAAAGATTATCTTTTTAACACCAATGCAAAGATTGAAAAAAGGACACACTATTTCAATAATAAAATTCCATATTTAACGAGCCACTTCAATGTTTTAGCATATCAAAAATATTTTGAAACATTAGTGATGTCACTAAGGTAACAAAAACTTTTTGAAAAAAATTGAAATTTTTTTTTCGATGTCAATCTTTTCTAAATATGCTAGACTTTCATAAAAAACCAATGTTGATTGTCTAACAATGTTAAAAAGAAGAATAAATTATGTTTTAGATATCATTGTACCATTGGTGTCTATGAGAACTAAAATTTTGAAATGCATTTTTCTCAGAACCATTTTCATGCACTGATAAGTTCATTTCTCGCTTGTTTATCAACCGATTTTCTTAATTTTTTCGGCAAAAAACATGGGAGGATGAATGCTATGCATTGGTATGAATTTTGGCTAATTAGAAGATATGAGTGATCTCTAAAAGTTGGTTTTAAATAAATTCACAAATTTTGGAACAAAAAGTCTATCAAAAACCACTTTTTGAAATTTAAAAAAAAAGTTTCACATATCACACTTTGATAACATTGGGTAAGACTACAATATAAGCCAAAGTGGTTTAAACTTTACATGGGGCCTTTAATGATTAATTACATCTCTGCCTTTAAAATAACAGAGTTTAACATACATGCACTTACAAAATTCCAGATTGTCAAATATGACAGTTTAGCTCCAAATCTTTCTAAAAGTGTCCACTCTTCCTGATAAGGCATGCGAATATGCCGAAAATGGTACTGGAACGAACCAATATAATACATTGCTGCTGCAAGATGGAAGAATTTGCCTAATATTCCATTTGAGTCCCCTGTTTTTGTAGACCCCATGTTGTCTCCCAATTCACTTCTCTATACTTAAAATCTCTAGTGCTCTGTGAAATGAGATATACACCTACACTGTACTGTGGCTTGTGACTATGATTAATCCAGAATAAGGAAGTCTATTCTAATGTTGAAATATACCATTGGTTAGTACTACTATTCTAGGAAGTTAGCGACCCTTATCTTTGAGTTAATTCTGTTCCCTTTGCAGTATAGACCTTATAGCACTCACGAGTTATCAGTTTTACTAATGTCCAGTTATGTGAGCGCACCTGATAAATAGTATATTAAATCCTCTAGCCAATATTGATTGATAAGAAAATGAAATGAAAGACACTAATATTGGTGTGGTATCCCCTGTACGCTAATAGGCAGCTGTCACATATCACAATATGAAATCATTTATATAAGTCTACAGGTCGCGATAATATCATATGTAATGCAGAATATTGCAAATCAATAATTCTCCAATTGTCACTCCTACTACATGAAGTAAATTCTTGCTTCTGTAACCAGGTGAATGCCTGTTCTCTTGTGAGGCACTAATAGCTCTATACAGTCAGTCTATAACTGTATAAAAGAGGCCAGTACAAGCCTGTATTGTTCAATGTTAATCCCATAGAATCATGTTGACAAACTCAAAGTCTATGTGTATTTATTAGAAATGGAACATTCCCAGGTATTGTTGTTCTATAAATAGTATAGAGTACTGGGTGACACAAAAAATGGCACCCACTAATTTCAAAATAACTCTCAATAATCAAGATTGATTAGATTGTTCAATGGATAAAATATTGGTAAGCTTGCATATCATCAACAACTTGGAAATTAAGAGATAATCTCCTTTCCCATGGAAGCATGCTCTGACACAAAATCACCCAAAACTATAAATTAGAAAATATTAAAATGTACCTAATAAGTGAGTCAGCTAATCAAATTTGAAAAAAAATTTCAGACGAATGGGTAGATATGACATATTATTGATAATATATGTGTAAGGTAGTGATAGCAACCCAGAAATAACTTAAATAATGGTGAAGACAAAAATCCCAATTTATTTCAGAAAATTGTATTTTAGAACATTTTTTGATGATTTCACTGAGAGCATGCCTGAATGGAAAATGTGATATCTCCAAATCTCAAAGTTGCTCAAAGTTGCTGGGGCTAATGCTATTCAACTACAAAAATATTTTCTCCATTGAAAACTCTATCTTAAAAAATTACAAAAGTTGTACCAAAATTAGTGGGTGGCAATTTTTGTCTCACCCTTTACTTGATAATAAATGAAGGACTAAATGACTAACTCTCAAATGAAACCAGTATCAGACTGTGGTTATTTGATTTTTAATTGAACCAGTGTTGTCAGAAGCTTCCAATAACAATATATCAATAAACTCGGTCAACACTGGTTCAATTAAAAATCAAATAATATTTATATTTATATAGTAAGTATAAAAACACTGTACACTATTTACAGCAGACTACATTTTTTCATTGAACTATTAATTTTGTTGCCTTCAAAAATCGATCATATGCTGGGGCTGAGAGTAGTTAATGGTAAAAAAACTAAATTCATTTAGCACATTTTTGGACTCTTTTTTGTTGGGTTATGGAAGCTTTTTGAAGTCTCTCCTTATATTCGTTATTGTGGGATCCACAGCCTTCGCTGTCTATTAGAATATGCACATAAAACTCTCACGCATTAGATAAAGAGGGACTTTGATAATTCACATTGCATTTACACACCTACAAAGTTTATTGACTTATTGCAAATATCTTGTATCCTTATGTAAACTACAGAAGAGTTAACCTAAGATAGTTGATAAGTCATACATTTGGCATATTTTCTTGAATTTTAACACTAATGTCCCACTCTCTTAAACTGCAGACAGACAGACAACTGTACCACGTAAATCGTATCAAATTACCAAAATGAGTGTCTCCAAGGCTTCATAACAGCATATGCATGATGCATTTGTCAGGAGTTTGAGCTCACATTTCGCTAAAGATTTTGCTAGTATATAGCATTGTCATGGTCGTACCAGACTTTTGCTCATAATTAGCATTGTCACAGACCTGACTTTGTGGTTGTATTTAGCATTGTCACGGTTGTACCATATTTTGTGTTTCTATTTAGCATTGTCACGGTTGTACCAGACTTTGTGGCTGTATTTAGCTATGTGGGTTGTGTCATACTTTTTGCAATTCAAGGTCAGGTATTACCCTGATAATGCTAAATACAACCACAAAGTCTGGAACAACTGTGACAATGCAAAATGCAAGTAAAAAGTCTGGCACGACAGTGACAACGCTAAATAACAACAGAAAGTCTTGCACAACCGTGGCAATGCTAAATACCAGCAAAAAAATGTCATAAAAAATGAAAACTTCAGAAAACTGAATATGAAATCAAAATGGATAAAACGGACAAAATAACATACTATACTAGTATACAAAATACTAGTATAGCTGTACTATCTGCAGTAATTACATTGACAATCTAGCCTAATAGTATGGACACTGGCGAGTATGGTTTTAAACTGTGTGAAATCTGGGCATTGATACTACCCGGGTATTGTGCCAGAAAATAAGCACTACACGAAATAAAACAATATGACAATGTTCCATAGTTACAGCAGACTCCTGCACAAGAATCACCAAGGTTGTGCCAGAAAACATTCCGCAATCATGGCTGTCTCGGTTAGAGGTGGGACATTTGTGCGACAATCACTTGATACTGGGCCTGGGCACCACCATAATTGTGATCTTTTATAATTCTGTTTACTACTTTACAACTTCTTTTCCCTCAGTCTGTGCATATTTTCATGACATTTTCAAAATGATTTTGTTTTCTGTTTTGAAAAATTATTTGAAAAATATTGAATATCTTAGTATTCTTACCAAGTCTAAGAAAGTGAGGAATTTCCACGGCCCACCGTATGTCTTACTTCCTGGCATATCAATAAGGATGAGATAGCCGTACATTCCCACCAGGTATACAAGCATAATGGCAAAGTAGACGAGAAAAACTAATATTTCCATTTTGAATTTTCTGATTTTCACATTGCATTTCGTTCAGTGTCATTTCCGGTCATTTCCCGGTTCAATAATTCTGGCGCGAAATTTAAAAAACAAATGAACCGTACAACATTTTGTTCTAGGTTATTATTTGACTATGAAATTCTATGCTATTTTAGAAATAATGCAGCATTCTAGAATACCTAGAAATTACAGAGTGTCCAAAACTGCCCTTTCATCAGCTGCACTGATCATCATATTATAAAATTTTCATACTAAGTATACATGTAGTTAGAATGCACTTTTATAATTTAAGGACGGACATAAACAAGAGTTCATGCTTTTATAAGTGTTACAGTTTGTTTATATGCATTGACTGCAGTTTCAGGAATATCCACAAAAATCTGTTTGAGTTATGGTTGCAATGGTAACATGACATCACTGTACCCTGGGCTACATTCAAACATGCATGGATGGCAAGGATGGAATTAGTTGTTAGATCATGAAATTAGTGGCTCTTCCGAATACATTCCAATATATAATAGCCCTACCAACACTCATGATGCCATCTATTTTCCACAATTCAATTTATTTAAACTCTTTAGCCTACAGTGACACGATCAGGTGAGATGCTATTAAAATCTTGAAGCAAAGATCCAATTCAAACTATTTCATCTTTGACCTCCTTCGTATAATATGACCAAATGAACCTCGACCAATGATGTCATCATTACTAGGCTTCACTCCATCAGGCTAATTGACACATTAAAAAGTGCTTGGAATTTTGTTATGTAGGCTATTCAATGATTTGATTAAAAAATAAGCACACTTTCAAAAGATAACTTATTGTACAATATAGCAAATAAACAATAATTTATAAATAAATATTATAATTTATTTTACATCTACAGCATATCATTTTACATACATATTGTACTCACATACTTTCAGCTTTAAATTGCACATTAATGTAATTGTTCAACAGTGACAAACAACAGTCAGACCAAAATACGCTAGTACAGTAATATGGATAATCACTGTAACTTAAAGAACAGTGGACCTCTACTATAAAGGGTTATACTACATGTACTAGTGAACTTGAACCATGGGCTCTCTAATTAAAAGCCCATGCTTAAACCAATCTTACGAGGTGAAAAAAGGAAGCATTCGTGTTTTACAGTTCTCAGTCAAGTTCTCAGTCAAGAGTTGACAAACAGAAAGACAGACAGCACTGACAAGAGGGTGATTCTATAGGCTCAGCATATGAGCCAAAACTGTAACTTTTCGTTGAAATAAGATAATAATTTGACAGATATTGTGCATTGTATCACTATGAAGCACTTTTTCAAATGCAACACTGCAATTAAGTTTAAAATGGGTAGGAGAAAACTAAATTACATGTACTTATTTTTCCGTTAAAGCTTCAGTACTTTGACAGCTTTCCTTATAAGAAACATGCTGCTAGAAAACTAAACCCGACATGCATGGATGCATGGTCCACAAGTGATTTGCTCTAAATAAATCTGCATGTTAGAAATTATTTTACTAAAAATGCTTACTGTGTCAAGGGTAGATAACAATATACAATTGTACATGTACAATTTACAAGGGATTAGTTGTACTCTTACTTTGTTTAGTACAGCTGTAGGTACATGTATAGTACACTGACTTGTATATTTTCACTATAGCTCAGAGACCTGGAGACAGCCATTTTTATACTAGGCCAGTTGATAATTTTGGCAAAATAACATGTAGGTATATTCCATCACAGGATTCCATCATATAATGTCATGTTTACTTAGTTTATTCATCAAACGGATTCAAAGATTGTTGCGCTAATAGTAGATCTCTCTGTAAACTATTGTCTATGAGACTCTCAGACGTCCTGCCCTTACCAGGTGGGTCAGTAATAAGTGTCACCTGGAAGTACATTCAAGAAAAAATACCAATTTATGATACACATGAATCATATGTCCAGTAAAACCTGTCTAATTTGAGCACTACTGGGACCAGCCAAGTGTTCAGATAAGCAGGTGTTCACATTTGATGGTTTCTTAGTATGTAAGTCAGTGAGAGAAAACAAAATTGGGGCCAGAAGATGTGTTCAGTGTTCTTAGTATGTAAGTCAACGAAACCAAGGAAATGTTCAGATTGAGAAAAGTTCAGATTACAAGAAAGCCACAAGAGTATTCAGATATACAGGTTTTACTGTACTTGAACAGTAAATTCTACAAATAATTGAGAAATATAAGAAATTAAGCTAAACTATTTTTCATCAGGGTAACACTAAGTTGGAAGCTGCAATACAATTAAAATATCCAATTTTGGGGCTTTTGGAATTAAATAATGCAAAGACACATCTGGACATGATTTAATCTCGCTTAACCCAGGACTATCTACTCTTACAACTGTGTTGTTTAGATAGAGACCCAGGCCAACGGTCTTGAAGCAAGACTAGACATGATCCTAACCTTATTGAAGACTCCTCTACCAAAGTAGTCAGCCACAACAGAGAAACCATCCGAGGCACGCTCTAACTGATGATGGAACTGTTCATGGAGGTCTTTACTCTGCTCCTGAGCACGGATTATGTCTAGTAATTTTCTGCAATAAAATCATGAACATGTACATGGAGATGAAAGTTTAATGTCGATATACATGAACTAAGGGTTAATAGGTTAAAATTGATTGATTATTTTGAACATTTGTGGCAATTATTGGTTGAGAAAGTTGAGAAAGCTATCTACCATGCCACAAAAAAGTAACCAGCTGATCAAACAAACAATACTCAAACAAACAACAAACAAACAAACAACCTACCTATTCTCTGGCATACATGCAGGACATTCAGAGTCATTCTCAGCATAACTTTCAAAACAACTGAAAAATAGAAAAAAAAACATGTCATTTGTCAGACTCCTTATAGTTATCCTAAGAGACTATAATGATGAAACAATGATGCCAACTTTTGTACTAAAGTCAGCATCAAATTTTGAATCAGTGATTATTCACGTTATTAACATATAAAATTCTAATGCAAAAAGGAAGTCAATGCCATAGAATGAATATAATAGGTGGAATAAACTTCAGAATCTGAAAGAGTGATTATTTCTTTATTTTGGAATGACTTACTGTTGGTGGTAGGAATGCTGACAGAGGAAATGAACTGAGGGCAGCTCCAATGGATGGTTGCACACACTGCACTTTGACACTTGGAATATCTTTGCACTGAAATGTAATTATACAGTCTAACATATACTACAACCCTACAATGAAACCTTATAGGAATGCTGACAGAGGAAATGAACTGAGGGCAGCTCCAATGGATGGTTACATACACTGCACTTTGACACTTGGAATATCTTTGCACTGAAATGTAATTATACAGTCTAACATATACTACAACCCTACAATGAAACCTTATAGGAATGCTGACAGAGGAAATGAACTGAGGGCAGCTCCAATGGATGGTTACATACACTGCACTTTGACACTTGGAATATCTTTGCACTGAAATGTAATTATACAGTCTAAATATACAGTTGTACACTTTCAATTCAGGTATCCAATTGATTTGGGTAGAGATACAAGAGGTGTAAAGGATTTGTGTCATGTCAGGTTGAGTTATAACTGGCATTAAATTTGATGCACTTAAAACTTGTACAAGTATAAACAGGCCTTACACAAAAAACATAACTTAAAGCAAACACTTTATAATAACTTTTAAGTGAAAATTTATTTGACCAAAATTTTTTTCTCACCTTGTTTTTAGCTCCTCAATCTGTTTACGAGTCTTTTCTGTCTCTTCCTTATACTGTTTGATAAGTCTCTCATCCTCAGCTATCTGATCGCTCTCTACTTGGAGTCGTCGGATGATATAGTCCTGAAATATAATATCAACGGTAAAAGAGTTTATGCTCAACCTATTATTATGAATTTGAAGAATTTTGTGGTATGACAATCAAACATCTGAATATTATATCAGCTCAGATGTACACATTTCAATTTAGACTTAGGTTCTTTGTGTTCAGAGGATTGTGGGGTACTTCAAAATAGTAAGTATGTCTTATATCTTGTTGATTCTATATTACAATAGTAACACATGTACTTAAGTATCTAAGTTTATTGTACCTTCACCACAGCCAGGGTAGCTGTGGAATTATGTGCCAAGGTTTGTATGACCAGAAGAGGTGGTAGTAGGTTCTTCTTATCTATATGTGACAACACTTCCATTATTTGTGGCTTGCAGTTCTCCTGCTTACGGGCAAAGTAAGATAATGCTTGCACCCAAAGATGAGGATCAGCAGTACTGCAACAAAAATATACAAATATAAAATACATTGTATATTCAAACTGACATATATAATCTCAGACACTCTATAATTGAATTACTCCATCATTTTAACACCAGGATCAGATTACCATCTAATATATGACATAGATATTAATCAACTACATGTATGTTAGTTAGTTGGTTGGTTGGTTGGTTGGTTGGTTGGTTGGTTGGTTGGTTGGTTGGTTGGTTGGTTGGTTGGTTGGTTGGTTGGTTGGTTGGTTGGTTGGTTGGTTGGTTGGTTGGTTGGTTGGTTGGTTGGTTGGTTGGTTGGTTGGTTAGTTAGTTAGTTAGTTAGTTATATAAACACGATCCTTTAAAGTGAGTCATGATTCATGAGTCATGTATTTTGGCATAAAATATCCAAATTATTTATGCACATTGAAATTGTCAAAAGACAGGGGCAAACCGATTTTCAGTTTATTGCAAGGTAGTTTTATGTACAGTAAAACCTGTCTAATCCAAACAACACTGGAGCTAGCCAAAAGTGTGCAGATTAGTAGGTGTTCACATTTTTAAAAACAAGCTTTTTAAATTTGTGGGTCAATGAGAGATACAAAATTTGGGACCAAGAAAAAAGTGTTCACAAAGAGATGTGTTCAGATCTACAGGTTTCACTGTATGTCTGTCTTAAGGGCACACTGCTACTGTAGCTTGGGATCAGTTAATTTTTTGTTATATTTTGTTTTATTGTACATGAATTCAAGTTTGTGCATAAACTAGTTGCTACAATAATAGAGAGCACTGATAGAGAGATCATTTTTAAATACAACTTCACTTACCCAAAGCGTTTGCAAGACTCTATGATGTGTGTGTACTCATTGTGTTCCATATGGTACCTCAGGATCTGTTGATAACTGAAATTATACACAACCATGGATATAGTATCATTTCGATTTAAGCCACCATATTCAAAATCCCTTCTCAAGCAAGTCATTTGGCCATAAAGCATCAGCATATAGAATTTGAACCAAATCTGTGAAATGGCATTAAAGTTATTGAGCAGACTGATGGACGGACACACAAATGGATGGACGGATGGAAGGCTTTTCGGACGGACACACAAATGGATGGACGGATGGAGGGCTTTTCGGACGGACACACAAATGGATGGACGGATGGAGGGCTTTTCTATATACTGTATATCCGAACTATGATCAGTGGGATAATAATCCTCATATAAAATATCCTGTTGAAATAAATTGCCTTGTTTGAAGTTTTTTCATTTACTTGACATGATATCCTTTAATTGAATATCACTGTAGCTTGAATTATAAGCCAATGTCATGCATACTCAGCATTTCATCATATTCAATTAAAGTTTATGTCTTCGTTTAGTATGTTTTCATATATCAAAGTCATGCTAGTAAATAATAACTAGATTTTGGAAATTGAACAAGTTCAATTTCAGACTCCAGATCTAGACTTTTTTTAGCCGAGTCATCCAGAATAAGCCAAGTCATCCAAAATAAGCTAAGTCATCCAGCAAAAGATGGATGGATGGATGGATGGATGGATGGATGGATTAAAAAGGAAGGAAGGATAGGATAGAATATAAAATATAGTCAGATGGAAATTTGATTTGCAGATTCGGATTCCTGACAAAATTCTACCCCTAATTCATAACTCATACGTTAAATTTGGAGAATTTTTTATTTTGACCTACTTTTCGGACACCGTATCTCAAAAATGGGGCAAAATACTTTCTGACGGCAAAAGGCTAACACTATAAGCGCACTCTTGGCTACATGTATACAAAATTTCGAAGAATATAATTAATCTGTAGTGTCAGAATAGCAAAAATAAGGAAAAACATTGAATTTGACCTAGATTTTGACCTAGGCATTTTGGTGTCCAAATTTTGAAGCTAGATGGCTTTTGAGGTCCCATTCTTTTAAAAGCTTTCATTATATTTAGCTGAACGCAGTCTATATTTCGTATTTTTCACTTCAAATAAATCTTTTTTCCCATTGACTTAACATGGGCACCAAAGGACGATTCTCGGTTTGGAGAACAGTCTCCTGGGCTAATAATTTTTTTCATGAAAAATATAGAAATATTACCCAAATTAAACTATGAATATTCAAAAGAGGACATTTAAATCTACAAGATGTAAAAATAACAAATTGGTCTGAAGCAGGGATAACGCTCAATTAGACCGATTCAATAAATTACAAGTCTCGATTTTGGAAAAGAAGTTCATCAGTGTACCGCGCTTATATTTTTTTGCAAAATATCTAGAAATATCACCCAAATTAAATTATGACTATTCAAAAGAAGACATTCAAATCTATATTATGTAAAAAAATCAAATTTGTCCGAAGCAGGGATAATGCTCATTTAGATTGATGAACTTTGTTCTCCAAGCCGAGAATCGTCCTTTAGCGATTTTTGAGCTTTCAAAACGCCATAACTTCCGAACCGGAAGTCTGATTCGAATTTGGTTTTCAGATTCGGAATTCTGAGAAAATATCCTATAAGACTGATATCCTAGACATTTAATTCGGAGAGCTTTTTTTGGACCTCGTTTTCAGACACTGATATCTCGAAATCGGTTTGAGATATCAAAAAACTAAATCACCCTAAATTTCCTACTTTTTTATGAGGAACACAATGAAAAAAGCCCGGATCGAAAATATTGAAGGACGACCGAGTAAATCGAAAAAAGTGACAAAGTACTGGATTTGACCTAGTTCTTGACCTTTGACCTATATAAAAATTTGACCCAATTTGCGAGGAACTAGATACTGGACCTAAATTGACCAAATGATTGACTTTACTGAAGACCGTATGGTTATTGAGAAAACTGGTTTAGAAAAAGAATAATAAGAATAAGAATAAGAAAACTGACGAAAACAATAGACTCCAGATTTCATCTGGAGTCTAACATCTGGAGTCTAATAATCATGACATGAGCTTTCCAAAGTACTACACAACTTAATGATGACAATGCTAGTGTGTATATAATCTCATAGAAAACATACAATCATAATAGTTTTTAAAAAAGATTTTTGAAAATTCATCTTGATCAGAGCTTTGCTGTAAAATCAAATCAAATAAAGTTTGGCAGAATATTGGACTGGCCATATTTGAGTTAATTTTTGGATATAAATAGATAAGTTACAGAGGGGATAAAATAAATGCAAACAAATGGACAGGAACATTATCTATATCTTATTTGATGGGTTATACAAGTAAAACTATGACACAGTGAAATTATCTAATGTCACAGACAATACCTGAACAATAGTAATATTATGTTTATTCACGATACAACAGAATTCAGAGCTTTGTAGAGGAATATAAAAGAAGGTTTATTAATCAGATGCATTTCATTTTTGACTTTGACTCAGAACAACGTTATACCTGTAGGAGAAAGTTAACGCAAAACGGCACAACTCAACTTAATTGAAGCTGTACAATGAGGATCTTCATTGGTGCAATTTGCATTGTGTTTTGCCTAATGGAATGCCAAGGTTAGTCTGATCAAAAGGTGGGACACAGAAAAATGCAAAATAATATGCATGAATAATTTTTTGTTCATTTGATATCATGAGATTAACTAACAAATTTTGGGTGGTAGATTCAAAACACTATAATGGCTGCCTTATAAAAAGAACAAAAACACTTGCAGGGCTTGAAGGTAAAACAAGCAAATATCTATTTGAATTTTGATTGTAATCATGGGATGAACCCAATATCCAATAATTTCTTCTGATATTATTTAATCACATAGTAGATATCAAATATTAACATTCATTCGCTATGCTCACTCTTGTTGGTACATGTATTTGATATTAACTTGTATAATAAAATTGATATCACTCAAAATGATCTGACATTCGGTATATCAATATCATCTTGTAATTGTGTGATTGGTCAAAACAGGGTCACATGGTTAATGAAGCTAGATGAGGCGATACTCCCTTGCCATTCTTAGATGTAAGGGAATACCTACATGTAGGGCTATACTGTACAAAGAATTCATCTCAACAGAATGAAATATTTGTATCATATTGCAGGAATTACAGTGCAACATAAGCGGAGCCGAAAATGCCATATTAGTAACTGTCCTCTTTATGTCCATTGTAATGGACGCTTGTACATTCCCAAAGGGAAATGCTGTCCAATATGCATGCCGAACAGATCAAGTATGAACTTATCTTTAATTTTTGGAAAAATGAGTATATGAAAAAATCAGTAACAGTCACAGAGGGGGTCCTTAGACAACCATTGTTAAAGTAAATGAGCAGGAATATCATGAAAATGAAAAATTTCAAAGTCCTAATGACCACCATTTTTAGGTCATTTGTGATGCGATTAGGATGTCATAGATCTCTGGAATGAGATAAAATGGATTTCACAGTTCACACTCTTCAAATTGTATGCACTGTATAGACAATATGTTAGAAGAGCATGTAGAAAATAACAGGCTAGTGTAATACTTAAAAGAAGATACAGAATTTAGAAAAGTGAGACCAGATCACTTGAAAGACAAGATCACTTTTAATCTGCCCGCTACGTCATAATTGCCGTTCGCATATTTGTTCATTTTTGTAACGTTCGCATAATTACTGTACAATTGGTATGGGATAAACAGACCTTGGCCAATATAATATATCTGCCCGAGGGCTGTAGGTCCTCAGGATAATTCCAATATCCGGAACCTCATATATGATAATCTCTATGTTCATACATTTTATTAGTTAAATATCTTAAACCTGCAGATAAATAAGAAAATAAAGAAAAATAAAGAAAGGATATCACAAACAACAATCTCATATAGTATTTTTAATTTGACATATTGCAGGATCCGTGGAACATCCTAAGCGTATGAATGTACTGATAAGGCATACATCAGAGAGAAGATAACTCCCTACGGACAATGCTGTGTGCACAATTAATCACTTCCAAGGACCAGTGGCTGGACATTTATAATCTTACATCAAGTCAATTTTAGATTACTTTTTGCAATAAAATATGAGAGGTAATATTTTTCAAACTCATATGTGGATATTTACATATTATGGTAGAATACATGGTACAGGAAGGATCAAAATATTTTGTTAATTATTAAATTATGTTTTTCTGAAAGGGTAACTGACTTATAGAACCTAATAAACGGCCTAACATAGTGATATAATAGATGTATGAGAAGGATGTGTACTTGCTATTCACTCACAACTTACAGTTTAGCCTTCTCATAGAGGTAAAGAATGCCAGGTTTAAAGTCATTCATCTGGCACAGCACTAAGGCCTGGTCAATATCATAGCCAGCCTGGAATCATTCATTGTATTATATAAAAGTACAGTATATATAACATACCAAACTCAATGCAAATGCAATGGCTTAGATTTGAGGGACGTGTAGTTTTAACTTGGATCTTTAAACTTTTAAGCTTCGTTGATTTTATATGGTTCAATTCAGAAATGCAACTATATTCCTCAACTACATTGAAAAGATGAACTTACATCTTGATTTTGAAGCAAGTCTAATGTTATCTTTCCCTTTGATTCCTGGACCTAGAAATAAGAATAAGTTCAGAGTCACCATAAAACAGTACTAAAAACAGTAAAGTCCATATACATGTACATGTGTTGATTCAATTATTATATTCACAAATAAAAACTTGATGAGAGGACAGCAGTCAATACATTTATACTATAGTATAGTATAAAATAAAAAATTATTTGTCAATAGTTATGCTGTATACTTTAGACTTCTACAATATTAAATCCTATACTTTGCACTGCTGTATTGCATTAAAATGAAAGCGATTATGTGCAGAATTTAGTAGTAAAACAAAGGAGGCAACCTCAATCAACTTACTGTTTTATTCTGTTCATGTACATAATCATGCAGATATAACTCCAACAGAGTGTTGTAAACAAGGCTGTTAGAACCTGGTTGCAGCTAAAAGATAGAAAGGGAAGTCCTATACATACATGAGTGTACATGATTTTGAATTTTTGAAATTGCAAATTTTAAAGTTTCTGACTATGTCATGAATGTTTGGAAAATGAATCTCAAAATTAAATTTCAAAATGATAACTAAAAAAAAAGACACATCTTTAAAATAATATCCAGAAAATACGTGTATGTTGACTGAATGTATTGGAAATGACCTACCCTAACCATATGCTCAAGAAACTCTGTCAATTTCTTCGAATTGTTGACAAAAATGTGAATAAATTCCTCAGCATTGGCTTTTAATATTTTGGGAATTTCTCCTAAAAAAATCAAACAGTACAGATGTTAAAGTACAAAATATGGATAGATTAGAAAATCCAAGCCCCATCCCTAACACGAAATTGGGCTAAACAACTCCCTTGTCTTAGGAAACCTGACTACATCAATACATGAACATACAATGCAAAAAATAAATAAAATAGATTATTTATCACATGCATGGATATCAAATTGCATACAGAGATAAGAAAGATGTACCAGTATATAAGAAATGAATAATGAAAAAGGCAAAGCAATAACAACATTAGATTGATTATAAATGACATAAAATCATTGAAAAAATGTAATATGAACATATCAAATGGGGAAACAAAAAATACTTCAGTTATGAATGGGGAACAGGAGATAAATTGCTATCTATTATGCATTGAAGGGACTTAAAAAGCATATACAGTTTAGAAATTAATAAGTGATTTCAGGCAAGTTCAAAAAATTATCACTATATAAAAAATGCATTGAAGTACAAAAGTATGGTAGACTTTTGAATGATTGCTATGTTTTAACATGCATGCAACACCATATGTAAATTGATAGTAGCATATAGCTATTTAGCTCACATAGGTTTTATTGTTATCATTTTTCATGAGACTGGAAAATGTTGAATCCTGAGGTTAAAACTGGGGCCATTATGAAAACAATATTTTTTCATATGACTGAAAACATAAGGATAAGTTACTCATCAAATAATTTGATATCAATAAAACAGGGCAATAAAATACCTCCTGTGAGAGCTTAAAAACCACACCTTATAGCTAATACAACATGTAGAGAATAATTTAAGTACATAGTAGGGAAATATATGTACCTTCTAATGTTCTAGCATCCACCAAAGGTTCTGAAGAACAACAAGCAAAGAGAAAAGTTAGACAACACATTCAGTAAACATACAATGTATGCACAAACATACAATCAAAGATGAGACATAAACACTTAAAAAGAACTAGTTTGCTGGTTAATATCCAATTAACTTCACAAATGACTAGCTATCATTTTTGGAATACAATGTATATACCCCCGTATAAGGCATTAACATGCAAAATGTGATCACATGCCATTTGTTACAGACACACCACACACTGACTGCCAGACACCAACTGTTGAACACAAAAAAGTTGGAGACAATAACAATATGTCACCAATTGTGGTGGTGACATAATAACATATACATGTTAACAGGTATGTACTTTCAATGTTTATGACCCGCAATGCAATAAACAAACACCCAATAAAGCAGGAGCATGTAAAAACAGAGTAAAAATTTTATTTAAGACTGGGCCTGGAGCCTGAGCTTATAAAATAATGCACAATGGGAACTAAAAAATGTCAAAAGTAATAAAGTAGTGATAAAGTTATTTATGAAAATGTAACCAAGTACCTTGTAAGCTCATGACATAGATTCCTATAACATCTACTTAGGCACAGGGGGCAGGATTGGACTATTCGATTTTAATTTCAACTGTTCTTTTAATAAAAATTGTAGTGGACCCCCTCATCTACTTCACCAACGCAACACATGTTGGAAGGTGTGCAGTGGGGAGGGGGGGGGGGCTCATAAGGACTTGTAGCTAGACTATGAAAATCATGGTTTCACATCACATGTTATATTTTCTCAACAAAAATTGAGGATAAATCTACCAAAAAATATTTGTTTTTGCCATATTCCAAATTAAATGCCCAAAACTGATGACAGAACACATTTTGGTCAAAATCCAACCCCAAAAAGTATACTTTCCCCTTAGAAAATAGCTGGAGTACAACTGCTGTATGAGTGCTATTCATATAAGTGTACAATAACAAACAATAAATATAAACTATTTTGCTATGCATAGAGGAGCAATAATTTAAGCTTAGAGTCAATTTCTTAAATTCAAATTTTAAAAAAGCAATTCCATGCAAAGTGTCTACACAGAACATGGGCCATATACAGTGTCTCCTATTCTATCTGAATAATACAAACATCTAGTTCACTTACTATCACTGGGCTTGTAGTCTGTGCAAAGTCGTTTGAGAAGATCAGTAGTCTGTTGAGGTACTTCAGACACCAGGATCTTACCATATTTCTTCACATTATTCTCTGTCTAAAAATGTACCATTGTAGAGTAGAGGGAATGAATGATGGTTTTGAAATATAAATCTATAACAATACTAGATTCAAGAACATAATGATCTCCAATGGAGTTATTATATACTAGGTTCAGTACAACTTGGACTCTCAGACAGATGTTCTGCAACAACCAAAAACATTTCATGACAAGACAATTTTTGCATCTCAAGATTTAAATCCATTTTTCCCTTACATTCTGCAGCTATATTTTGTATAATGCAATCATACTCATAGTAATTACCATCACAATTAATTCATCATAGACTATTACATTTACAGTGTGATATGACAACCATCAAATATATTATAACTCACTGCCTCAAACTCTAGTTTTCCAATATACTCCAATGCCTCCTGGTAGTCCTTGTGGTCCTCCAGTTGTATCTTCAAATACCAGTCATGCTGGGAGTGCTTCTTAGCCAGGAACAAAGCATGTTTGTAGTACCCAGCCTGCCTACACACTTTGATGGCAGTCTCAACATCAAAGTCAACCTCCCGATCTTTAGTCTGAAATACATGTAAGTACAACTACTCATGTACAATGTAGACCTTTGGGAGTGAAAAAAACCTTTTTGATATTGGTAGATGTTCTCAAGAATCTCAAATAATTTTGCTACATGATAAAATTAATCAATCTACATAATGTACATGGAACAGATGTACTTTCAATCAGGTGTAACATTTTTACATTCCCAGTACAAAAAATGCTGACCATCAATAATAAAGGAGCCACGGTCCTGTGCTCACACAGTGTGGAACCTTCAGAGGAATGTATATCCTAACTTTCAAACAAAAACATTGATTTGGATTTGTAGTCTGGAACTTTGAGAAACTTAGATAGCACAGTTGTGTGACCTAGTTTGATGGGCTTTGACCTTAAAAAGTTTACTTATTCAGAGCTCAGTACGGTCTTTTGTGATTAAGCTGACCAAAATTTACATCCAAAAGTCAATTTGAAAAATCAACTTATTTGACCTTTCGAAGGTCACTGAAGGTTAAGTAAAGGTCAAATCCTAAAACTAATGTCAGATTTGAACTCCTGGCAACTTGTAGATGATTTTCAAAAAAAATTGGTTAAATTGAAGCAAGTTGAAAAATAACTTATTTTTACTGTTTTTTGATGTCAAATATCTCAAAAACAGTAAAAATTTGATGCTGACATATACTGAGCAATATGTAGGGAATGCTTAAATCTAGTAATGATGTTATTCATTGCAAGAAATGAACAAGTATAAGGCAAACTTTAAGAAACTTGTCAATCACAAAACCTGCCATTGACTTTATACATGAGAGAGTTTCCTGAAAATGAGTAAGTCCTACTTTTTGTCAAATATAGAGTAAACACCAAAAACTGTAATTCCAAGAGCTTTGAAATCTTCAGAGAACATAAGTTGCATATACAGCAACTACTACAAGTTATTTGAAAGTTCTACTTCAACAAAGTGTCTAGTATTTACAGAAAATTTGACTTGGGAAATGGCGATGGCCGATGATAGGTCAAATAGGCATTATGGATATGCATAAAATGAATGTGGATATGACTCAATCCGAATAGCAGTTTTAATTTGTGCGGCCAATGTTGACGGACGGACGGACCAATGGACGGATCAACAGATGGACCAACGGACGGACGCCTGGATGATCCCATAGGCTCACTGTGTGAGCCATAAATGAGTTGCTACATGTATTATTCTCAAAATAAAACTCATTTAAGGTTAGATGTGCAAACACATGCTATGATTAGGATGCAGAAACTATATGCATTACCATAATGAACTCATCGAGTTTGGAAACATCTTTTAGTTTTGTGTAGCAATTGAGCAGCAATGTTGTATGATCTTCTGTAGCTAGTTGTGCTTTATGTAGTGCTTGTAGGTAGGAAGTCAGATTGTGGATTCTCTGGGCATCTAGAAACTGAAACAAATAAGAATGCTGTGCATGATAAAGTGAGTATCTAGAAACTATTTATATAGTGTGGATCCTTTGGGTATCTAGAAACTGAAACAAATGAGATTGTTGTACGCATAGTATTGTGAATGAGAATCAAGAAAATATAAAACGTCTGTAAGCATGAGGTAGATTTTTAGGCCATCTGCACATCTTAAGACTGAAACAAATAGAAATAACAATATGTCACCACTTTTGGTGGTGACATGAAAAGTGTAATAGACATCTGTTCACAGAAACTAATACCTACATGTATTATCATGTGATTATCACCGTACATTAAAAAATACAAAATAACAATTCAATTCTTGTGGTACAGCACAACATTTATATCATATACTTTCAAAATGTTTGCCCTTTCTCTAAAATTATTCTCTGAAATTACATGTTAATGCTTACTTTTCTGATAACATATGATGCCTCAAGTTTTCCTATAGTTTTCACATACTGCTGTATTGCACCATCATGATCCCCTTTGCTGTAAAGATGGTCGCCATATTGACGAAATATCTCAATCAAGCCATCCTCATCATATGAGTGACCCTTGGCTAGGCTGCAATATTTAAAAACAGAGATTATGCAGTTTCAGAGCTTGATACAGGTAATAAGGTTGATATCATTTTTTCTTTTAAGTATTTTAGTGTTCTTCGAATGTTGCTCATTTCACATCCTGATGAGGAAGTTATGGTAATATCTTTCAAGAGAAAACCTGTGTTGACATCAGAATTAGGACATCAGGGTCAGTAAAATGGAATAAAAAACGTTCTTTACAAATAGTAATTGTTATGTCTTAATGTAGTTTCACAGATTGAATTTATACAATATAATCAATAAGAATAAAACATACTTAATTGCAAGTACATAAAGATTTTTCTTGAACAGCATTTCCAGTTTTGTCTGTGTGTCTTTTTCTTGTAAGTGGTACAACTACAAAGTAAATAATTTCAAATTAATGCAATAAAGCTGAAATTTATTTTTTTAGCAAATGTAAGAGTTGGCTTGTAATACAAGCATTAACTTCATAATAATACATGACTGTACATACAAAGACTAAAAGACACCATGTTAAATTATATTCTTAAAACTTTTCTTATTAAATTTGATGGAAGCATTATTCTGAATTTCTGAATTTAGACATGTTCAACATTTGAAATCCAGTATACATGACTGACATACCTTTCTGTCCCCTGCTAGTACAAAGAGAGAACCCCATTCACAGAGGACATCAATGACATCAGGTATTGGAGCAGAATATGCAATAAACTTATTTTGGATGTCATACACAGTCACAATGTTCATTTGAATGGTTTGGTTCCCACTGAAAGCAAATAATGAACAAAATGAACATATCACCTACACAATGGTCTCAAAAATTCTGCCAAAAAATTGACTTTGGTGCAGATTGAGGCTCTTTATTTCTTCGTTCTTCAATATGTAAGCTTTAAGGATTTATTAAATTATGTTCACATCTACTCACATGGTTGAGGATCTCATTGCTTTACTTTCTTTCCCTACGATTACTAGGTAACCCCTGAACCAGTGAAGTTGTAATTTCTCCCCCTCAAAAGCCAGACAAGGGCCCCTACCATCAGACTGATAGAAATACACAGCCTAAAATTATATAAATAAACAATACACATATACTATTGTTATAAATATCACACATTTAAAATTCAAAGTGGTTCCAAGTAATTTACCAAGCACGCTCAAAACCTAATCAGATCTTGGCACTAGTCTGCATCTGTGAAAATTTCAATTTGTACAGGTAAGCATTTTTCCTTGAGTTTTAATAACAAGATTTATATGGTAGTCATCCTTCCCCAGCACTCCTGTATGCCCAGCAGCACAAGATGACGACGACATATCACTTTGAAAAGTTTCTCACAAGAACACTGACAATTTTATAACTTTCTCACACACTCAATACATGTACTTACATCTTGCCTTCCAATGACAAACTGGAAGTCTTGGCTCTGATCACTCATTACAGAGCAGCCAATGGGGCAGCCATGGTCATCTAATTCTGATTTCACCTCTTTGTCCTTCACAGACACATTGATACTGATAATCTTAAAGCCTGTTGCTATGAACAAGACTGCATTCTTTCCAGAAGACTTGAAGGCCAGACCAGTGATGGGACAGGTGTCTTGGTGGATGATTTTGATCTTGCTGTGCCTAGATAAGTAAAAACAATAAAGGACTACATGTACATGAAAATAATATTTAAATTCATTTTTGCTCACTTGCTTATTTTGGCCTTCCCTGTGGTTTATAAAGTTGCAAAGATGATAATAAAAAATAGTTGAAAATTACTAATGCTTTATGAGACATTAAGTAGCTTGATTAAAAGGATTATAGTAAACAGTATAGCAGCTGACCTGTCTCTTGTGACGTCCCCTTTAAACAACACCACACTCCCATCTTCAAAGCCAACAGCCATGTTGTTCAGGTTCTCATGAACTGTAAGGCAAGATACCTACAAAGAGTAAACATAGCATGTATACATATATGTACTAGTATACATGTATATTATCATTGAAACTATAGTGTTCAAATGCCAGCTTCAAAAATTGATAAAAATGATTTTATAATTTATGATAATGAATTAATATCACGTATCTTGTAATAAAACATGTGTAACTAAACTATATAGCAAAAATCTGTGAAAGTAGTTAATATATTCATGAACAATAAGTGTTTAATTCATCATTTTTTAATTTTTTCCCAAAAAATACAGATGTTTTATGATGATAAAAAATTAAATTGACTAATATGGATGCAAATAGTATGACTCTATTCATACACTCATATATTGTGGTAAATATAGTTTAAATTATCCATTTGCATTTGGAGTTGTTCTCAAAATTTCTAATTCATAACATGTCCTCACCCTTGATCCTTTGCTACTGGGTGATGCCCTTGCAATCCTGGTGCAAGATGGGTTTCCCATTTTATCAACCTAAACAGACATTTAAGGATTATAGTTAACATTGATAGTAACTCATATTGAACTTATATATCTTAAATTTCTTTCAATTACATGTTACTCTATATAATATGCATGTGTTTTTGTTTTTGCATTTTTAAGCATGAAATAAAATCAGTAAATGAAACACAAAATAACAATTTATCTTTAATTCAGTTTTAGGCCTTTGGATGTATAACACCTTTTTAATATGATTTTTAATTACCTTGTCTAAATTCCAAACTTTTATCAATGGATTTACACCTTCTTCATCTTCCTAAATAAAAGAATAAATACATCACATAAAATCATGGCATTGTTTAACATGTAATTTAATCTAACACTTTACTAAATGTGTCAGAAATCCCCCCAGCATTAAAGCAAATATGCGCAGCACTCGGCTGAGATTTGCACCCACTTGAAAATGAGCAAATCATGAGAAAATGGCATATTTTGATCTGCACCCACTTGAGAAAAATCCTGTGTAGAACACTTTGTGCTGTCAATATGTGTGTCATTAAACTACATATTTTAAATCATATGATCCTCCTGATAACAATTTTGTTAGTCTATGTATGTTTGCAGTATAATTATCTTACCCCGATTGATATAAGAATACTATGCTGTTTCATTTGGAATAGATGCGACACTCTGATCTCATAGGCCTTGAAACCTGATAATTTCAGTTGTCTGTTGATGAAGTATAATTGTCCTTCAAAGTCTCCAACAATGATCTGTCCTCGACCAAATGCACATGCTGATATATTGATGTCCTAAAAATATATATACTTTGAAAGATTATTCCGAGAATATTATTTGTAATTGGGAAAAAAATCAAATGGATACGTCTACTTCGATGTGTTCATTTCTGTTAGCATGGAAGGCAATGGAGGTACATGTTTTACAGGCCCGTAGCCAGGAGGGAGTTCGAAGTTTGATGAGTTCGAGCGAACCCCCCCCCCCCCTGGAACCTCTGAAAATAATCCACTTGGAAGGTGTTCATCTTTGTACACTCGGTCTTTACTGCGTTCATCGACCAACAGGAGCCGAGACGGTGAATGAAGATGGAAGGTGTTCCACTTACAGAAATGTACAAAGGTTTAAAACATCAGTTGTCTTCTACATTTTTCTACAATAGCCTACAGGCATTCGTTATTTGTATAGTAGACAAACTTTTACCTTTAATTTGCTGAACACTTGCTCATCTTGCGGATCCTTTACTACTTCCTTGTCAAAGAAGTTAAAACGCCGCCACTGTAATGAAAGGTACACATACAAAACACATACAACATAACGCATATGCTACAAAGATCAATCTCAGTCCAAGTAACCATTCTTAACTAAAATGCTGGCGGTGGCTAATGTTTTGATTTTTCATCTTTGTCAATATTTGTTTTGATTTTGGATTTTTCTGATTTTTTGACAGAAATATGAAGCAATGAAATCAGAATCAGCGATCCCAAAAAAACAAGTATTCACTAATTACATAGCACACCTCATAATATAATATGTCAGTTATCTAATGTTATAATTTATTAGTAATTCATTATGTCATTGCGTGTACAATTAACCAAAATGTAAGCAAATCAGCAAAACACCCACTTGCAGAAAGGCCATCTTGGATTTTGTAGGTCAAGGTCATATGCGCTGTTCATAACCTTGGGTATTTTAATGATACTGGACGTGATTCAATAATCTTAGAGACTTTTGAACAATCATCAATATACACAGATACACTCAGGAAATTTTGATGAAACATATATTTGTAAATAAGGCGAAAATTGGTATTTAATTCAACTCTCGCAGGTTCTCGTGCACTTGTTTTGCATTCGAGATTTAGTTTTTTGGTTGCCTATCTCTACGCGTCCTCTTAAAAAGTGAGACATTTTCCACAATATGTCCAGAATTTCATCGACATTTGGGAAAACATCTGGGAAAAAGTCTTCTCAGAAGTCATTTGGAGGTTCGTAATCTATTTTGAATCACCTGGCATTAGATTTGATACTTTGATATGCCCACAAACCGTTGCCACGTTCCTGAAAATAACTTTTTGTTTTTTGCTAAATTTTTAGCCTGCATCCAAATTCTACTCTAGCTCTAAACTTAGACTATATCCAAAGCCTAAGACCAAGCTTGGAATTATCTGTGTGAATCCTGAAATTACTTTCTAACACGTCGATTTTTGAGCTAGCTACCTCAACTGAATACACATCTTGATAATATTGAATAACAAGCATGAGTAGAAGCAGGTCACGCTCCAGAGAAATTTCAATGCCACTTGGTGATCAATCCACAACTGTTTTGAATTGGAAAGAATCACTGAGGTCCCCCAGAATGTCTGCAAACTCACCTGCAAGAGGTTGGTGAATGTTTCGTAGCTAGTTAGGGTTGCATGGTATGTTGGTTAGCTTAAGGTCTCATGGAAGTTAACAGGAAATGACAAAACAAAAAATGACAAAGCCATGCTGGATTTTGAAAATTTTTTGAACCAAGATAACAGAGTTCTGTTTGGACCTCCAGTCAGTTTAACTAGTTCCACATATCATTTACATGACCGGGAACACAATTGAAATGGTCAGAATGACCATAAACATGATAGAATAACCTTTTCAGCCCTCTGAAAATGTGACTAAAAAATAGCTAAGAGTCTGTGCTCAGGAAAGGTCACTGAACAGAATCTTTTGACTTTTTCAGAAAATGTGCCCAATATATTGCTCTAAATGATACAATTTAAACAAATTTGATATCATTCTTAGAAAAAGAAAAAATTTAAAAAAACTGAATTGAAAATCGATCTATTTTCCTTTTTACAACAGCCATTATTGTTTCAGACAATTTTTTTAAATTTCAAAGATTGTGTCATTTAGAGCAATATATTGGACACATTTTCTGAAAAAATCAAAAGATTCTGTTGATTGACCTTTCCTGAGCACCTACTTTTAGCTATTTTTCAGTCACATTTTCAGAGGGCTGAAAAGGTTATTTTATCATGTTTATGGTCATTCTGACCATTTCAATTGTGTTCCCGGTCATGTAAATGATATGTGGAACTAGTTAAACTGACTGGAGGTCCAAACAGAACTCTGTTATCTTGGTTCAAAAATTTTCAAAATCCAGCATGGCTTTGTCATTTTTTGTTTTGTCATTTCCTGTTAACTTCCATGAGACCTTAAAGTGTTGCACAATTGGCGCCTGCATCATCTACAAAATGCTTTCTATCTAATTAAATCCTAGCCATTTGCTCAGCTGGCTTGTAATGCATGTAGTAGTATGTGTTACTACATCCTTCGAATCTACTCTATGCATTTTAATAATCATTGGTAATTGCTGGTATTAGAGATGTTATGCACAATCAAAGGGTTTCCAAGTTATATTAGAAAGCCCTTACTGCAATGCATGAAGTGTATGTACATCTATATGCACAGTTGAACATATATGTATATGTACAGTGTACATGCACTTTCAGCTTACCGTGTTGTACTAATCAGGTGACAGTGGTCCAATGATTATTGTAATAGGCCTAACTAATAACGCTTGCCTCTCTTCATGCTACCTAAACCTAATATTAAATAACATATTTTACTACTTGTTTGTGTAAAAATCTGGGCAACTGGGTAACCGGGTAGCCAGGTCACCGGGTACCTAGCGTTCCTAGCAGGGTTACCAACTTTCAAAGTTGCACATTCTCCCCTAATATAGTCACTAATTGACCTGTCGAGTAGGTCCTACTAAATAGACATACATGTAGCCTCCCAAGTTTAGACTACCGTTCGATATCTAAAGATAAACGTTATCATTTTACCAAGAACCTGTAAGAGCACTTTTTAAAATAATGAGCCACTTTATCAATATCAGAAAAAATGGTTTCATATTAGGGATGCATAAAATGAAACATCATTGGCATTTTTATCTGTCAATTAATGTACGATGTACAATACAACGTTAGATTTATTACCTGTGTGATTGACAGAATATCGATGTTTGTTTTGTCAGTTGGTTAGATTAGTTGGTTGCTTTGTTGGTTGTTTGCTTGATTGGTTGTATGCCTGGTACGTTGAGTTGGAGGTCAGTTGGGCATTACTGAGGCATAAAATGGAAAACTCTAATTCCCGAACCCTGGTAGAAATGTTAGGTACTCAGTCGGTCACCCAGTTTTTTACAGTACACAAACTCACAAAGCCTACTTTAAAGACTACATGACAATACATGTAAAAACACTGATCATTATAAGTAAAGCAGCAAGATGTACATATACTGCTATACTGTAGATACTGTAATCAGTACATATATCAGAGGTTTCATTAACGGCGTCCTTCAATGGAGAGGACGTAAATCAAGATTGGGTGGACGTAAATTAAAAAAATAATTACGTTTTTGGAACGCAATTTGAATTTCGTAAATCACTTCGTGAATCCACTTACCTTCAGTCTCTTTATTTCGTGAATGTGATAGGTCAAATAGTTAACTGAGGACCAGATTTAATCCATTTTCTATTGGTCAAGTGCAATCACAAGATCATTATTTAAGAATGCGCATGCGCAAGAAACTGAACCAAAAAATTGAACCTCGCGCAGATTGCCCCTAAACTAAAGCAAAGAAAATGTGTTTCTAATGGTTGAATATAAGTTATACCTCAAAAGTGATGGTATCTGTATCATTCAATGACGTACTAGACTCGCCAGGACACTGATTTAGACAGATAAATAGCAAAATCGATACAAAATTTCATCAATTTTATTTCGATTAGTGTAAAAACGTGACTTTGAATTCCCGGGAGCATTTTTTCAAGGGACGCAGTTTATGAGGGAAGACGCATTTTTTGAAAATCATTACGTCCCAGGGACACAATCTTGGACGAACCTACTGAAAACACTGATATATGTATATTAGCAAGTCCATACATGTACAGTACCTCAGGTACTTCACGTTTGCTGGCTCATCCTATAAGTCATCTTTGGCAATTCCTCTGACAGAAATACAGTGTACTGTAGGTCTAAATTAATTCTTGATCTTTTAGAGAAATACACACAAAACATGATAGCAGTTTAAAAAAGTTAAAGGCGTATGTTGGTTGAGTGTAGTGACTTGGGCAACAAAAAACTTTCATATATAGTCACACTAATGTAATTTACAAATTCATATATGGTATGTATCAACATTGTTCCACCCTTCTCACTTTAATTGGTCCACTTTGATAAGTGTCATTTTATTTACGTTACAGACAGCTACAATCTAAGTGGCTCTCAGTCTTTGAGGAGAAGTGGCAGCAGTGGGAATCTGAGGAAATCTGGTAACCTGGCAGCAAGCTTTGGCAGGTGAGACGTGATTCATTGAATCTTTGGGGAACTAAAGCCAAAAATATTTGGTTGTAAACAACAGTATATATTAAGTGTCTTTACATACTAAAACACCTATGTTTTGTGACTCCTAAACCTACACTACAAAGCACATTTCCCTTGACAACTGACATGAATATTGGTAGTATTCATAATGATAGTTCATTTACAATATTCATTTAAAAATTCTTTGATGATGGATTATTTTCTATGTTAAACTTTTCGTGTTAGGCTCAAGTCCCCATCCAGCATAAATGATCAGTCCCTTGATAAAGTGACTGCTGACTACATCAGAAACCTTCAACAACAGGTTTACTACCTTGAACTTGAGACCAAATATTTATATCCTTGAATAAGTAACCCTCACTTTTCACAGTACTGTAAGTATATGAAAGCTCAGTGATCTCCCCAGCATTGAACCTGCTGCAAGATTTATTTTTAAGTATTCTTGCAGTTAAAATCTTAATGAAAATTCGTGTAAAAAAATATTCAGTAATCTAATTTCAAAACTGGAATCCTAGACATTTCTTAGTCAGAAAGGGCAAAATAGAAGATTTGCATCCAGTTGAGAAGGAAATCATAGGGAGAACACTGAGATTATAGATATACTGTAGTATAAGCATGGGTTATGGTTTTAATGTTTATAACATTTTCATATTTTATTTTTTAATGTATGAGAACTATTTTGTTTATTTTCATCATTATGTTATTGTTTAGAACTTAGAGAAACTGTTCTTATACTGAAAAGCATGATAAATGGTTACTGGGTGCTAATCTTTCCTGATTCCAAGGTCATTCTCATGTTAGAATGATAAGTAGAAAAATCAGTTTCTTTAATTGCATGTTATAATGAGATCTTGGCTAGGGACAATGTCAATATGTGCTCAATCTACACCCATAAAATAAATTAATTCCATTTTGGGAAAAGGCTAAAAAAAGATATTAGATTTCAACATACATGAATCAACTCTTCATTGGAAAAAACTCAATAAATGTTCAATTGTATTTTGGGAGAGGGAGGTGGTCACTCTGAAAATTTTGCTAATAATATTTTGAGAGAAAAGAGAAATATTGACTAATGGTCCCTTAAACAACTTATTAAAGCATAGGAGTTGTATGCTATGAGACATACCAACCAGTTCATTTATAATATCATATTAGAGAATTTAAGTTACACGTTTTAAAGAGAACTTGTACATGAAATTGTAGAACTATGATCATTTGGAGACTATTTATCTCATTCCCACTATAAACTTACCCGATTGATTATAAAAATAGTTATAATCAGTTCCCCCTGGAAAAATAACAAGAACGGGGCAGTAATCCCTGGGGTCATAATACATATTTCTTATATTTTTATTGCTTATTGTTCCATTCAAATTATTTACAAAACATATTATTACAATTTGACGCAGTGTGTTAATATATCAAAGGTTCTCTCAAAAACATGTTCCTTTACCTCCATATTATCTAGTTTATGCTTAGCGGTTGTATGTTCCAATGTTTGCTTACAGCATGGGTGATATCAGTAAAGATGTGGAGAGTGAGTACATCAAGAACTTACAACAGCAGGTCTACTTCCTGGAGCTAGAGGCCAACCATCTATATCCTCTATTCTCAGCATTGGAATCGGCCACATCCCACATGTTTGCTTGATTTATATGTATAATTAGTGCATGGGTTTTGGCTGTTCACAAAAAAAGTTTACTGACATGCCTACTGCATGTTATGTTTAACCCATTTGATTTTGTATTATGCATTCTGCTTCTAAATAAGATTAAATAAATCCATTACTAAATTTGTTTTACTAATATAAAAATTATTTAGATATATTATGATAAAAAAAGTCAGAAGTCAGTGTTAAACATTTCGAAGCGACCTTATCATGTGATACTATAGTACTTGGAAGTATAATTTCTCCTTAACTATGTGTACGCGTGAGCAGGCTCGCAAGGCAACAGATATGCATCCACAGATGTCTGCTGAAGCTGAGAGAATGCTTGGCAAACTAAGAGTAAGTTGAGCATGTACCAGTATATGTACAAAGTTCATTTGCATTCCTGCTAGAAAAAAATACATATAGAAAAAAACATGTTATTAGTGCAGATGAAAATTGATGATTTCATACTTTCATTTCCATTGGTTTAAACCACTTTCCCATGGATTTTTGCTTTAGAATCTAGGTCAGATATTCACAAGTGAATACATTTGCATTAATACATTTATATCGATGCACTCAAACATGCCATATTCATAATTATTGATGATACGTTGATATCTTTGTAGCAAATGCAGGCCCAGGTCGATGGTCTCCATCTTGAGGTTGCAAGGAAGGATTCTAATCTTAACTCAATCTCTACTGAAAAGAGTCGTGCTCTTGACCGTCTCAGGGAAGAGGAAGGTACTTTAACTAATATACAGTAAAACCTGTAGTGTTGAACACTTTCAGTGTTCACTTAAGTGTTCCACTTACAGATGTGTTCTACTAAAGAGGTGTTTCATTTTACAAATTTTACTGTATGGTTTTGAATATTATACATTAAGCACTAATTATGTTATTCCCACCGAGATAGCTTTGCAACAAATACTGCAGTAGTCACTGTCTGCACTTTGACAATATGTTGGATTGGTAAATAGAAATGAAGTACATAAGATTTTTCAATCAAATATCAGCTTAAACAATCCCCCCTATTTTTCAAATGAATGATCTAAGCTAGGTGTTGAATATACGGTGTTGCTGACTCTTTTAACTATTCCATTATAGATGCACACAACCGTGAAAAAAGACTCTTAATGGAAGATTTAGTGAATCTGAAGAAGGAGAAGACCATGTTAGAGACGGAACACTCAAGGAAAGATACTCAGATGATAGAGGCTCGTAGTGAGATGGATAAATCTGCCCAAGCCTTGAGGAATGCAGAACACAAGATCTCAATTCTTAGAAGCCAGGTAGGTTTGATCAAGTTATTCTTTGTATACAGCAAGGCTGGTGCTTTTACGATTGGATGCACAGTATCTGGTCAACTTATGAAGGCCAAAAAAATCCCAAATTTCATGTTTTGAGGGATATAACGTCAGCACATACATTGTTTCCACGGCAAATCTGATTTTAACTTCAGAACAACATGGCACTATTGTAAAATGACACATCAAAAGTTAATCAATTTGCCACTAAATACAATTTTGTAAATAAAACTTAAACCTTGGTCTCAAAAACGACTTGTCCACTTTTATTTGACCATTTTCTATATAAATGAAAAATACATGGCATAGTGAAAAAAGTACCATTGGAGCAAATTATTGCATGATTTTAGGTTAACTTTAGCAGTTTCGCAAAGAGTGTACCAGTTAAACTTGTGAAGTCTTTCCAGTTGTATGATTAGAATACTACAACAATGCATTATGTTTGAGCATTTTAATAGGCTATTTTTCTAAATATATGATTATTGGTTTAACATTTTTAGTTATCGATATACAGTCTAGCATATGTATTTCAATCGATTTCTTGTATTTGTAATAAATACATATTCCATTATTCACCACGACGATATTATTATATTTTCAGTTGGACCAAAGGATTGAACAGCACAAGTTAACTCAGCTTGCTCTTGAGGAGAAGAGGTCAGACATGTTGAGAACAGAATCTAATCTACGAGAACTAGAGGAGAAATATTACAGCAGCAATGTTATATTGCATGACAAGACAGTCAATGATCTTAGGGTAAGAAACAATACAGTGCTATGTCATAGTAGTATTGTGATTTCAAAGTTGTTTTATAAAAAGCCGAACAGCGGAAAACATTGAACAATGTGATTAAAAAAAAAATATATGATATATCAATGTATGTTGACATTAAGTTTTGTTTAAATGATTAGGAGGAAGTCCAGATGCTAAGACAGAAACTTAAAGAGACTGAGATGAAGGCAGATCAAGATCGATACCTCCGCACAAAACTCTCAGATGACAGCTCCCATCTTGTATCTGAGAACTCGTTACTCAACCAGCAGGTCATTGAGCTCAGGAACCAAGTAGAGAGGGTATGTGTCCATGAGAGGACTGTCAGTGTTTTGGCATGTCCTTAACACAAATTGCACAGAATTGTTACAAAATCAAACACTCAATTTATTCAAATTTTAAAGCACTTTATGTTCATGTGAAGTACTGTATATGACCTGACACTATAGCATGATTAAGTTATGAAATAGATTTCAGTTCACATATAGGGAAGATAATCTAAATTGTATCTTATTTGATTTTAGGAAAGAAGTTTACGAGAAAACATAGATGTGCGAAAATCACAGAATATCACAGAATTAGTACACGCCAATGAGAAGATAAAACAAATTCAGTTTGAGGTGAACCAGACCAAAGCTTTACTACAATCAGAGCAAGACAGATGCAGGAGCCTTATGGAACAGGTTAGTTCTAGTTCATTTACCAAGCTGCCAGTAGTAAGTTTCCAGTTTCACCATCATGTAGTTAATTTAGGTCAGATTAGGTGGCAGATATAGGGAAAAGTTCCTCTAAAGTTTAATATTCACTAATTTTATTAGGTCACTTTTCATAACTATCCGTATGTATCTGATAGTTATACATTTGAAAATATGTCCAGTAAAAGAAAACATTATCTGGCCAGTACAAGAAAAGAAACGATAATTCACTTTTCGAAGTAGATATAAATGATTTTGAAAACCACATTTCTAGATATGATTTTATGTGTCAAGATTTCAAAAATTACACCACTTTGACTAAATATTAGGGGTGGGACGGATAACCGAAATACCGAAAAACCGCGGTTCATAGCCTTCGGATCGGTTTTCGGATCACAGCCCTACTTTCGGATCAGCTTTTCGGATCCTTTTCGGATTAATATTTCATTGGTCAAGTATCAATAAAACAGTTAAAAACACTGTTTTACAGCAACATTTTTGATATTCCTAGTCCCTACCTTGTCTGTCTTGTCTGTTGCTAGCTCACTCGTTTACTAGATTTGTTTCGTATCCGCGTATTCGTATCCCTCGGTAATCAATCATGTGGTCCCTGGTACTATATTCTTTAGTCGTGTATTCTAAATAATATGTATTGTTCATGAAATACTATAACATAAAATTCCATCTATAAAATATTGTGAATAGTCAGCAGTGAAGTCAGAGACAAAGCAGCTAATCATGTCAATCAATACAAATCCTTAAAATGAATGAACCGAACCAAAAAAACGAACCGACGGCTGATGATCCGAAAAACCGAACCGAACAGAAACGAACCGTCCCATCCCTACTAAATATTGAATATTAAAAATCAGATAATTTCTCCTTGTATCTAGTCCATTACATTAGGTATCAGTTTGATAGTACATGTACACTTTGTACAGGGCTGCCACGTCATGAACAAGTCAGGGAAAAACATTTATGTGTTGGGCTAATGGGGACCAGGCTGTGCTTTTCAGCTGATACTTAATAGATGTTTCTCTGGGAAACCGACATGTTATGTCAAGTTATCATGTGTTGTGCATAAGTTGTTTACAAGTCACATTCCTGTTTCAGCTATCCAAGGCTGAGTCACTGAACAGTAGCATCCAACTTAATCAGTCCAGTACACAGTCACGGCTAGCAGAGGTGCAAGGCGTACACTCAGTGACAGAGAGTGAGAACACTTCACTGCGTAGAGATAAGATGCTCCTTGTAGACCATGTCTCTGAGCTCACAAAACAGGTGGGAAATTGTACAAAGGGACTAGGGGTCTCTTTTGTTTGTTGGTATAAAAATATCTATTGAAGATATTTAAAGCTTTAAAGAAATATAAGTTTAAGCTGAATAATCATACCTTAGGGGTCCACTTCATTTGAAATTTTGCAGTATAATGAAATGAAATGACTGATTGATAATAAAACAAAACCTAAAGCTCAACTAAATTAAAAAGTTATATACAAATCTGTAAATTTCTAATTTATTCTTCAAGTTCCACAAATATCTCATTCAGTGGAGCAAGCCACAAGAATTCAAGGAAAATGTAAATGGGTTCCTTGATTTGTAAATTGATAGGGATAGTTCAATCAATAGTTCTAAAACTTAAAATTGTAAGTTCTATACTTAAATTGCAGGTACAAGACAAGGAACAAGAGATTTTACGACTAAGGAACCACATATTCACACTTGAGAATAAAGTTGGTAGCATAGAGAAAATGAAAGAAACTGAAACTGAAATGCACAGTAGAAAATGGGAAGAGTTTGAAAAACTAGCAGACAGTATGAGAAGTCTATCACATACCATGTCACGCACAGCAGCGAGTCCCCGCCACCTTGATTACAACTAACAGCAAATCACCGTGGTAACAGTTATCATGGCAGCGATTTCTCTCCAAATAGTTATGATCGTGGTATAGTGACACCACTATGTAAAAGAGATTTAATTCTACTCGTCATGCCAGTATGAAAAGAACTGAGATTATACATATAGGAAGACTGAGTGCTAACTATACTTTGTGGATATATTGAGAATGTTAGTAGTGCTTCTACATATACTGAACAGTGTACATGTACTTAGAAATAGTCATGGAAAAAATATGGTATACAATAATACAAAGACAATTATATTACTGGTACTGGTATCATGGACCATATGTGCCTTGTTCTTGTTAACATCTGTACTTTGTGTAAAATGTAAATTGGAAAAAAACTTCCATAGTGTTTTGAATCTGAGATCTCATTTTGCATGCAAATATATGCATATTTTCAATCCGTCCAAATTGGTTTTTTGCCTAATTTATTTTTTAATATTTTAGTAATACAGTTTGATTGTCATGGTGATTTTATGATGAACATATTGACAACCATACATACATATATGTATGAATTTAAATATCATACTTTTAAAATCACAAGTTTCTCTGTACTATCTGTTTCATGTCTTTTTTAAAGGTATCTAGTTTTTGCAGACAAAATTTTATTGATTAGCCTATTGTATGAAATATATACATTACAAAGTTCCTGTATATATTGTATATCTATATTAGAGTGAAAAACATCAAGGCTTCATTTTCAACTGTTAATATCATTAAATGGTATCTTTCTTTTGTGAGACAAATATTTATCAGTATAGAAACCTAATAATTACCTAATGTAATGTAATCGAGTTGAATCGTCTACGTCTGTCTTCTTGTAGTGCAAATGTAGGCTTCATGCAGATGTATCAGTTTTGTCACCAGATTTTCATCCCTCAGTTATTTCGTCCATGGGCGTTATTTCAATGAAAAATGTACATTGAATTTCAGGGAAACTCATGTTTTTGAGTTTTTGTACATAAAAAGTAAAAACTGTATATTTTTCTGCCAATATTATTGTTGAATCCTTGGTCATAATTGAATAGATGTATTTAGCTTGAGCATATAGCAGATCATTGAAATTATTTTGTAACTTTCAACTTTTGAATTTCAAATTGACTTAGGAAGCATTTCAACCCATCAATAATTAGTAAGACCATCTTCCTTTTATGCTCTTATCAGGAGACTATATCACCAGAAGTGATGCATTAAGTGATTGGCTGCACACTGATGCGTATTGATTTTTAATAAAAAAATCTTTCAGCTTGTTACATTTTGTAGACATCAAGGTGTTTTGCTCAGAAGGGATCTGGAAAAAATCAAATTTTAATTTAATTTGAATTAGTAATGCAAGTAATCATTATATATTTTTTGATTATAAAATATTGTATTATTTAAAATATATATACACTGTACTGATATAATTTATCAAATAAAATATGCAATCATTCATATTTGTGTTGATTCCACTTTTGTTGAACAAATATACCATTAACCTTGATCACATTTGTAGGTCTGTGTCAATTAGCAGGTCGTGATTATTAAGTATCTGGGTCATGAATTGATTGCTTTTAGGTCACTGTCATATTTTTGTATCCACAGGCTAAATGGTATTAGAAAAATAAATCTGTGTATCTTTACTTTTTCTACTGCTGCTGCCATCTTTATATCAGCCCAAACCCCACGTTTGAAATGTCAAGTTCATTATGGGGGTTAATATGAGTGTCCCCCGCCTGCCCTTTGGTGGGTAATAATAGTGCAGGGGAGTATGTAACTGAATAAATCCATGGTACACACACTCCTGTTTCGGGCTCTTATCTCCCACGGAAGGACCTATTTCTAGTTATTGGAAGGTAGAGCTGACAATATACCAATTTTACAGAACCGGAAGCTGCGCACTGGTGTTTGCGCATACACACGTTGCAGAAGAAATATTCTCTGAATTTCCCTTTTTCGACATTTTATAGCAACATAAGCTCGTGAGTATGATATAAATATAGGCGTAGCTATCTTAATAAGTGTAACCATCGTTACGTATTAAATTTTTAATCATTGTATTCGCTAAAAGTGACTTTTTTAGTATTATTTCTTCACAATTATTTTTAATTTTTTTTCAATCAATCAATTCAATTCAATCATCACTGTTCACTTCTGATTTAATATCACCTTTAGGTTGAGGTTGCACTGTACAGTGTGATGATATATTTCGTTTCTAGTACCCTTATGTCACCATATAAAGTGGTGACATATTGTTATAGTCACGTTTCCCTAAATTTTTTGTGGACGGTGTTCGGCATCTGTAACAGCATCTAGATAAAATAGTGATCTGCTTCTGTAAAAATGGCAAGTGGTGACATTTCGCATGTTAATGCTTTGTTTCCTATATCTTAACTCATTGACGGATGTTAGAGTTCTCTGAAGAAAAGGTGTAGACTAGAGTACAGGGAGGCAATATCATCCATGTAGGTAATTGTCGAACACTCAATGCAAGACTCTCCTTGTCTGACAATTACCTTCATGCAGTGTATGCCCTAAGGATTCCAGAGCTGCTGGTCAAAAAGGCATTACTGACCAGTTGCAATGTTATTTTCCTATACCTAGTGAAAAAATCAACTGGTCAGTATCAAAAGTAACCAGATAATGACCAGCTGTCCGACGCTTAAGGCGTGCCCTGGCTTCATGGATGGCATTGCCTCCATGTCCTCTATTATTCTCTTCAAGAAACAAATATAAAAGAAACCCTTTTTTAAATCCCGTTTTTGCCCTATTTAGGTAGACTTGAGAAGTGGAATCTGCATATCTGGCCCTCTCTATTCTAAGTTAAGGATGCAGTACCAGGTCCGCGTAGAAAAAGTTCCAGACATTAGATTTTGCTCATATTTTTTACAATGTATCACTATGATGTTATCATCATCCAAGTGCAATATGAAGAGGATTGACCATCTGGTAATTACAAAATAAAAATATTATTTTACCCACCCAAAATGAATCTTTTTACTTTTTTGAGTTTTCAATAGAGCTGGCATCTTTCGAACCCTGGTTTTCGTATCCACTAGTTGCGACTCAAGAACAAGTTTTCCCATAAAAGTGAAAGGGATAAAATATGCTTGATAAAATGTTTGCAATTTAATTCTTTTCTGGAAACACCATTATCGAAATAAACTATAGTTTTTGAATAAGACTAAATGCGAAAATGACGTTCTTGGGAGCTAGCTTTCTCAAACCGCAAGTCAAACCTGCGCAAACAGACGTGAAACCCGACCCGGTACTGCATCCTTAAAAATCCATTGTATGTGTATGTCTTAATTTTTTTACATTTACAGTAATACTAACTCAAATATTGAAAGTGAGGCTTTGTTTTGGAAATCTTATGTGGGATATTTCAACGTGTCACGATAAATTCATTTGATCTACCACAACACTTCTCAGTTTACTCACTTCCAGTCTTGAAGAGAATAATTCCCTTCTTCTCATCTACCATCTGTGTAATAATTATAGATTTTTGTTGTCCTTTGATTTTTAAAGTTTAATCATCATCGTCGGGTTCTGAGCTTGTAGGTTTTTGCATTGAAATATCACAAGGGTAATTTTGCCAAAATCTGTCTAGCCTCTCGTTAAACTGATCTACACTATTTGTCATTACAATCTTGTCTGTACGGCTGGTGCAGTCTTCTATGAACCTCTTACTGAAGCATTTCTTCATAGGTGTAAGTTCCAATCTCCAATGACCCTGTTGCTGAAGGTGTTTCTTCTCAAAGTTGTATTGCAGTGATGTTTGCATAGTTTCAAGGAGTATCCCCTGGTGGTAGTGGTAGCCTTAGTAAAGAAGGAGCTTGGCTCAATCATGTCAATTCCATTCATTAATCTGTCACTGACTTCTGCCTTTTTCGCTGTTCCGCATTAAGACTTTCACCGTATAGTTTGGTATCATCTCCAAATATCTTTATACAGTTCTTATTCTTGGCTTGGGCATCGATTATGTAGATGCATGAACAGGGGTGGCCCCAAAACTCTTCCCTGAGGTACACCTGAACTCTGAAGCCACAGACTTTGGTGAAGATGTGCTATTGTTCACTTTAACTATCTGCGTTCTGTCCATAAGAAAACCCCTTATCCAGTAAAGTGCATTGCTCCTTCTATTATTCTAGTAGTGTTTGGGAGTGGACCATATCAAACGTTTATGCTAGTTCAAAATATATTGCTTCTATTTCGGTTCAGTTACATAGTAGATCAGTCCACTTTTCCATGACAGTAAGAAGTTTGGTGATACAAGATTTTCCTCTTTGAATTTATGATATCATCCCTTATGATAGATCCTATTAAGTTGCAGAATACACTAGTTTTTGTCACTATGACACTAGACATTGAATAATCTAATACCTATAGTTGCTCACTAATCCTAAATCAACACAATTAGACTGATCAATTGGGAATTGCGATGAAAAATCTTGATGTTGTCATCACAACAAATCAACATCATTTCACACTGACCTCTATGATTTTCACGACAAGTTTCAATAGTTAGAAGGTTGGGGTTCTTAAACAGGATATTAAAGCTCAACTAAGGCCTTCATGAACATTTTGGTTATCTCTACGGAGGTTGTATCCAGTAATGTTTTTGATGGATAGTTCAGCACAAATCTCTCATAAGTCCAAGTGTTACTTCATTGGTGTTGATTGGGGATACCACGAGCGCTCAATTGCTCGAGCAATTAACGTCCAATGCAAGCTGTATCAATGCACAGGATGAATATTGGTCGTATCGGTTTTAAAATGAAAGTACATAGCTTCTAGATTTTGAAGCATTATTCAGGTCAAAAACCAACTGATTGTTTTGATCTGAACAAGAGGAAAAGTACTTTATCCTAGGTATTGTTTGTTTACTCTTGATGTATAAAACTACACTTTAAAATTAAAGAACCACAGCTCATTTGAAAAAATTGTTTTGTGACGCCATAAGTAAAAAATTTGAATAGGTTGGGAAAATTAACACAGATTGAATAATCACTACTTCTTTGTAATAAAATCTTGCTGATTATAGTGATCAACCAAGCGTGAGAATCAAGAAACTAATTGTACATCAGGTATACTCTGCTAAACCACAACTTGTAATTAGAGGTTATCACTAGCACTATCATTGCATATATGCCCGAGGGTTTCAGTGACATATGGCCTGACCTTGGGAGGGACATTGATCACTGAGAACCGAGGGCATATATGCAACTATAGCGACATAAACGATTTATAACAAACCTATGATGATTTAGTCTGGTCAAAGAGTACCGTTTTCTTATCTAATTGACTAGCAATGGTTCGGAAATGATGATTTATTCCCATGTTTGTATCTTACGAATGTAGGAGTCAATTTGACCAAGGCCTAATGTATGACGTAGTCCCAGCGCTTGACCAATCAGAAAGTTAGCGGGCGCGTGCTTTTCAAAAGTAATATTGGCCCGCTGTCTTGTGACCAGTTTACACTATACATCATCATAGGTATGTTATAATTATTGATATAATATACATATACAGGGTGGTCAAAAAATGGAAACTCTACATTTTCCTTATTTCTTTGTCATTTTAGAAAAATCTCTCTGATATTTCACACATTTATACAACATTCACTTTCCTACCACCCTACCATATGTCATGACCATCAGACTCATAGTCATAATTTTACAGAACTTTGAACAACATGCTTCAGGTTTAGGCATTATCTTTCAAGTCACCTGCACAGTTGTCAATGACCCAAATGCATTCCTCACCAGGTATGGCCTGAATGACATGGATGATCTCACTTTTGAGGTTTGCAATTGTATCCCCACAGGTAGTGACATTTTGGACGATGTTTGCAGGTTTGCCTAAAGCGCAGTAGTGGCTACTGGGGCATGTTCTTTAAAGTGCTGTAACATTCTGACTATCAATCTGATGGTCATGAAATATAGTAGGCTGGTAGGAAATTGAATGATGTACAACTGTGTAAAATATCAGGGAGTTATTTCTTAAATAACAAAGATATTAGGAAAATGGTGTAAGGATTTCCATTTTTACCACCCTGTATATAGGTTCACTGCACTGCCATCTTTTTGAAATATTTATTGTGATTCTGAGCGATTTTTGAGAAAGTTATGTTCAAATGCTTTTAAATGGCAATCATTTTTACAAACTATTTATGCAGGTCTGTCTTTATTAATATTTAAAATCAATTTATTGATGTAATGTCTGATCTAGCTATGAATGGAAATACTTGGGAAACTTGATAGTTATATTACCTGTATGTATAATGGAAAACAGATATTGTAAGTACCATACATGTAATAGGTTAGATATTGACTAAGTCTAAAGGGAATTTATTTGTTTTTGTCATGATCTGACTCATTAATACAAGATCAAAACAATTTAACCACATGGCCTGGGAAGTCCTGAATGATAGCAGGTGTAAGCCCTAAATGTAAGTAGATACAGCCTGAACTCGTAATTGATAGATGAAGGGAATTCTTCAGATCTACCTGAGTCCTGAGATATATGCTCTGGCATATTGCCTTTATAGTGGTACTTGTAAACATTGATGAGTGTTCAAGCTAGAGAGAAAATCTAAAGATCTGAGAAGACATAATTTAACATAGGCGCTGATCATTTTCAAATCCTGAATCTTTTATATTGGTCTTTTCTAGAGATGTGATACATCAGCTGATCGGTGGTGTTTTTAAATATTTTTTGACAATTTTCAAAGAATATTGAAAAATGATATTTTAGCCTAACTGACACTTTAGAAAATAAGTGAGTTAAAAAGGGAGGTCATTTTGACTGATATATCTCTGTATCGTAAAGACAAATGTTGAATAGATGCTGGAGTCATTCATCACCAAGTTTATATCCAAGTGAGAAGCTATGAGGAAAGGTTTCATCGTTTCATTTTTTCAAATTCGATAGAGTATGATGTAAACAAGCACTCAAGGATTCAGTACAAATAATCATTCAGTACAATCATTTTATATGCTTTACTGAAGGAATTAAGTCTGTCTATGGGCTGTCATTGAATGCCCATGGCCTGTTTAAGACTTTTTTAACACATAGTTTTTGTGTGAGACTGAGAGGGTGGCAGTTTGAATTTAAGGACTGGTACACAAGATGCAAAACTGTTCTGAACATTACATTAGTTCAATGGGTTCTGATCTGTGATTAAATAGTATTCATGTTTGACAACACTTTTTAAAGATAATTAGAATTCAACCTACAACTTTTGCACGGGTAAAATCTAGGCACCAGAAAATCATTTAAATGATAATAGTATTATTTATTGTTTTTTCTGTGCATTTTCTAGTATACTTTAGTTAGTGAATTTGTTCATTTTGTTCTATTTCTATTAAAAATGGGATTCAAGGCTAATTATGGATTCCGAATACATCATATGGAATTATCTTATTTGTCAGAAATTACTCACAATTGGGTGATAATATTTAATAGTTTTGGCAGACTGCACTGGCAATTAGCACTAGGGTTAAGCTGCTCTAAATTAATTATCCATCTTTACAGTCATACTGTCTGTACATGAGATCAATGAAACAGATACGGGAATACAGTGTTGCTTTTTATACAAAGACGATGCTGTGTTTATTTTACTGCACCTGGTAAAGTGAGGAAGTAGACTCTAGGAGGGAAAGGGTTCAATTATGTCAGTCCATAAATGCCATTTTAAGATTATTTAGTGATGTAAGGATCCTTCAGGAATCATGGTGATGATATGAGCAAATGCTGGCTTAATATAATGTTAAAACATTACATGGATTATACATATCAAAACTCAGAGGATCATGTCTCTCTTTGATGAGATTTCGTAAGTGTATTGTTTTATTGTTTATAATCTTCAATCTAGGAACAATAGCTTGTCATGATCTCCTCATCACTGAAAAATGTAGTTGAGATTTTGAAGACACGGTTATAACCTAAAATCCACCTAACTGAGTTGTCGGATCTGGCGGATCTGGGAGGGGCCAGGCCAGGGGCCAAATTATCAAGAAAATGGGCCTTAAATTTTCAAAATGTTTTTGGTCATACTTCAAATATTGCCCCCCCCCCCTTGTTGGTGTCCGGATCCGCCCCTGTTTAGTGTCGTGTATGAACTACATTTGGCCTTACTCTAGACATACTAAGCTGAAAAGATTTCAAATTATGGATGGATTTGATACAAGATATATGATTTTAAAATATCTTGTATCTACTTCCCTGAGGTTCAGTTTACACCCACAAAATCCATTTGAAAATGAGCAAAATAATGAAATATTTGTATTCATTATATGGCTAGTGAACTATTGTCTTGTGAATGTACAACAGTAATTTACCAAAAAAAGAATGAAATGTTTATTTTTGATGAGCATGGTTGGTGAATATTACCTAATCATTTGACCAATCATACAATTGCAAGCTTCATAGTTATATAATAATGGCATTTATCCCATACTTGGACGTGTTCCAGGTACATAAAACAGGTTTGTAAATGCTTATATTTTCATCAGCAAGCAGATATAGCTTTACGTCCTGGCTGGAGCGAGCAGATATATTATATTGGCCTCAGGATAATCCCAATATCCTGAACCTCATATAGGATTATCTCTCTATATTGACCAACTTGTGATAGTTGTTAAAGAATTTGCACCCCTTGAGGAAATAATTTTAGACAGAATAGTCACTTGGTCTAGAAGAATAATTTTTGATTTTGCTCCAGGTACAACATGGCGGAGGTGACGAGGCTGGTCTACTCTATGGTGAAATTTCTGGTGCAACAAAGAGACAGTGGCGCCCTCTCTGATGATGGCATTGAGAGTTTAGAAGGTTAGTGTTCTGAATCTTCTTTTTATCTTCATTCATTATCGCTTGTATTGTCTATAATTCAAAACTAACTTTGTGGCTTTATTAATATATGTATCTCACATTATTTCAGTTGCCATAGAGTGTTTACAGACTGCATATGGTGTGAGTATGGATGACACCGCCCTTGCTGCAAGATATGGAAAAGACCCACCTCTCCCAGAGATATTCAACAATGGTATAGGCCAAACCCAGGTATGCCATACTGCTGTTTGCACCATAATGTAGTCAAAACATATTGTTATGAATTGTTATGAACTGACATCTTGATTGATGGGCAGATCTGTCCATAAAATTTGAGTTAAGTGATAACAAGTAAATATTTGTGTTATATACATTTTTCGAAAGCTTATGACCCAAAGAATACAAAATAAGACTGGAATGATAAAGAACCTTTACAATGACACTAGTTTATGATATACTCCCAAAATATTTCAAGATGGCAGAAAAGATGGGTTTTACATTTTGCTTTTGAGTGTTATTAGAACTTGTCATTGAAACTGTCACCCAACAGTGAATTTCTAGTTCTAAAATGTATGGGACCTCAACTGTCAAAGGCATTCACAATATTCACATTGAAGAAATGATAAAAAGAACAATATGTATTACTGTGATTACATAGACTTGAAATCAGTAATAGTAAATGATGGGGTTCCCTGTCAGTTTACAGTTTCATTTGGATTGATCTCATTTGTATATAAAATATTTTGAGAGTAATATACTGATCTTTCCAGGGATCTGACACTACAACATTCAATCCTCCCCCACAAGCCTCAGAGGAGGATAAAAAAGAAGCAGATAAATTTAAAGCACAAGGTATAATCTTTGAAATAAGAATAACTTTACATTGATATGAAATATTGAGTGTTTAATAGATGCATATTTCTATGCAAGAGCATCGCTGAGTATAAGATACAAAGTTTAGGATGTAAAACAGTAACATATAAATCATAAGAATGGATCAAATTAGTGTTACGAGTGTTTAATTGACCTCACTGAATTAAGTAACAGGTAGACTAGAGTTACAGTCATAGTCATACTTCTTGTTTTTTCAATAATAATATTTCATTTACATTATATTCTTATAAATCTTCATTGATATATTAGTAAACATTGTGTCAACCTAAGAATGTCATGTTGAAATTGTATTTTATAGGAAATGAATTTATGAAAAATGAGCGTTTTGAAGAAGCCCTAGCAAGTTACAGTAAAGCAGTAGAAAAAGATGGAAATAATGCAGTCTATTATTGCAACAGGTGAGTAAATAAATCGTTGGTAGGGCCACATGTGATCACATCCTCAGTTTGTTATTTCTAGTCTAACTCTTCTATTTCAAATACTGCAGAGAGGTAAATTCTTCTTGAGCAATGTCCATAAATCTGTAGTTAAAAGGTTTAAAATATTGCTGTAGTTTACTTGTGTGCTTTTCACTCAGATTTGGGTGGGATCTGTACTTCATTGTCAACAGACAACCAGAGTTTGTTGATTTCAGTTTGGGATTGATACAGAAATACTGTACTGTTGTATTGAAATAGAATGTAGATTTGTCATAAAATTCATCAAGTTGTAAAAATGACTCGATCCTTTTCATTATGTCCAGTGGATTCATTTCTAGAGTTACCTGATCAAGAATTAGTAACTGTCTCCGAGGAAATATATTGAGGTATCTCATGAGAGGAATATCATATCTTCCCCTGGATATTATATCTGATGTTTCATTAACATCACCATTTTGAGTGAAACAGAATGATGTATAAGGTCTAGGAGGATATTTGCCAATATTGACATTGTGTAAATAGGCTGACAATGCTCTCCGCACAGGGTCACATATGAGCAAAATCAGCCTCAAAGCAGGGTTCATTTTCAATAAATCTCTCGGATCAGCTCCGTCAAAATATGCAGGTGTTTTTTCAAATGCTATCTCATGATCACATGTCAGAGGCATATTTGGCATATATTTCAATATGATTTCATCTTTTAATGATACATTATGGTTCAGAAATTTATCAAAGAAATGTTCTTCAGCATGTACTGAGCGAATCAACTGGGGATGAACAGCCATAAAGTCTGATAAAGCACTAGTACCACACTTTTGTACTCCTATGATAATACATTGAGGTAGCTTTCTTCCTAGTGACTCACACGGTGTGTTGTTCGCAGTTAACTCATTGGATTGCAGGTCTCGTATCTGTGGTTTTTGTCTTTTCATCCTACGGTTTGTACATAGTGTATATAAAAACACTAGGGTTGTCACTGTTACGATGAATGTGTACCAAAAAGATAACCAACTCATGGCTTTGACGTTGAATGGTTTCATCACTGAAAAGAATGTTTATATACTGAAATAATGAAAAAAATATCTTCCTTTATGTCTGATACAATATTTGATTTTTGATACATGCAAATATAGGTATCTATATCAAGGAAGATTGGCTCCCATGATTCTCTCACAACATTTTCCAAGCTAGATACATAGGAGTTTTGAGTCTATGGCATGACCTTGATTGAAAATTGCAAATTATCTAAAATGACTGCACTTACTGATCATTCCTCGTTTGTTTTAAAGTATGATTTATACCTCAAATACATCAAAATAGAAATATAAGGCTGGAGTGATGAACATGTACACCATGTACTAGAAAATATATATCTATAGTAGTGACTTACAGTAGTTCATACATGTATTTGACATTTGCCTGAGGTGACCATCATTAGATTGATTTACTGCAATGTCTCTGAAGGATTAGAGTCCAATGGATAAATAGGACTCCGGGTTACAGACCTGACATCAGCAATACATATCCTGATCTCAGGGGTACAGTCCTGACATCACAATGTATCCTCTGAACTCAGGTCTACAGACCTGACATCCGGTTTACATCTTCTGAACTGAGGGGTACAGACCTGACACCACAATGCACCCTCTGATCTCCGGGCTACATACCTGACACACAATGTATATTTTGAACTCAGGGCTACAGACCTGACATCACAGTGCATCCCCTGACATCCGCTTCACATCTTTTGGACTCAGGGGTACAGACCCCACAATGCACCCTCTGATCTCAGGGCTATATACCTGACATCAGAAATGCATCTTTTGAACTAAGGGCTACAGACCTGTCATCACAATGCATATTCTGAACTCAGGACTACATACCTGACACACAATGTATCTTCTGAACTCAGGGCTACAGACCTGACATCACAGTGCATCCCCTGAACTAGGGACTACATACCTGACACAGAATATATCTTCTGAGCTCAGGGCTACAGACCTGACACCAGAATACATCTCCTGAACTCAGGGCTACAAACCTGACACCACAATGCATCTTCTGAACTCAGAGCTACAGACCTGACACCACAATGCATCTTCTGAACTCGGGGCTAGACCTGACATCACAATGCATCTTCTGAACTCAGGGCTACAGACCTGACATCAACATATTTTGCACTAATTTTTATATCAAGACCAAGAAAAAGTGACATATTCTTTATTCGCAAACATAAGGGGATGTCATTTTGTCATGCCTTGTATGATAAATAACCTGTCATGTTCCTTGCCTTGAATTGTGTTACTACTTTCAGAGCTGCCGCATATGCCAAACTAAATGACCAAGAATCTGCACTAGCAGACTGTGAGTCTGCTATAGCCATAGACCCCACTTATAGCAAAGCTTATGGAAGAAAAGGGTAGGAAAAAACTTATTTTACAGAAATCAGAATTGTCAATATCATTTCAAGGAAAACGTATTTCACAAATATTTAAAGTCAAGGGAAAAATAGTTAATTTCGGTTTTCATTGTTTAAGATCTGTATAAAGTTAATTATTTAGTGACATCATTCGACTACCATATTTTAAAGACAACATTTCTGCTCAACCAGCCCACATTTCTGTTGAAGTATAAATATAAAAGTTGGTGATTTGAAACTTATCTTATACTCAACATTTTTAGCACACTTGACAACCAGAACCTATGTAATGTTTGTTTTGCTACTAAGCCTAAATAATATTTCTGTGGTTTTCAGTTTAGCGCTAACTGCCTTAGGTGAACATCACCTGGCAACAGATAGCTATAGGAAAGCACTGGAGCTAGATCCTATGAACCAGAGTTATAAGACAAACCTAGATATTGCAGAACAACAACTTAAAGATACAAACTTAGGGGTATGTAGAAACATATTGTGTCACCTACCCATACTTTTAATTTATTGAATCTGAATCTTGGAAATCTTCAAGACTTTATCACGAGTCTGATATGCTTATGTCTTTTTTAGGACATTTTGCCAAGTCAGTCTTAAGCTCCTACTGGTAATTTGTGTGTTTTTAAAAAAAGGACCCATTGTACCCACTTTTTATTTCTATTTGTATTACTTTTAAATGGCCAAAATATGCATATTGTCAAAACGAAAGAATATCCTTCAAACCACAAAAGAAAAGAAACTTTGACCAGAAATGCACTCAGTTGAGTTTATAGGTATTGCCTCACAGGCAATTTATTTGTTATGACCTTATCGTTCTGAACAAAATAGGCCAAACAGAAAACATTCACAAAGGTGAATATATGATTGTAGGGAGGCGAGAGATTGAATCCAGTGTTTGGTAACCTAGCACCTGGTGGTATGGGAGGCATGGACATTGGAGCTATGCTTGGCAACCCAGCAATCATGAATATGGTAAGATGATTTTTTATTTTTCTTTAATAATCAGAGTACATATTATCTACCATTTGCCTTCTAGGTAGGGTAGGCATTCTAGATACTAGTTCTAAATTAGTTAGAACTAGTATCTAGTATTAGGATATAAAACATATTTATGGCTTTGTTTTGGAGAGGTTAGATAAGATTGGTATGATGATCTGTACAAGATTTCAATAAAATTAGGGTGGATTTAATATAACATTTAACATTATGTACTGAAACTAAAATTAGTAGCTATATTTTGATATAGCTTAATGACAACCAATTAAAGAAAAACTGGTCAAAAATGATTTCTGCTGATGTTTGATGTTCATGATATTATATTTCTAATGTTTGATGTTCATGATATTATATTTCTAATGTTTGATGTTCATGATATTATATTACTAATGTTTGATGTTCATGATATTATATTTCTAATGTTTGATGTTCATGATATTATATTACTTATGTTTAATGTTCATGATATTATATTTCTAATGTTTGATGTTATTTCAGGCCACACAGATGATGTCAAATCCAGAAATGCAACAGATGTAAGTATCAATCTAAATACAATACTACAATAGTATTTTATACAGTACTAGAATAGAAATGACAATACAATACTACAATAGTATTTTATACAGTACTAGAAAAGAAATGACAATACAATACTACAATAGTATTTTATACAGTACTAGAGTAGAAATGACAATACAATACTACAATAGTATTTTATACAGTACTAGAATAGAAATGACAATACAATACTACAATAGTATTTTATACAGTACTAGAGTAGAAATGACAATACAATACTACAATAGTATTTTATACAGTACTAGAATAGAAATGACAATACAATACTACAATAGTAATTTATACAGTACGAGAATAAAAGTGAGTTGCTTGAGTTTGTGACCTGGTATACAGTGTCCAACGAAGTAACGATCATTTCTATTAAAATTAAGTCATATTGTATTATTTCTATGCCTTGTCAGATCAAGATAAAGACTCTAGAAGCTTGTCTAGCATGATCAAGTGTCTTTTGAATTAATAAATATGCCAAGTTTCTTTAGCTTATCATAAAACAGTTGTTTGGCAAAGTCATACACGATGTATTCACTAGCCAATGTTTGTCTAAGGAGCTCTAGAGTGGTGGCAGACGGCACAGGGTTCTCATGCTTTGTGGATTTAAGAGCAGAGTTCTTTGGTTCACTTGTCACATTACTTGGAAATAAATGTGGCAGTAATTTAGATAATGCTTCAGTGGATTCCTCATAGTGTTCCATGATTCCTATGAACAAGTAATACTTCTCCATGATGGTTTTCACATGGGCAATACTACACCTATCTTCCTTGAGGACTGAAGCGCTGCAAAAACTATGCCACGAGAAGTTGGCTACAACGTTACAGTTATTAAAGCTGGTATTCTGTTGAAGCTGTATCTGTAAACAGTCATCGAGAGTCGCATCATCTCGCATTAAATGAAAGTGCCATTTTGTATAGTAGAAGTGTGAAATGGCTCTTTTTATGGGGTCCCTGATCATCTGTATAAATAATGGCTGTTTGAAACCATATTCTGTAAAGTTAATGAACTTACAGTGCCTCACATAGAAAGCTGGAGTTGTTAATGATTGGACCATGTCCACTATGTCAGGTTCTTTGAAGTGACCTGTGGACCTATTGTGGTCATTCTTGTATGTGACATTGCTGAATTTCTCAACTGTTTTCATCAAGGTCGTACTTCCACATTTAGCTAGTCTGTTATAAACAATGATATCTTTGTTAAACTCAATAGATTTACCTTTTAAATCAGTGTCCTTTGAATTTGATTCTTGTTTGTCTATTTTGAAATTAGCCTTTAAGGCAGATTTACCATCATCTTCAATGAAACGGCTTTCTGTGTTATCATTAGCCTTAGGGTCATCTTCCCATTGGTCAATCGTATGAACATTGTTGTTCATTATACTTCTGGTTTCTTTCATATCTATTTTCCATTGTTCCTTTGACTCAAGTGTACCGTAATGTCTGTGACTGAATGTACTTTGAGAATCAGGTATCCTGTGTTTGAAGTAATAGTTAATGTGTCTTCTGAAGAATAGTATTAGCCATATGAGCTGCAATGCACCCACAATGTATATTATATTGTACCTCAAGGATCTCATAACAATTGGCTAATTTGAAAAATCCAACCTGGTATTTTCTTATGACATCAAAAATCTTTATACTATGTTTATTGTTTAACATAATATATCACAATGACAGTTCAGGTGTCTTATCTTAGCAGCCTATGCTACTTTTTAGTGAGGTTTTTTTAGAGAGATTGATGATCTGTCTTAAGGCAATATTGGTATATACTGTAAATGTGGTGATTGTTTAAGGTAGGATAGTTGATGTAAAATGAGTTTAATACAATTACTGCAGGTATAGTTCTGCCACACATGCTTCTAGCATTCATGCTGGAGTATGTATTATACAAATATTATGTTCTGTTTAGGGAAATATCTGTTATTACTTATGAACGTGACACAGGCATCCCCTGAAAAAGCAAGTCCCAAGAAACAGTAAACATTATATGAAAATATCACAACATATTTTGTTATTGACCTGTGTTTAACCAATCACAGAATGAGCAACATGACAGTGAACTATACATGTAATAAATGCAAATGTACTTTCAGGCTTGGTAATATGATGGGTGCAGCTGGTGGGGGTGGTGGCAATATGGACAGCCTATTTTCAGCGTAAGTTTGACTAATGCTATCATAATTTACCTCTAAGTCTAGAATAAAATGGTAATGACATTCAATCAGTAGAGAAGTTGACAGCCAATAAGCCTAGATTTGTCCCTTCTATAATCCAAACCATAGACCCATTTTGAACTTAGCCTAGCGAAATATACTGCTCAACCAGAGGAGTTAAAAACTTATTACCCACGATTTGGGTCATCCAATCCACATTTAAAGCCTGATTTAAAATTTTATACAGAATCTTTAAGGATTAACTTTTTATTTTGATCTAATTTTACTGAAATAATTCCAGTGGTCAGCAGTTAGCTCAACAAATGCAGGCATCTAATCCTGAACTTGTAGAGCAATTAAGACAACGTGTGCCGGGAGGTGAGGAACAACCCAATGAACCGAAAAATCCAGATCAACAAAATCCAGGTATATATCCCGCCATTATATAACCAGAATGTTCTGAGACGATTGCAGAATTTTTTGATAGCAATAAAAAGTTTCCCCTTTTTGGTCTAAATCTTAGTTTCTACCTGAACAAAGAAAGAAAAAATAGTGAAGGAAACTACCAAAATTCAAATAAACAAGCAACTGATAATTGAAATGGAAATACAAACTTTTGTAAAATAATCAAAAAGTTCCTCAGTCATGTTATAGACTTGACACTTGACAGTCTGCCACTTGGTATCAATGAGGCACCCAACTGCAAGGAACTGCTCAATAAAACGTTTTATTATTAACATATATTTGCAGATGCAGGACAAAGCTAACTGATCCTCCCCAACTTTGACATTTGAATGAACTCAAACTTTTTCTCACTGACCAGTCCCTAAGATAGTAGAGGCTTAAATACATCTGTTTATTACATCAGAATGACTATTTTGTGTGAGGGAAACACTGAGCTTTAATGTCTTTACAATGTACTCAGCTAATCAGCCAAGCACAAGAGCCCCAATGAAACAGTCAATGAACTGGTAATATTTTGCTTGATGTAAATGAATGGATGCCTCAAACTAAGCATTATTTAGGGCTGTCTGTTATTATCATATGTGAGATTGGCAAAGGATATTTATGGACAATGTGTCAGTTTCCAATTTTTACATGCTAAACGTTAAATTACAAATTGTATTTGTTGATTCAATGTGTTATAAATATGAGATTTATATTAACTAAACCTCATTTTTTGTTGTACAATGGTTAAGAACTACTGGTAGGTTTGGCTGTTGAAATCAGTATTTTCTCATTTCACCACATCATTATCCTTTATGCAGGAAGATCAATTTAATAGAATTTTCTGTCAGCAATGACTGAATACCAGAGGATAATTCTACATAATGGAAATTATGTATCATCTTTCCTGCTCACTTTATTACCACATATCAAAATATTTTGGATATAATGCACTAAAATGTGGCATGACAAGTTATGTGTGATTTGTATCATGGTTTATGTCACCATCGCATTGTTATAGTCTCCAACTTTTTGTGAACAGTGTTAGCATTTGACATCCAGTATTCTGTGTCTGTAACAAATGGCAGATGGTGACACTTTGCTAATGCCTTGTCTATGGGATATATGTTTTGCCAAAATATTGGATTGACCTCAGTTGAACTGATAAAAGGATGACCAATCAATATTTGGGGGAAATGGTGCTTAGCATGGATTGGGAGCTAAATGCTAAAATGCCAAATTAACAATTTTAACATATTTGTTATCAGGTTACCAGTTATAAAACCTGTAAGAGTAAAAATGTACATATGATGCCAAATTGAAGCAAGTGACACATGAAATTATGTTGTGAAAGGATCTATTTGTTCAAAACAGTATTTAAAACAACTATAAAATAATAATTAACTAATACATATGTGTTTGTATTCTGTCAATATGTTATATTTTATTTTGCTGGCTCATGGGCCACAATGTAATAAACAAACCAGAAAACTACAGTGAAGTATTTTCCTGTTCTGATCTTTAAAATATTAACAAAGTACTAGTATTGTATGCCTGAAGGATAAGTTAAGGAGTTTAAGACAATAAGGAGGTTAAGCTACACATTTTTAATGTTTTTTATGTTTAATATTAAGAGCCCCCAAAATTCCCAATCAATTGGGACTTCAAGTTTTTTTCCCCAATAACTTTAAAACCCAATAGTGCAGATAAATTACTAAATACAATAAAGAAGAGACTGGGTACTTATAGGACCTAGATTATACACATTCACATACGAGTTCTCTAATTAATAGAGAGCGATGCATTTGTATGGGCAACTGGTCACAAATATAGGTTGGCGTTTCAATTTTATATGCCAGCTTAAACTCCCAAATATGTATATAGATTAACCTCCCTTATTATTTCGTTATTTTCCACACACTTTTTCCAACCTTAATCAATTTCATGTACCCATATAATTATTCTCTTCATTTCTTAAATATACACTTTTAGTTATAAATGAATGTAACAGAAATTTTCCCCCTGCCAACCAACCAACCATGACGAATGTTGAAGTAAGGTCTAATCAATACCCTTTAGGTATCTTTTATTCAGAATATATGTGAGGAAAAGACAACAGACCATGATCTTAACAGGGAATCATGGTGATATCATTTCCAATTGTGCAAATCCCAAACTATCTTGTGTTAAAGTAGTCTTGATTCAAGTCTTAATCTAATCCACCACCAGATGGTGATAGTTACACAGAGCATACAAGACCTTATGAAAGGTGTGTAGTGGGGGATCACAAGGCCTTGTAGCTAGACTAGCACTCAAGCCAGATGGCCTTATCAGCTTATAATAGGTGGCCATCTTCAAAAGTAACTTTTTCCCGATATTGCACTTCATTTACAGCTCTTAACATCTTCAATTCTGTGTTTGTTTATTCTACGCCCTCGTAATACACAAATATTTGAGCAAGGTCATCATGTTCATAAGTTCGTTTTAAAAATGAGTCTGTTAGCCAAAGTCCATTTATTGTCTGAAAAAGAACAGAATTATTAGTTCAATGTATGACAATTGTATTGTTGGACCAGAAAAAAAGAAACTCCCTGGAGGATCAAATCTCACCAAATGAAATATATTTTAACATGATGGAACTAACAAGTCAGTAATGTTGTCTTCTTTTGGCATAATCTACACCCTTGATGTATGATATGACACCATCACAGACTTCATTTGGTGGGATTATAAATATCCTCTTTTTATCCTTATAGGTCATTATGCTCATGACATCCAGGGTTGGTGAAATGAAGTTGTATGAATGAATATTGTTGACACAAAATTTTTAATATTTTATTAATCTCTGTTGAGCATTCTTATTACTAAGGCACTTTTTGAATTGACACATTACTGGAGACAATATAAGATGAAAATGGTGACAGTCTACCTGTAATCCAGTTGTTGTAGCTAGCATTGTTAAGTTCAGTTGAATATTCTCCCCTGGACCTAGTTTGCCTAACTGTCGACCTGAGATGCCACACCAGTACAAAGCATGTTTGTTGGAATTCTTCAAGTCTAATACAAGGTCCATCATCCTCTCACTGGAATAAACATGTTCCATATGAATAAACATGTCACAATGGAATAAGCATGTCATCCTATTCCATTGGATATGACAATATCAAACACTATTACCAATTATCAAACCCTAATATAGAGTAAACAACAAGGCATAAACATGCAAAATGTTACTACCTGCCATTTGTTACAGATTACAAACACCAATTCCCGAATGCCAAACACCAGCCACTGAACAACATCCATATAAAAGTCGGAGAATACAACAATACACTTACGGTGATGACATAATAAAATAAAACAGTAAAACCATTCCAATCCAAAGTATGTTAAACTAACTTACCAACAATTTGCTACTTTGAAAGTAACATTGAATGGTTTCTCTATCTCCACTATATCTGGTATAGAATCTACAGTCACTCTGACATCTCCGTAGCCAGGAGCCTGTAATATAAGTACAAATCTTCCATGAAAATAATCAAAGTGACAAGTCATACAAGTAGTACAAACTAATATATTACTCACAATTTCACTACTTTGTAATAGTTAGATGAATGACAAAAGTCAACATGTTGTCATTCAAAAGGATCTTTCATGCATTAAAGTCACAGTAATCCAAAAAATAGTTCGACATCCTCGCATAAATAACATAGAAAGTTATAAATAAATATCTTGCGATGAGTCACAAGGACAGTAGTACTGCACCAAAATATGCATAATTTGTGAAAAATAAATCACAAGTCTATGGTCATTATGGATTTTGAAAGGCACAATGTGTGAAAATAATGATCGACGAGTTTGTGCCGTCGTGTTTGTTGTTATACTTTCAGCAGTTGTAATTGGAGGAGACATTTATATTTCAACATCCGGGTATATTGAAATAACGATCCAACAAAAAATAATAATAAGCATCATTGCTTGTCTATATGTTGTATTTGGTGTTTTACCATGTGGCTGTTGCATTGATCATGGAAAATGTTGGAATAAAGAAGATCAAATGGAGGCAAGTCCTGAAATAATGTCTCAGGGTAGACGAAATCCTGCAATGACGAATCCACTTTATTGTGGAAGTAATACATGTACTGTGATTGGTAGATCATCCAATGGAGAAACAAGTCACTTGATTGGCCAACCACCATCATATGACAATATTAATACACTAACTGACAGCATAAATGAACAACTATCCACACCATATCTTATGCCGAGTGAATCACCTCCTTCGTACAATGGGTTGACTCCTATATCTGATGCACCGCCTCCCGCATATGAAGCGCCCTCTATATCTGACCCACCATCATATGATGATGTTGTTTCTGATAACCAGAACAATATACAAGGACAAGGATAGAAGTTTATAAGTATACTCTTTGTAAGACGAAGTCTGAGTATCAGAATGGAAGCATTGTGTCTTACAATTGTACATTTTTTGGTCTTGCCCCCAGCCGTTAGAAGTATATGTACAGAGTGTACTGTTTGAGAACAGTTTTGAGCTAGCGCTTCACCCATTATCTTTTTCATCAATTCCATAATGATATGAAAAGTGAACTGACCATGTACATGATACTATAATATGTTCACTATAAATGATCAAAACAATAATTTCAAAGTTGTGAAATCAACCTACCATTCTCTGCAGAGCACTGGTTTGTAATCGACCTTTCTCACCAATGTTCATTCTCCAAACAATGTCAAGCTTGCCTATATTTGTGACCCCCTTCAATTGTTTGTTATTAGCCAGAACATCAGGCTTGGGAGTGAGACAGTAGAGGTACTGGTGTGTATCCATGGCGTTCAGGTACGACATACTTAATTTGTTCAAACAACTGAAAAATTCAAAAGAAAAAAAAAGAAGAATTACTAAATAACTGGTTATGTGTAATAAGTTGAATATCCACTCCTGAAGACAAACATGACAGGTTAACCTTCACACCAAAAAATGGGGCGACATCATATCACACCAGGTTTGGAAACCAGGCTGGTTATTGCATTTGAATAAACAACATTGCAATTTGTTCTGTATGGACAAGCTGATCTCGGATCTTTAGCAAATAAGCACTACATGGTCACATCGAGACAGGTGATAAAGCAAAGAAAAAATGAATGTGATGTATTGTGATAATCTATACTGCCCCTTGGGTGTCTGGCTGCTTTATCACTGTTATGTACATATGTTTATGGTATGTGATTTTAATAAATAAACAGAAACTGTGTCTGTCACATACCCAGTCAGTGAATGAGTGCAATCTCTAAATTCATTGTTGTTCATCCCTACCTTGTATTTTTCGGTGTGTTAAGCTCAGCTGCTGTGAAAAATGATGAAGGTTCTAATGCTACTTTTTCCATATAGATGGGGCCAGGGGTGATATTCTGAATCTGGGCCTCAAGATAAACATCATCAGACTGAAAAGAAGAATAAGACAAGTCTTCAATTATGAATAAGAGAGTAGATAATGGGAATAAGTTAAAGAAGAGTGTGAGAAAAGTTAGGAAAATGCAGAAACAGATATTTGTAGAAAGGCTGATCATAAGATCTTGGATGGACATACCTTTATACTCAATACCAGAATATCTTTTCTCAAAAACATCTAGATTCGGATTTGTTATTTCATATCAAAGATCAATTTATATTTTAAGCTAATCTGTTTATAAAAACATGTACATGGACGAAAATATACTGGATACTGATCAATCCTTTTTCAATATTTCACTGAAAAGGTTAGGTCCTTGAAGATCTAATTGTCAACCTCTAAAGTTTTAATAAAAGACAAACAATCGGGTCATTCAAATCTTGAAATAACATGTTTCATTTATCTAGCTTTACACATGTAATAGCTTATTAGCTTCACATTTTCTACAAATGATGTTATATGCCAATGAGGGGCTGGACTCATTATACTCAAACCTCAGTATGCCATTCAAGCTATTTTGAATGTTATGCATGTATCACAGCATATTTGAATATTCCATTAAGGAATTTAATTTCTAATTATTTGATTCTGAATTCAAACATATAGGTCCATAAAATACTTAACTTTTTGGTAAGTTAATACATTTATTTTGGGGTATATTAGTGTGTTGATTTACCTGTTTGACAAATTAATTTTCAAATAACATATTCCTTTTAAACATTGAAAAATATCACATCTAGTCCAAGAAATTTCTATGTTCAGTTTAACTTGTCAGCTTTGAATTATGTTAACTTTGATATACGCTTATATATGTTACTGGACCAATACATTTAAATAAGCACACTTGTAGGAAGATGGTGCTGATTTGTGTGCAGTTGTGTGTAGATAAATATTTGGGTAAAGCGTGCACAGTCGATTTTTCAGTTTTGTGTAAAGTTTAAATGTGCTTCCTTTGAGCAGTAGACACCAAAGAAATGCACAGTTAAATTACAAAAATAGTTGCAGACGATTTTCCCTGGCATCTCTTAGGGTATTCGGCAAGATTTAAAGTCTATTGTGATTAATCAAGAAATAGTTTAAAACTCTCACAGATAATCCTGACCCTTGGGGGAAAGCCAAAAAGTTCTAGGACATTTAAAATTGATCATGAAGTAAATCTCAGACATGTAAGGTTATCCTGAAGCAGCATATATTTGCATACAATCCAGGGACTAAAAGCAAATGTTCAGTTGAGGTGAGCACTGAGCATCATTTAATATGCTTATACAATACACATGTTTAGCTTGCATTGGGTTCTAAACACAATCTGGTGCAAAATATGGACCTACACCTCCTTATCTAAGTTTCAAAATCAAGCACAAAATATATGACAAGGCATTACAATGACAAAATGTCACCATCTCATGGGAATTGTAAATGATTACAAAAATGTGACACTTTATTAAAAACATCAATTTCTGAACACCAAACACTGAATGCCAATTACAAAATGGTGGCTATAACAGTATGTCACCACTTCATGGTGGTGACCTAAAATGCCTATGTTGTCCATATTCCAAGCCACATCTCTTACTAGCACCTACCCCTTGTTCATGCAGGTCTTTCTTTAATTGAAAAGCAGAACACACAAGTATTATAGATTTTGCAAAATGTAAATGGATGAATATATAACTACAGATATCTGTACTATGATTGGTTCTTAGATGACATCCATTTCTACAGTGGGCCAATCAAATAAGGTAACAAAGATGGCACTGGATTTTTTCAGCATTTTTCAGCCTAAAAAATTCTAAAGGAGGTACAGTACAGTATATATAGTTATAGATTCCTATATAGCAAAATCATGAGTTACATGTTACATGAGTGACACAATAAAAATAGCATTTTTGAAATATTATAATAATAATAATGCAGTGATCTCTCCAGGTTTTTTCTCAATAGAGTGCAAATCTAAACTTACATGTTTTGGTAGAAAAACAGGTAAATATTTTTCATACTTCTGAGAGGGTGCAAACATATTTTCAATAGGGTGGCATATGATTTTCAATAGGGTGGCATATAATTTTCAATAGGGTGGCATATAATCTTCAAAGAGTTGGCATATACTTTTCAATAGGGTGGCATATAATTTTCAACAGGGTGGTATATGATTTTCAATAGGGTGGTATATGATTTTCAACAAGGTGGCATATACTTTTCAATAGGGTGGTAAATGATTTTCAATAGGGTGGCACATAATTTTCAATAGGGTGGCACATAATTTTCAATAGGGTGGCATATAATTTTCAATAGGGTGGTATATGATTTTCAATAGGGTGGCACATAATTTTCAATAGCGTGGCATATAATTTTCAATAGGGTGGTATATGATTTTCAATAGGGTGGCATATACTTTTCAATAGGGTGGTAAATGATTTTCAATAGGGTGGCACATAATTTTCAATAGGGTGGCACATAATTTTCAATAGGGTGGTATATGATTTTCAATAGGGTGGCATATAATAGTCAACAGGTGCAACTAATACTGAGGATATCACTGCTATATTAACTAAAAATCTAATAATTGGAATAAAAAAACTAAACAAATAAATGAAAATGAAACCCTTATACCACAACTGATGAAAATAAACATTGATTCTACATTCAACTTACTATAAGGTCCTATGGATTAAACCATAATGTTCATTTATAAAACAGAAATTAAAATCAAAATACATCAGCAAATAAAACACTAGTATCTGAGAAATTATCAAGCATTTAATTCAGAGATTGATCTATATCAAACCTACTATATTAATACTAAACTCACAATATAATGCTACTCTACATTGAATACTTTTCCAATTTCTTCATAAAATTCTAACTCATACATTATGGCAGTCTTTTCATATTACCGCTTTAATGAGTGCAACATGCATAAAATGCCTTGGGTCAGGTTCGGAGTTATAGGTTGGGAAAAATAGTAGATTTAGCAAAGTTCATATCTTATACAATACAGTAAAACATGTATATATAAAATACACCATTAGTACCTAAAAAAAATTGTGTTCCATTTTGGAGCTGTTTAAAAGTTTATCAGAACCAGAATTTTGAAAGTGTTCCATTTAGAGATGCTTCACTTAAAGAGGTGTTCCACATGACAAGTTTTACTGTATATGTACATGTTTTCAGGGCATGTGCTACAAAGTCTTATGCTTTGTGAAAAGGAACATGACCAGACATCTTAAGCAAGGGATTTTAGCATTTCTACATTCACAAAGAAATAATAAATTCCTTCACGATTCTTCATATTTCCACAGGCCCTGTTTTTAGGAATGTCATGACATTTGAAATATCTGCTGTGTACATATAGCTGCATACTAGTTGACTGTTATGTAAATAGTTTCTTACCTCTGAAGTGTAGAATTTTGTTTTGACATCTAGTGGCTTTAACACCTGTAACAGTACACAACAACAAATGACTTTAAGTAAAATATTAAAAACTTTATTCATTGGATAGATAAAATACATTTTTGTAACAATTTAAATAGGCCTAAAATAAAAGTACTTTCTTTCTAAGTCCCTATGGTATCTAAATAGTAATTTACTACTGTACATTCAACATGATGAATTCTATTTAACTGTCTGTTTACCTGGAATTTGAAGAATTTACGGAAGTACATTTTCTCGCCCTGTACTGTGGTATAACTCACGGCACACACCAATCTAAAATTAGAAAAAGTAATTTTATTTTCTTGATTTGGGAATTTTCTTATTTGTTCTGATTTTATGTGCCCCGAATTTGCTTTCTCCCTATAAAATCTAATGACATATTTACAGGGCGTTCAGTAAGTAAAGCTAATTTTGCTCTCAAACTTTTATTTCTTGTCTATCATTGTTCAAATTTTCAGTGGAGAGGCATCAGACACTTTTCTAACTATCCTGAAAAAATGATCAAGATATAATGAATAACAGCAAAATGGTGGTTGTCATAGTAACGCGAATACGGGTTCTGCGGAGCAATTTTATAAGTTCACAGCATAGTAGATTTTGTTAACGTTAGTTTCTGTCCTGTCTATATTTCAACCATAGTTCTGTGGCTACTACACATTTCTACTTTCAAGTTAGCATTCTATTTCATGTTTAAAGTAGTTCCCCTTAGCTTTCACACACAGCTGATGTCGTTCTATCCACTTCTGATATATCCTGTGGAAGCCATCTGGAAAGTTCTTTGTCAGCGAACGTTGAACGGCATTCTGGTTAGAAGTTTTGGCCTCCCTGACCTTGGCTCATCACTTGTTGTTTTTCTCCCCTTTTGGAATTTCTGATACCATTTGTAGATTGTGTACTTAGGCACACTGTCCTTATATGCTTTTTGGATATCCCTAATGGTATCCTGCTTGGATTTCCCTAGCAACACATTGTATCTGATGCTACTTCTCAATTGTTGTTTCATTTCATTGTTCATTTTGCTTCCATTGGCAATCCTGGCAGCCATGATTTTGATGATGTCATGGAGCAGTGTCTGATGGATCATTCTGGATCATTCCATCTGTTGTATCATCTGTCTGTGATGTCATAGACTACTGTTGCCATGGTATCATATTTGTGTATGTTGTTGTTATGTTTGTCGTGACTTTCAGCCATAGCAAACAAAGACATATGCAGCATTAATCTTAATCAATTTCATTGCATTATAACATTTTATTAAAGTAAGAAATTGCTCCGCAGAACCCGTATTCACGTTACTATGACAACCATTGTTTTGCTATTATTCATCACATCTTATTTAATTTTTCAGGGTAGTTAGAAAAATGTCAAATGCTTCATCACTGAAAATTTGAAAGATAAATGACAAAAAATAAAAGTTTGAGAGCAAAATTAGCTTTACTTACTGAACGCCCTGTAGATGTAAAACCATGGTAAATTGAAGAATAATGTTATTTCATTCCATATAGTTCTGAGTCTACCTATGCGTAGCAAACAGCCAGTCATTCAAAGTCTGATAAAAGGCTAAAGTGATATTTGGGATTATTATTAATAAAATTATCATCATAAGAACTGTAGAAACTTCTACATTATCAGAAGATAGAGTACTAGCTGATGGGGACTAATGTTGAATGTACTTACATGTGAGTGCCAAGCTCCTTGACTTCATGGTGTATAATATCATCAATGCTCTGGTCAGGCCCTAGCTCTTTGGCTGTATCTGTGCCTCCAGTGGAAAGTGTTAGTCTTTGAGAACTTGTCTGGAGGTCAGCCTAACATCCAAACATTCATGATCAGTTATAGATTGGTCATAAAAATTGTAGATTTATATATATAAGAACTATAGATTGACTATCATTGTTCTTGAGAATTCATGGAAAATCTTGAAAGCACAAGTGCCAAAAAGGGAAAGATTTAAGTATTAAAAAATGCAGTATGTAAAAGAAACATAAGAGCATAACCACTCATATGGAAAGCAAATCAGAGCTGTTATCTTAAACTATGATCAAACACACAAAGAAAAGTTGTCTGGCACCCCCTTACTCACAGTAAAAAATATAAAGGGAATCAATCATTTAATTATTAAGCAATGTTGTCTCACTGACCTTAACTACTATATCCTTACACTCCTGTGAGCTGTCATTGTGAACACTGATATAACTAGAGAACATCTCACCAAGGAAAATGTTCCTGAAACATAGAGAAGCAATCAAATACTATATGACAGGATCAAGTTGAATACACAGTTTATTACACTCCATTTTAATGAATTGATTCATTTTAATATAATTTTGGCGCTTGTAAATGGTGAAACAACCAAAAAAATGAGTATCATCGGTTGTTGATATTAGATGGAACAAGTGTAGTTGCTTATAGTGTAAAAATATTTTATTTTATGTTTTTAGCTTTAGAGCTATGCTTGACATAAGTGTTTGAGTCTACTCCTCTCACTTCTTCAAAACATGTAGAAGGAATTGAGAGTAAAAACTCCATCCCTTCTACTTTCTCCAATGGAATTGGTTAAAAGCCATCATTAAACAAACATAGAAAAAACAGAAATGGTGGGAAAACTGAACATACCCAAAGTTCTGAGGCAAAGTCAGCAGCTCACTGAGTGCAAAGTGTTCTATCCCAGGGACAACAGTCAAGTCCGTCTCACTGGCTTTGTCAAACAGTTCTCCTGCTATATCCCTGCTCTCTGAATAGATTGGGATGTTGGTGGCTAAACTTGGCTTTGTCAGCCGCATCACTGAAAGTACATGCATAAAGAATGCTTTAGAACAATGAATTAATTTTTATACAACACATAAGGTTCTCAAAGACACCATTTGGTGAATCACCCTGCAGCTACTTTAATTCTGGCTTAATGGTGATGTCACAGCATTCATCATGATTATCCAACTTCTGGGTGATAGCTAGTCTACCATCTAAAATCCAGCAAAATTTGTTGGAAATTTTTGGAAATTATTTTGTAAAAACAGAGCACTTATTTCTTTATTTTATTCCAACAATACAGATCTTTAGTAAAACTCACAAAATGAGTATGAAACAGGAACATTCTATAACGACAGAATTTGAACAATCATAGTCCTAAAGATGGCGTGGCAGTGCTTCTTTAGAAGCAAAAACTTGTTTTTTAGATTATTCCATATTCGGCTATTTAACACATATTCAGCTGACCAAATTCATCCAATATGTGAAAATGAAAACTTGTAATTGTTACTTCAAAGTCATTTGGTGTTTATAATTAGACTCCAGATTGAAAATCTGGAGTCTATTGTTTTTGCCTGTTTTCTTTATTATTATTATTCTTTTTTCTTCCTCCTCACCAAATTTCTCGTCAACTATAACAGCTTACTTAATCCAACTTACATGGTTAACTTAAGACTGTATCCGGCTTTCTGGGAAATTAGGTCAAATTTTTATCTAGGTCAAAGGTCAAGAACTAGGTCAAATCCAGTACTTTGTCACTTTTTCCCATTATCTCGGTCGTCCTTCAATATTTTTGATCCTGGTTTTTTTCATTGTGTTCCTCATAAAAAAGTAGAAAACCTAGGGTCGATTTAGTTTTTTGATATCTCAAACCGATTTCAAGATATGAGTGTCCGAAAACGAGGTCCAAAAAAAATTTCTCCGAATCCAATGTCCAGGATATCAGTCTTATAGAAAATTTTCTCAGGATTCCGAATCTGAAAACCAAATCTCGATCTGACTTCCGGTTCAGAAGTTATGGCGTTTTGAAAATTCAAAAATCGCTAAATTTGGTGCCCCATGTTAATTCAATGGGAAAAAATATTTTTTTGAAGTGTAAAATACGAGATATAGACTAAGCACAGCTAAACATAATGGAAGCCCATAAAAGAAAGGGACCACAAGACCTTCTTTTCATAAAAATTTGGACACCAAAATGCCTAGGTCAAAATCTAGGTCAAATTCAAAGTTTTTCCTTATTTTTGCGATTGTGACACTACAGATTAATTATATTCTTCGAAATTTTGTATACATGTAGCCAAGAGTGTGCTAATAGTGTTAGCCTTTTGCCGTCAGAAAGTATTTTGACCCACTTTTGAGATATGGTGTCCGAAAAGTAGGTCAAACTAAAAAGTTCTCCAAATTTAACGTATGAGTTATGAATTAAGGGTAGAATTTTCTCAGGAATCTAAATCTGCAAACCAAATTTCAATCCGACTTTTGGTTTGGAAGTTATGTCTTTTTGAAAGCTCAAAAATCGCTAAATTTGGTGCCCCATGTTATGGCAATGGGAAAAAAGATTTTTTGAAGTGAAAAATACGAGATAAAGACCAAGTACAGCTTCACATAATGAAAGCCTATAAAAGAAAGGGACCTCAAAAGCTAGCTAGCATCACAATTTGGTCACCAAAATGCCTAGGTCAAAATCTAGGTCAAATTTATAGTTTTAACTTATTTTTCCTATTCTGACACTACACTTTAATTATTTGCTTCAAAATTTTGTATACAGGTAGCAAAGAGTGTGCTTATAGTGTTAGCCTTTTGCCGTCAGAAAGTATTTTGACCCACTTTTGAGATATAGTGTCCGAAAAGTAGGTCAACATGAACGTTTCTCCAAATTTAACGTATGAGTTATGAATTAAGGGTAGAATTTTCTCAGGAATCCGAATCTGCAAATCAAATTTCAATCCGACACCCGGTTTGGAAGAAATGGCGTTTTGAAAAATTAAAAAATTGGTATTTTGATATCCCATGTTATGTCAATTATCTTTGTCACTATTCGTCGTTATTTCTTTATCTTTTTTTCATCATGTAGCTTAAAGACAGTCCTTTCATTATTGTAACTGTCTTTTTTGATTACTCTTACCGATTTTGAGGAATGGCGTCCGGAAAGTAGGTCAACACAAAAAGTTCTCAAAATTTAATGTATGAGTTATGACACAAACGTAGAATTTTCTCAGAAATTCAAATCTGCAAACCAAATTTCGACCCAAATTCTGGTTAGATAGTTATAGCTGTTTGAAGTCTCGAAAAGTTGATGTTACGATGTCCCCATGTTTAGCCAATGGAGACGAAGATAACCTTCTTAAGAGTTGTCTAAATGTCTGTATTCTAGATGACTCAGCTTATTCTGAATGGCTCAGCTTACAGTATTTTGGATGACTCAGCTTAAAAAAAAGTTTTAAATCTGGAGTCTTAAATTGAACTTGTTCAATTTACATGTCTAGTTATATTTATTCCAACAAAATAGGAATAAACAAGACACAGTTATATTTGAATCATTGCCTATTTAGATGCCAGATAGACCCTTTATATCCTACTAAACTTTGATGTAACAATGTTAGGGCCTTTTTAAAAGTATGTTAATCTATAAAAATTAAGTTGCATACACAATTTGAGACACAGAAATCATAGTGAATAAAATAAAACCTCTTATTAATCATTGTGATAAAATGATATGTCTGCATTGTCTATTAATACATAAGAAAAAATTCATCAATAAGGAATTAAGACTTTAATTAAGTTATAATCAAAGGGAAGGATTATATCTCTAGTGTTGATAAGTCTTAATTTGATTATAAAGTTTCTTTTGATGTAACTCAGCCAACATATGCCATGTTAAGTCAGTTCATCAATCAATAGGAAAACTTTCTTTGGTTTCTTGAGATGACATCTTAATGAAATGAACTTAGAGATAACGCTTGTCTTTCATTTCATATTTTCTCCATTATGTTTATAATCATTTCCCTGTTAGTCAATCATAGTCCGTAATAAGTGAAAGCATCCATTTATCAAATGCACATTTAGGATTTAAGTAAAGTAATCGAATGAGATGGCGAAAGTGTACAAATGAATGAGGATGCGCATAAGACATTGTTCAGGCCCGTAGCCAGGGGGGGTTCGGGGGGTTCGGGCGAACCCCCCCCCCTGGCCAAAATTTCTTTCAAAATCATGCAGTTTTTCACCATTCTGACTAATTTTTGAGTGATTTTTGGCCATATTTGCCAAAGTGAACCCCCCCCCCCCCTAGAATTTTTTAGAAAAACGAACCCCCCCCCTTGGAAAATTCTGGCTACGGGCCTGTTGTTTTACTATTCCTAAGGTTTGTCAGATGAGACAAATCTGATTTCCATTTATACAATGGCTTTAAAGAAAGCTGAGCCAAATTATTCCTTATGCTACTATATCTAATATATAAAACTACTTGCTAATTTTGCGATTTAACATTTTAATGCAATATTTGGGTCAGTGATAGCAAAAATGATGATATAAAAGTTGTCATCTTGACCTTATTCAATTCGTAATAACCACTCAAACAGTTTACTTTAACATCATTTAAGAGAAAATGCCAGATATCATTTTTTAGTCAAACATAAACATCTAGAGATAGAATGTATATAGGTTATGATGTGTTAAGATTCCTGATTGGAAACATTCATTCAGATCGGTATGGTAGATTTTTTTTTTTTCTTATACTAACAATGTTAAATAGGACTGTTATGATGGCCATATATGGCAATTCTGAATATTTAATACAAAATGGCAGCCATGAGTAGGTTCCTTTATATTATTTTTAAAACTAATAATAAAACCCTGTACATGTGAAATAATATTTGAAACCAGCTGTTCATATATTACAAATAGAGAAAATGTTTGGTTTATAACTGCTATGATGTGGAAGAAAGATGAATAATGGAAAAATAACTTTACGCAATCAAGCGTAATATAGATTTTTCACATCAAAATTGATAACCTTATATCAATTATTAAATATGGATGTTAACTACCTAGATTTATACTTTATATCTTTGCAATCTACCATTAAAAATACAACATACTTTTCGAGTATCAAACTTCCTTATAAATGTCAAGAATATCTAAATTGAATCTTTATTAGCCATATACCATGTATAATAAACAGGATACAATTTAATAATAGTCAAATATGTCAATCCTTGGGTTAAAGGGTTGAAAAATAATGATTGTAATAAACAAAGGAAAAACCTAGAAATACATTGTACAGTAAGATAATTCAAACTTAGAAATAGACCATAAACAGGATATAAGAATATAATTGGAAAACAATTTCGAGAAATCTGTGAAATAAGTTATTCTTTACAAATAATAACTGTAAAATATCCTGGAGCTTCGTGACCTGTCTTAGCATGTCTGTTTGACGCAACATAATTTCGCAATTTAAATCAGCATTAAAACTCTCGATCAAAAATCGAAAAATGTCTCTTGGGATCAAAGCCAGATCGGAGATAACTGCTTTTCAAAGTTGACTAGTATATCGCCTGATACATCTGTTGATTTATCTGGTCAGAATAACTTCTCTCTTTCCAATATAGCAGGTTAATCCCTTCTTCCAGTTTTTGATTTCCGCAGAGTGTCGATAAAATTTGCCTTGGCCCAAAGATTTGCATAATCATGTTTGTTAGATTTCTGATAGCTTAACTGCAGAGAAATCTCGTAGAATTCACATAGGGAAAGGTCTTTATCCCTTGCAGTATTCATTAGTTTCACTTGTAGAATCATAGGATGTTCCACATAGATGGAGCTACACATGCAAATTACATTGGGCCCCGTATGAGCTCGTATGAGCCTCGAGAATTACGAGTCATTATGGGCAAAAAGGAGCACGATCCTCGTACAGACTCGTATGGAGCTCACATTTCAACTTATTCTAATACTCATATTATATTTTGAAATTATTGAAGAATACTAATTCATAATTAGATATAATTGAAATGTAATTTCTCAAGTATGTATGCTGTA